GAACATTCTCTTCTTTGTTTTTATTCTAAAGGCAGAATTAAACAGTCCCTTTGTGAACATCCTTCTGTTGCAGTGCTCCTCATTTCTCATTTTCTCACTATGCCAGCATTGGACTCCTATAGCAGAAGCTGTAACTTTCCCATTTTTACATCTCCAGGTCCTTGCTTATGCCTGAACAGCATTTAGAGTATATTTTTTAATTAATCTGAAGTATTTTACTCTCCAAATGTTCTAGTATCTTGCATATTTTATGTGCTTAAATTAGTTTTTGTTATTAGTAATGTGTTTTCAGGTTTGTAGCCCTCATTTTAATTCAAATTAGTTACCAAAGACTATACATTTTAAAACAGGCAGATTCATATTGTCACTAAATAATAATTCAGTTGGGGACAAAAATGTAGACTGCTATAATCATAATTTGATTTAAATCCATTTTAAAGATTGTGAAGTTAATTTTAACAGTGTTTCCTATTCTTATTGTGCACAAAATTATCTGCAATCACTTTGAACAACTACAGATCTCCAAGTCCCACTTAGAATGTTCCCTGTTGGGCTAATATAAGTGTATTTAGAACAAAATATTCAAAAGTACTCTGGTGGTTCTGATAAAATTAGCCCTTTATATAGTATGAGAAAATCATGGATTTTGGAAATCTAAGGTAATTTTGATGCAACACCAGAATCAGAAACCACATCTTCCAAAAATAAATCATAAATAATTAAAAAAACAGAATTTATTGTTTTAACATCCCTTTACTACATATATAGCTAAAAAAACTGCAATGACAATTTGAAACCATGAGTTGTTTTTTTCCTAATCCTATACTTTTTTTTCTTTTTTTTTCCCCTAAAAGTGTATTACTACTTGTCAGTGTCATAAATGGTGTGGTTGCTATCCTATTTGGAAATATTCCCAAAAATATTTTAATGAAAATTAAAAATGTGAAATTTTTCTAAAAATAAATATATTGTTACTGCTTGACAAACAAACCTTAACTAATTTTGTGATGTTAAAGAAGCATGACAGCTGTCTGCCATTATGATTTTTGAGTATTCTTAAAAATAAATAGAAACTTCTCAGAAGTACTTGTACAGTATGAAATATTTTGAGTTAGGCCACTTAAATATTTTTAGCATAGTCAATAAAAGAATGAACTACTGGGCTGGAGGCATGACTCAAGCTGTAGAGGGCCTGCCTAGCAAATATGAAGTCCTAATTTCAAACCCAGTACTGCCAACAAAAAAAACTAAAAATGAACTCCTTTTGGCACTTGTCTGATTTTAAAAAGTATTTACCACACACAGAATATAACATAACCAACCAAAGAAAGAGAAAATTCCTACATAATTTTGGCAAAAGTAAATACTCCATGCTGATTCTAAGGTCTTCCCCATCATCTATTTCCTGCTCTAGAGTCAAGAATTTATATTCCTTTGCTTCTTTAATGGTCCTGATCTTTAAAGGCCTCAAAATACATTTATGTTTCCTTAACTCTTGCTTGCCATTGGTTACCAATTATAATGCAAATAGGTTATTATGGAATAGGGTGGATCAAAGGGTTGTACCATACCTCTTAACCAGGAAAGAAGGTAATGTCAAATGACTCATTTAATAAGTGGGTTGGCTTTATAAAAAAATGAATTTGCTCAGTTTGTTCATGTCTATGTCCATAGTTTCTAGAAATTCAGAAGGGTAAGAGCAGTGTCTTCAACTCTGCAAAAGTCCTTTTTGAGTTCATTTTTATAGTTAAAGCTGGACTGTGGGGCTCTGATGCAGAAATGAAATGCATTAAAACAAGTGTGGAACTCCCTGATATGTCTTGCACACCAACCATGCCTTTTCTTTACTCTTGTTGCTCTTTTTCCTCCAATGGATTTTGGCATAACATCCCAACAAGGTACTAGGGGAAGCTGATGACTTCTAAGCTCAGAATGAATTCTAAAACCTTTACTGTGGCCAGCCATGCCCTGATACAATGTTTTCCTATGAGCTCTCCCTGACTCACACTTAGCTCTGTTATGGCCACCACTCCTATCTCTCTAATGCTGTGCCAGTTATGAACACATCAAGTCCACTCTTGTTCCAGGGCATCTGCACTATGGGTTCTGTGTCTCAAAGGTGTTTAGCTCAGGTTTCTGCTTGCTTCTCTCCCTCAATTCCTGTCTCTGCCCAAACGCCATCCTCTCAAATAGGCTTTCCTTACACTCTACAGTGTAGTGTTCTGCACCTAACACTACTCTAACCACACCTTTTTCATCCTGACTAATTATATATGTCTTTGTTATTTGTCTCTGCCTGGTGAAAAGTTCCATAAAAGTAGAAACTGTATCTGCTTGATTCACTATTGTTTGGTTTCTCTAATACTACCTAACCCATTGGAAATTCTTGATGAATATTTTTAATCTAATTGATATATATGAATAACAGAATTCTGCTTACTAAATGTAGTACTGTGTTATTTTTAGAAGTACAGGTTCACCAAAATGGAACCGTATGTGAGTATATTATTTAGGGAGCAGTATAGTTGTCCCAGAACACGCTCATCCTCTCCTTCCTTAAATAGATATCCATTCTGCTTCACCTACTCAAATATATGCACACTCAACCTGTTCTCCCAGCATCATTGCTGTCATGTATAATGCAGCTGGATATACTTAAATCATAGTTTCTTTCTGTACTTTGTAGGTTTTGTGTTGAAAAGGCACTGAGCAGGGACTGGTACCATCATTATGGTACTAATGAGCCAGAGCATTTGGTTCTTGGATGATGCTGGTTCTCAACTACCCCAGAAATTTTTTAGTAGCAATACACCCACCATCTTTTGTGATCTATAATAGTCTCCCAAAAGTTGTTGTAATCTCTTTGAGTATCTGGCTTTAGACATTTCCATCCCAGGCTTGTAGACAGGCTCCATGAGCTAACTATTAACACAGAAGTCTCAAAATATGACAAGGCATAGCATACATACCAAAAGACAGCCATGATAGCAAACCCTAACTTTGTTTCTTACTTAGTAGAGTTATATCGGGCCAGGTGCCTGAAATTCTAAGCCTTATTTTCCTGTTTTATAAAACCAAGGTCATCATACCTGCTTGACAAAATTGTGGTAAGAAATTCCAATATATGAAAAGAACTGTTTGGCACTAATGAAATATTCTAAATGGCAGCTATTTAAACAGAATTAATTTTCTGTTATCAGAGGTACACTCAGCTCAGTACTGGAAGCACAGTAGCTGCTCAAGTACTATCTGTATGTTGATAAAGTCCATTCTGTTGTACTCCTTGGAGAACCTGTCTGGTCATCTTACTTGATCAACAGGGTGTGGAAAAGATTGTGTTATAGCAAAATAGCTTTGGTGTTAATGAATTCAATCTTGTCCTACAATTGCAAAATAATAAGTTTGCGCACACAGCTAAAATTAAAGAAAACTGTATTAGGGAAGCATAAGACTATTGTACTCAGGGTAATGTATCTATCTCAAAATGCTTTAGGTCTTAGAAAGAGGTAGATTTGCATCATAGATAAGATGAGTAATCACAACAGTAAGTTCTATGAAATAACTGTCAGAGAATGTGAGTATCTCTTAAGGTATGCAGATACATATCTTAAATCTGCCTTCTCTTGCAGAGGATTACTATAATTATTAATTTAAACAGCAATTTATTGAATTATGTGGGTATGGAGTCATAGGCTAATGTATATACTCACACCACAGCATATTACACCCTTGCACCTATAACAGATATATTTTACCAACTATACTTATTTAGAGTATTGGTAAATCATTGCCCTTTGCTTATATACCTTTGCTGTATAAATGGTAGTCAGAGTATGTAAGGGAAGAGAGAAGTTGACCAAAGCTGGAACAATGTCACCAGAAAAGTCTACTGTACTCACGATGTACAGATTCAACAGATCAACTTACAATACTGTTTTAAATAGCCACTCAATAAAAGAACGAAGTTAAGAAGGTGAATATGTTTGATGTGCTTTCTATACAAAAATGAATATAGAATTTTTAAACCTGTTGAAATCATCATAAGAAAAGAACTAAGGTAGAAAAACAAAAATAGAAGGGATGAACCAATTCTGGTTATATTACACGTATAAATGAAAATGTCACAATGAATCACATGGAACATATTTTCAGAAGGGGAGAATAGGAAGGCAAAACAGGTACCAGTGGTAGAGGGGAGAAGAAGGATGAATATGGTAGAAATATTATGTACTCATGTATTTAAATGGAAAAGTGAGACCTGTTAAAACTATTCCAGGAATGAGGGAAAGAGGGATAAAGGAGAATGATGATATATTATAAGAACTTTTATAAATGTCACAATGTACCCTCAGTATAACAATAATATGATATTAAAAAAAGAAAAAGAAAATATGTAATATTAAAAAAAACCACCCAAATAACTTTTTTTGAAATGTAAATTTTCATACATTTTTGTCATAGTTTAGAAGATTATCAATAGTATACAATTCAAACTTCTACTTCACCTTCCAGTATGGTAAAAAATAAATAAATAAAAAGACCCTACAATTTGAAAATCAAATCCCAGCTCAGCCATTAACTGAATGACATTTTCTTTTATCTTTGTCTTGTTTAGAAATCAGATTATAGTGCAAGGCCCTGAATTCACTCCCCAGTGCCACCAAAAAATACAGAGAGAAATAAAAATATCTACCAGAAAAGAATTATTGCAGATAACAGGTGGTGCATATACATATCTGTAATACATATTACCATGTGCATTTGTATTTCACCCATTTTGTGTATGCATATATACTTGCATACTAAGTTTCGATAACTATTTCTACTTAATTTCACATATAAAAGTAGTAGAGCACTTGCCTAGGAAGTACAAGGCCTTGAAAACAACATATGTACACATTTATACATATATATGTATATATATTAGATGTTTCTATGAAGAATGTAGATACTCACTATTTCCTAAAAGAAAAGAATAACACTTATTCTCTATATTACAGGCTTATGAAAAAATTGCTTACCTGCTCACTAATTTAGGTAAGTCCCTTTTTCCCTAACATATGGGCACATATCTGTAGTTGCTTTATGTATTTTAGCTTTTTTAGCATATTCAGTTATATAGCTGTTTATAAAAATGAGAGAGGTATGAGAAGAAATTGATCTACATCAAATAACAATAGAGAGGCAATGCATGTAGCTACAAAACATCCTAACTAGAAATTAGCAAACCTCATTCTTTCTATTCGGGCATGCTTTTTTCTCCAATTTTTCAGTTCTTTATGTTTTTTTTTCCCAATGCTTATTTTTTAACCTAAGTATTATACCACACACACATGTTTTAAAATACAAAACAGCACTAAGAGATTGTTAACAATGTACCCATTCACATATTTTCTGTGATTCTGAACCACTTTTTTTTTAACAGTTTCTTCTTTTACTCCCCAACCTATTTCTAAAGAACACTTCCATTAGCTTATTGGATTTTTATCTTTGCATAGCTGTTTATTTCCTTCAATTTATAAAAGTAACAATTATAAAGACAAATCTTAATCTTCCTTGCAATGCCCTGTGGTTGCATACCTCCCCATTCATCACCTGAAAAACATGACTTGATTTTCTTCTCCGTTCCAAAACACTTAAAAAGGGTATATATTTGGCCAAATTAGTAATTAATGTTCATATCATTGTATCTATATAATTGTTTTCATATCTAAGACATAGTATGTGCTATAATTATGTTTTAGTTTCACTTTTATATTTTCATGAAAATGGCTTATTTTTGTTCAGTAAAGTTTTTGTTATGATGCTAAATTTCCTGTGACTGTTCAAACACAACGAGTATACTGTGCACTTGATATCCTTGCTAGAATTACTCTCCCAAGCCCCTATCTGCTGGAGCAGATGAATTATGCTCTAGGCTAAGGCCACCTGCATCTGGACTCACTTTGACAAGCACCCTGGCAATTTCTTTCATCTTTCTACCTCAGTTGACTGGTATTCCCTGAATCCTGATTCTTCTTCCTTAGATGAAGTCCTTATTTTGCTATGTGCAAGTAAATTTTTTGTAACTTCATATGTTTGAAAAACATCTTTATTCTATCCTTGAACTTGAATTTTGGATTTCCTGAGTACAGAATTCTAAATTGGAACTAACTTTACCTTTGATTTTTCAAGGAATTTGTTTACAACTTTCTGGAATCCTGTATCGTTAGTGAGAACTGTGCTGCCAGCTTGATCCTCTGTCTGCATGCAATTTGTTGTGATTTTTCATTCACTGCTCTGTAATAGTTTTGGATCTTTTCTCACTTTGAGATTTCATAGGGATGTTCTCTGGTTAGAGGCTTTTATAGTTTGGTATGCAGGATGGTTAATGTGTTCCATGAATACATGTATTATTGTATCCACAAATGACATGGAACTAAACATTGCAAGAGCTGTATTGGGGATAATTTCTAAGAAAGATGTAAGTAGAAAGAAGCTGAATGGGCAGGGAGAGGCTCAGACAGCATCGCAGAGATGATAGTCTTTACCAACCAAGTGAGAGGAGTGAGGACAAAGATTTCAAAGATTTACAGAATCCAACATTGGGTATAATTGGCTAAATCCTAGTCCCTTTCTCATGCTGAGTCATTGTGTGGTGGCTAGCTGGAAAGAGTGAGGTCTTGGCCTGAAATCTGAAGCATGGTGTGATGGTGAACACGGCCAGAGTCTGACAGCTGACTGCACTCTTTGCAATTGAACAGCAAGTTCTTTTTTTTTTTTATTTTTATTTTTTTATTTTTCTTTTATTACTCATATGTGCATACAAGGCTTGGTTCATTTCTCCCCCCTGCCCCCACCCCCTCCCTTACCACCCACTCCGCCCCTCCTTCTCCCCCCCTCAATACCCAGCAAGAAAACTATTTTTTGCCCTTTATTTCTAATTTTGTGTAGAGAGAGTATAAGCAATAATAGGGAAAGGAACAAGGGTTTTTGCTGGTTAGATAAGGAATAGCTATTACAGGGGCATTGACTCACATTGATTTCCTGTGCGTGGGTGTTACCTTCTAGGTTAATTCTTTTTGATCTAACCTTTTCTCTAGTACCTGTTCCCCTTTTCCTATTGGCCTGAACAGCAAGTTCTTACTGGAGGGAAATCTTAGTGGGCACATCTCCAAACCACCATAATCTAGAAATCAAAAGCTTAACTTTAGGGTTTTTCACTTTTTTTAAAAAAATAATTTTCCTTCTTTTTTTCTTGAAATTTGTGTTTCTGTCCATATTCTATAATGCTATTTTTTTCTTTTCCCATTTTCTGTGTATTTCTTAAGAGTTTATTCAACATAGTGTCAACTGTATCTTACAAGTCTTCTCATGAGTGCTTTAAATCAGCTCATTTTCCAGAATATGTCCTGTTCTCTGAGTATTCCATTTCTATGTCACCCAGATCTTGTTTCACAGATGCAATATCTGAAGTAGGGAAGATAATGGAGTAAGAAAGCATGGGTTGAAATTTGGCTTCATAACTTATTCTAAGCAGTTACACAGCAGCAGTGATTTTTTTTTTTTTCCCTCTTGGTGCCTCAAGTTCATTTTCTATCAGTGGGGTAAAGTTTTCCATGAATGCCACATAGTGTTATTGTGAGTTCATGTATGCAAAGCATTTTTAAGAGTATCTAAAGCAGTTAGTACAGGAAAACAAACATGATAGCTGTTAACTTGTACTTCCTATTTGAGCATATTTAAGGTCTCTTTAAAAATGGTTATCTTTTTTATTGTTTTTTGCTTGTGCATAATTTCTGTCTGTGTGTTCCTTTTTTCACTTTGTTTCAAACTTTGTCTTTCTTGTTATAGCCTTTTTTTAAATGCCAGGTAAACTGTGACTTCTACTCACTTTTTATAGTGAAGCATTGAAAAGCACCTAGGGAACCTCTGTATGGGAGTTATCTACTAGTCACCAGCCCTATAGAGTGGACAGTATCTTATCCATTTTGTGGAAAATTCCAAGTGCTGGAATCATAGCTATTGTCTCCTGGATTGGTCAATATCCCTTCAGAGACATGTTGCTACCCTCTACTTAGTTCTTACCATGCTGACTGCTGAATGAGGAAAATACCATAGGTTTAACTTAGAATATAGATGTGCATATAATCCCCTCTGAGACTCTCCCAAATCATATCTTCATTTATTCATTTGTTCCTAGGTACTTTTGCCTCCAATTCTTGAATTTTCTATAATTTTATAAATAGATATCAGCTTTCCTGTTAGGGTTCTCCATACTTCTACCATTACCTCTATCCTCAATCTTTGCAGACTTTGCTGATCTATTTAGTTAGTATTGTCTATACCTTTTCTAGTTTTGAGGACATAGATCTCCCACATCAACTGTTTTGACCTTTGTTCTACTCTCATTCTTTTTGTCCTTGTACGGTAGTGCCTTTTTCAACATTTAGTGATTTGTTTTGGGAATTCAGAAAGGAGTAGATATAAAGATATGAATGCTACAAACAGAAAGTCTTTAAGGAGTTTCTCTACTCGTTGTCCTCATCAGCAAACCAGAAATATTGGAATGTATCTTGTGTTCATTTTGGGGGACAAATATCTTATTACATAACTGTTGGAGAAGTGATCCCCTCTGCTCCTCCTTCTTTTCTTATTTTTTGTGTCCCAGTTTTTGTATTGTTAAAGTGAGAATGATAACAGCTCCTATTCCATCATTGTTAAAGATTGGCTACCTGACATAAGACAAGTGTTCAATAAGTGAGCAATGATCTGTTTCATTGTTCTTTAAATTCTCCGAGGTGAACTTTGTTCTGCTATGTAATGAAACACTTGGACTAAATTAGTCTCAAAACTCTTCTTTATCTATTTAGTAGCTTTTAAAGTCCTTTCTTCCCAGAATAAAGACAAATGTAAGGAGAATTACTTGGTGGAATTATGATTTATAGGAAGAAACAGAACAGCAAGAAATGTTTTTTCCCTAGTGAAGATAGTGCTCGATGATAAGCTAGGATCTGACATCATCACTCAGTCATAAACTAGGGCCTTGTTTCTTACTATTAGTTTCTTTATTCCTTACAATTAATACATATAGTAAGAAGGTACTCTGTTTTAAGATTATAATACTGTGAGGGATTTTTGACCTCTGATGTCAAAACTTTGTTTGACCTTTGAAAAATAAAACGTAGTGGTAGTAAGGAGGTAGAGGGGAGAGGGAGGGGTTAGGTTAGGTAAGGGAGGGGGTGGAGGAAGGGGAGAGAAATGACCCAAACATTGTATGCACATATGAATACAAGAAAAAAGAGAAGAAAAAGAAAACATAGTGATATATTGATGAAAAGAAACAAATTCAAAATTCAAAAATGTGAATGACTGACAATTGAGGAGCAAGAGCAAATATTTGAAGAATGTAGTAACAGTAGCATCAGATATGACTATTTTAATATTAAGCAAACTAGAATTTAAAATACATTTGAGAACTAGAAAATTATATGCCATATTGAACAAAATATAGGAAGCAAAAACTAATAGAAAAACAAAAATAACTTGACAAGTCCACAGTCAAAGCATAAGTAAAATGTGGGCATGCTGGCATACCCTGTAATCTCAGCACTTGGTTGGCAGAGGCAGGAGGATCACAACTCCCAGGCTAGTCTGGGCTACATACGGAGATTCTGTCTCAAGAAAACTAAGAGCTGGAGGTGTAGCTCAGTGTTTACTTGCTTAGCATGTGCAAGGCCTTGAGTTTACTCTCCAGCACCACTATATATGTATGTGTGTGTGTGTGTGTGTGTGGTGTGTGTGTGTGTGTGTGTAAAGATATGGGGAAATCAACTATCACAGTTAGCAAACTACTTTGAAAATATATACAATCTATAAATTCAACAGAAAAACAAATATCCTTATATTCTTTTCAAACACTTCATTTCTTGACACACACTAATCTACAAAATTTGACCACAAAATTGCAGCTTTTTGCCTCAAAGCAGAAATCACACAGGACACAGTTTGGGTCATGATGCAACCAAAGTGGAAATGGAGAACTAAAACTATCTAAAACATGAGGAATGTTTTTTAAATCCACATTTTCTTTTCTAGATCAATTTTCTGTCAAACTGAAAGAACTAAATTTACAAACTAGAAGGAAGCAACAACAAAAACAGAACATGTCAGAACCTTTGGAGAATAGTTCTTCCTGGTGGTTCTTGCACATGTATTGCAACCAGTTACTCAATTGGAGGCCCCTTCTACCTCCAGCATCCACCACTATGGACTTGGGCAGTTCCCTAGAACCCTTTCCTTCCATGTGTTTTGGCTCATGTACATAATTGATCTGAATTTTCTTTAAGTTAGGTCTTGTATTCTGTCTTTCTTGAATTCTTTAATTACATTAACAGTTGTATTAGACATACATGTATATTTTTATCACTTATTTGGATATTAGATAGGAGCCCAGGCTCTGGTGTTCACTGCCATCTTTATCCAATCTATCTTATATTTTTTCTTTTAATAGTCATGGAACTACAAGATATAAGAGTTCATAAGGTTCTTAAAATCATTTAAACTACTCAATTCACAAATGAGAAAACTAAACATAAAAAATGTAAAAAGCTTCACTTGACATTACTTGCAAGTAAGGGATAAGGCTGAGATAAGAAGTCAGGTCATATGACTAATACAGTAATCTTTTCTCTTTCTCAACAAAGTACTCTGGAGTGGTATAGTCTATATCAAGCATAGTTTGAGTGAAGGGCTGATCATATCTTTATAGTTACCTCTAAAAGACAAGAACTGTCTAAATTCTCTCTAAAAGAAATTCTAGAACATCTTTATATATTAGTAACAAGAATCGTGCTGCTGCATCTGTGGGAAAAGTCTGGAAATTATCTTACTAAATCCCCTCATGAACTCTGTACAGCAAATACTATCATTTTCATTTTATAGTCACAGACACTAGAACTCAAAGCTTCTAAGTATCTCATAAAACTAGTAGATGGCTAAAACTAAAATAGAGCATAGGACTTCCAATTTCATGTCCAGATTTGTTGTCATTCCCCTAATGGATGTGAATACACTTGTGTTCCTTTCAGAATATCCTCGAACAGAATCTGAGTGGGAAAACAGCTTTGCCCTGAAAATGTTCCTTTTCCAATTTGTCAACTTAAACAGTTCTATCTTCTATATTGCTTTCTTTTTGGGAAGGTAAGTCAACCTTATACACATCTTTGCAGAATAAAAAACACAGCCAAGGGTTCCACTGTCAATTAGTTAACAAAGGTGGCAAATTCTTGGCCCTGGCCTAGGAAGATTGTGATAACGAGCTTTCCCAAGGATTCTCACTCAGAGACTTCTGGCAGCCACTACCAATTAAAGTTGGTATTCAAAAAAAATAGAATCTATATGCCATATTTGAATTGAGCTATGACTGTCTATGTTGCAGCAATTATTTTGTTAAAGAAGAAAAGGACTTTTGTGTAACCCTGGATTACAATTCCTAATGTGGAAGCTTCAATCCATTTAAATGGATTTTTCTTTACCTACTCTACAAAATGCAAAAAAAAAAAGAAAAATTAAATTAATGGGTCTGGTTGGTTATATGGTTTATACTCCACACAGCACCATGGAAACATAGGGAAGCTAGAAAACACTTTTAATAAAACCGTTCATCACTTTATGTTAATGTCGATGAACTTCTTCCGTAAGAAAATACGACCCTACATCTGAAAGTATTAAATGTTATCAGGTTGTTTGTCTGTACTTCCTCAACCCACTGGTACTTTCTCTTTTTTAAGTCAGGCACTTTGAGTTGACTAAGCATAACAAAAGTCAACTGTTTGAGAACTAGATGCACCAGTGAACATTTATGTCTACCCACACATGTACTTGTTGTAGGGTGTTGGTAGGTGTTCCTCTCACATGACTGCTAATGAATTAAAATGTTTTGTTCCAGATTTGTAGGCCACCCTGGAAAATACAATAAACTTTTTGACCGATGGAGACTAGAGGAAGTAAGTAACCTTGTGAGAGTGGGTAAGTGGATGGCATAGACACAGGCCAGTGACTGTGGGAGGCAGAGGATTGTGGAAAGAAGGATATGTCCAGGCATATTGAAGACACAATTTTGCTACAAAAGTGTTCCTTGCATTTGAAAAAGAACTACATTTATGAATAAAACATTCATAGCTACATTTATGAATAAAATTTGGTGTTTTGAAAGGTTATACCTCATGAATCTGACCTCTGCTCTCTTTTATCACATCTATTCCATTCACAAACACCAAGAATTTAATTCCAGTAATTTTTATCATTTTGAAAGTTAGTATTATTTATTAAATGAGCCTCCAAACTTTTAAATATGTGAAGTTTTTTTTTAAGAAGGGAGATTTTAGTTCAAAAGAAATTTTATTTGAAACACTAATATAAATATATAAGCATATCTGACAAAGTCTGAAACTTATACATTGATTTAAAATATGTATGTCCTTTGGGAAAATATGTAGGAACAGTATTGCTATATATTTTCACTGAGACTGAGAAATCGTTCTTCAAAAGGCTACTACCTATAGTGTAAATTCTCACTTTTCTCAGACTTTTGCCAACAAAAAGATTGATTTTGTCAATCTGATTGTCAAAATATATCTCCTTTTGATTTTAGCTTCTTTATTTATGATTGAGATGCTGAGTATTTGTCATGTTTGTTGGACATATTTTATTACTATGTGTGTTTGTACTATTTTGGTTCATTTTCATTAGATTGTTTCTCTGCTTCATTAATTTATAAAATAATAAAATTAATCTCTAATCTTTCAAACTGGCTGCAGATTTTCCCTTAATTTTTTCTGACTTTTTTATTCCTTGATACATTTTTTTATTCATTTATTCACATGCGCATACATTGTTTGGTTCATTTCTCCCACCTGGCACCCTCCCCCCTCACTCCCCTTCACTTCCAGGCAGAATCTGTTCTGCCCTTATCTCTAATTTTGTTGAAGAGAACACATAAGCATAATAAGAAGGACAAAGCGTTGCTAGTTGAGTTAAGGGAAGCTATACATAGAGATTCCTAGCATTGCTTCCATGTACAAATGTGTTACATCCCAAGTTGATTCAACTCTAACTGATCTTTACATTGGTTCCTGATCCCTTTCTCATGTTGACCTGTGTCTCTTTAAGGTTTCTGTATTGATTTCTCTGGAGTGGGGACATCAAATGCTTTCATGTTTTGGGTTTTCTACCTATCCCCATACCTCCCGTATGTGCTTTCCCCTTGTCATGTGACCCAAGTCCAACAACATTGCTGCTTTTGCCCTAGATCTAAAGTCCACATATGAGGGAGAACATATGATTTTTGGTCTTCTGAGCCTGGCTGACATCGCTCAGAATGATGTTCTCTAGTTCCATCCATGTACTTGCAAATGATAGAATTTCATTCTTCTTCATTGCTGAGTAAAATTCCATTGTGTACAAGTACCACATTTTCTTGATCCATTCATCAGTAGTGGGGCATCTTGGTTGTTTCCATAACTTGGTTATTGTGAATAGTGCTGGAATAAACATGGGTGTGCAGGTGCCTTTGGAGTAGCCTGTGTTGCATTCCTTTGGGTATATCCCCAGGAGTGGGATTACTGGATCATATGACAGATATATTTTTACACTTTTAAGAAGCCTCCAAATTTTTTTCCAGAGTGGTTGCACCAGCTTGCATTCCCACCAGAAGTGTAAGAAGGTTCCTATTTCCCTGCATCCTTGCCAACACATGTTGTTGTTGGTGATTTGGATGATGGCTATTCTAACAGGGTTGAGGTGGAATCTTAATGTGCTTTTGATTTGCATTTCCTTCATGGCTGGAGATGGTGAGCACTTTTTCATGTGTTTTTTGGCCATCTGAATTTCTTCTTTTGAGAAAATTCTGTTCAGTTGTCCATTTCTTAATTGGTTCATTGATTTTGGGAGAGTTTAGTTTCTTAAGTTCCCTGTGTATTCTGGTTATCAGTCCCTTGTCTGATGTATAGCTGGCAAATATTTTCTCCCACTCTGTGTGTGGTCTCTTCAGTCTAGAGACCACTTATTTTGTTGTGCAGAAGCTTTTAAATTTTATGAAGTCTCTTTTGTCCATTCTTTCTCTTAGTTGCTGAGCTGCTAGGGTTCTATTGAGGAAGTCCTTGTCTGTACCTATTAATTCCACAGTGTTTCCTGCTCTTTTCTGTACCAACTTCAGAGTTTTGGTTTGCTATTAAGGTCCTTGAGCCATTTTGAGTTGATACTAGTATTGCTACTCCTGCCTGTTTTCGGGGGCCATTGGCTTGGTAGATCTTCTTCCAGTCTTTCACCCCCAGCCAGTGCTTATTTCTGACAATTAAGTGGGTCTTCTGTAGGCAGCAGATTGTTGGATCTTCCTTTTTAATCCAGTTTACCAATAAGTGTCTTTTGATGGGGGAATTTAGTGCATTAACATTCAGTGTTAGTATTGATAAGTATGTGGTGATCCCTGTCATGTAGCTGTCTTTGTTGATTAAGAGTTTGATTGTGTGTAGCTGAATCAATGTTACTCTGTACTTTCTTGCCTTTTCTTCTCCTGTGGTTTGGTATTGCCTGCCCTTTCATGGTTTTGTTTGCTTTCACTTTCTATGTGCAGAATTCCTTGAAGAATCTTTTATAGTGGTGGCTTGGTGGCCACATATTGTTTTAGTTTCTGCTTATCATGGAAGATTTTTATTGCTCCATCTATTTTGAATGATAGTTTTGCTGGGTAGAGTATCCTAGGGTTGAAGTTATTTTTATTCAGTGCCTGGACTATCTCACTCTGATTAAAAGCTCTTCTTGCTTTTAATGTTTCTGTTGAGAAATCTGCTGTGATTGTGATGGATTTACCTTTGTATGTTATTTGTTTTTTTTTTCTCTTACAGCCTTCAATATTCTTTCTCTACTTTCTGTGCTTGTTGTTTTAATGATAATATGTTGTGAACTAGTTTTATTTTGGTCAAGTCTGTTTGGTGTCCCAGAGGCTTCTACCTGGATGGGCATAGTCTTCTCTAGATTTGGAAAATTTTCTGTTATTATTTTGTTGAATATATTACAAATTCCTTTTGCTTGCACCTCTTCTCCTTCTTCAATGCCCATGATTCTCAGGTTTGGTCTTTTGATGGAGTCGGTGAGTTCTTGCATATACCTTTGAGAGTCTTGAGTTGTCTGACTACTAGTTCTTTATTTTTCCTTTAATTACCACTTCATCTTCGAGTTCTGAGATTCTGTCTTCTGTTCATTCTAGTCTGCTGGAGTGGCCTTCCATTTTGTTTTGTACTTCTTTTTCATTCTTTTTTCTGAAGTTTTCCATATTATGAGTCACTGCCTCTTTAATATTGTCAATTTTCATCCTTAATTCATTTATCTCTCCATTTATGGTGTTCTCTGTTTCATTTTGGTATTTATTTAAGGCTGCTATGATTTCATTTATTTGTTTTTGTGTTTTCCTGGTTCAGTAACAGTAGAATTTCAGTCTTAGTAGTTCTGATATTACTCATTTAGCATCCAGTCCTGTTTGTCTGCATCTCATAGGCAGGTTTGGAGCTGGTGTCTGGTGGTGTTTGAGCCCTCCTGTGGTGGGCAATGGCCAGCCCACTGGCCATTGTGCAGGCAGTGGTCTGCAGGATGGCAGCCTGGCAAGGCAGCAGCCTGGTGGGCCTCCAGGGTGGAGGTCCGGCAGATGGCAGCGGCATATGGGCCAGCTTGTTCTTTCAGTGTATTGTGGCATGGAGAAGCTTTCCATGGGCTAGGGGTTCAGGGTGCTGAAGTTAAGCTCTCCCTGGTGCTTTACCTCAGCCATGCATGTCTCCAGCATCTCAGCAAGGTCCCTGATTCATGGAGCTCATGTAGTCTGTGTCCGTCTCCCAGTCACCACTTTCAATACCTCCTTGATACATATTTGTTTTAACAAAATTCCAAAGTGTTTTCTAATCAAATAATCGTTTTTCATAATGTCAGTATTGCATCATGTCACAAATGACAATTTCTCATTTCTAGAAATTAAAAAAACTTTTTTTTACTAATGCTATTTTTTAAATGAGAATATCTCTTACCCATTAAGAAGTTACTTTGGGGTAAAGAATAATCAGGTATTTTCCCCAAAATGGAAGTTATACATTTAATAAAAATATTTTTCTCATTCAACTAAAAGAGTTTCTAAATTTATCGTGGTTTACATATTATAATTATTGATTTCTAAACTCTATACACATACTAACCAGAATGTCTATTCCTTCTTTAGTTCAAAATTGATTTAATGATTTTACTGTAAAATCTAATTTAATATATAGTGCCATTAGTCAGAAGTCATAATTTAGAAAGTGGTTAGAAAAGATTCTTCTAGTCTCCATCTAAAAATCTCCTCAAAATTCAGGGGAGGCCTCATTCGTGGTTTTTCCCCAGGTCATTCCAGAAATTTATTGTAATACATGGACAAAGCCTAAAACTTCTTAAGACCATATACTTCATAATCAGAAACCTGGACTCAAATGTTAACTACCCCTACATATACGTTGCCTTTAATTTAATTTCTTTGAATATTTGTTTTCTCTTCCTAAATTGGCAATAAAAACCTTAGGTTGCCAAGTTGCTTATAGATAAAAGACAATTTGGCTGGGTGTGGTGATGCATGTCTGCAATTCTAGCTACTCTGTATGTGGAGATCAGGAGAATGGAGGTTCAAAGTCAACCCAAACAAAAAGTAAGTGAGATCCTCAGCTCAACCAAAAGCTAAGCATGGTGGTACATGCTTGTCATCCCAGATATGGTGGGAAGTATAAATAGGAGGATCACAGTACAGGCTACCTGGGAAAAATGCAAGACCCTATTCCAAAAATAACTAAAAAGTAAAAAGGGCTGGGGGCATGGCTCAAGTGGTAGAGCACCTGTCTAGCAAGCATGAGGCCTTGAGTTAAAATCCCAGTATCACCGAAAAAAAAAAAAGAAAGAGATAGACAGTTTATGTAGCACAATTAGCACAATCCTTGTCCTATTAGCAAAATTATTGCTTACTTAAAAATGTTCTGACTTAAAAGTGATTGCGGCATATCATTCCATTGACCAAAGACAGACTAAAGGTGGGCCTGGTGATGTACATCTGTAATCCCAGAACTCAGGAGCCTAAGGCAGGGTAATCATGAGTTTGAGGACAGCATGGACTACATAGTGAGTTCAAGGCCAGGCTGGGCTACACAGAAAGACCCTGTCTCCAAAAAAAATATGTAGAAGCAAACAAAGAAACAAAGACAGACTAGGAGACTAAGGTCATTCCTAATCTTGGGACAGTCTCAAAGTCCCCAAGTCCAGTTGGTAGCTTTCTATTGTGGACCAGAATTATAGACCAGAATTATGCCCATATCTACTAAAAGGTTAGTTACCCAACCAATTAGGGACCAAAGGCTTACTTTTCACCAGAAGTGTTCAGTTGAAGTTAGGAAGAGTAAAAGGGGGAACAGAGTGGTGATAGTCAGGTGATTCTACATTTTGATGCCATTTGAGAGGCTACTGCCACCACTAATTTTGTTTAATTAGATATTTTTATTATGAAATTATTAGAAGTCTTGATTAATCTTTGAAAGTCTCAGAAAAAATAGTTATACTTCAGGTGCCAGAAAAATGTTTAATAAACATCCAAGATAGTTTCTATCATATATGAGATATATGACAGCCATATTTTCCAACAAAGTACTATATATAATATTAGAAAAAAAAATCAGTAAAATGAGCAATATAAGTTTGTGATGAACATTAGGAATCCTGGAAGTGTAGATATAGAAAGTATACCTAATAGAAGTTAAGAATTTATTTATTGACACATATTCTATGTCAGCCCTCTGATGGGCAGTATGAGCAGTACAAATGAAAGCGTTTCTTTCCCTTCTCTGATAACATTAGTAGTCTTGAAGAACAAGACATTTTCATGAAATGTAACAAATATTTTGTCTTTGGACTGTGATAGTCTAGTTCTTTCCTACCCATAGGCAAGATCTTAGCATGTATAATTCTCAGTTCTTTTTTATAATAAGCTGGTGATGAGAACAGCTATCCCGGTATTGTTGATTGGTGGGTTAAATTGGGTTGTGCGTGTGAAATACTAGTCACAATTAATGGTAACTATCATAAAGAAAGAAAAATGTCACCATTTGTTTTAGCATATTTATGAACTGGCCATTCAGGACTTGTGACTTTCATACTATGTGCACATATATAGTTATATATGTTTGCATATGTAAATATATACATATATACCTCTAAGTCTTTCTACAGATATAACAAACTTCAGTTTCCAGCTGTGGTCTTTTATCTGCTCTGTGGCTTAGTAATTATTCAGCTTCAAACATTCTAGTGAGTACATTTATGGGTTATATGTGATAGAGTTCAGTGGGTCCTAAATTCATCCCAGAAAGAAGTGTGGTTTCACAAAAAATATTTTGTGTAAATTTAGTATTACAAAATTTTTTTTGGCAATACTATAGTTTGAACTCATTATTCACACTTGGTAGGCAGGTGCTTTATCACTTGAGCCACTCCACCAGTCCTACTATTACAAATTTCTAAGTAATAGCTAGCATTGAGTGCTCACTGCATGCTAGCATATTCCAGTAATTGTACAAAATGTTCTTCATATAAAAATTTTTAATCCTTGTAATGATTCTGCTTTTACATTTATTTTACAGATAAAGAAACAAAGGCATTAGAACTTATGTAATTTTCCTACAGCTATAAAAATCAATGAAGTTATGATACGAGTGTAGGCAGTATAGCTTCAGATTCTATGCTTTGACCGTTGTGCTTTCCAACCACCATTGGGATAGTGTGTAGATACCACCCAGTACATAATGGAAGTTTATTTTGCTAAGAGATTGCTCTGATTGCTGGCTCATTCATGTAAGTTGGATTTAGAGTAAAAAGTACTAAAAGAGATTAAGTGAAAGATCATGGGTATGGGAGTCTGATAATACTGTCTACCCCCCAGTTTCACCATCTACAAAGTAGAGACACCACCACCCACCACCCCAGGTTCTCACCAAGAGTAAATGAGAAAAATGTGTGAAAGCTCTCATCTTTGTCTTGTCCATGATCATGTGATTTTGAGTGGTGCAGATAGGATGAATTCCTGTGTCTTCTGCAAACTCATCTGTGTGCCATGTTACACACTGAAAATAAGGGCATTTTTTTAAACCAGGTAATCTTTAGGGTATTGAAGAACTGGATTCAACTCAAGGCCACCATTATGTGAATGGGGCACACTAACACGAACCACTGAATTCCTTTCTCTTCCCTATAAATCACAAACTCTTCCAGGCTCGATATCAACAAAATCGTAAAAGATCCATACATGATTTTATGATTGTCTTCATTTTTCTATCTCACATAATAGCATACTTGTGCTAAATCAACACTTCAAGGACATAGACACATTTGGTTAGTATAATTTATCCTTAGCATGGTATAAAAGAGCAGAGCATTGGGAAGAGGGGATCATGACTTCCTTCCCAAGTATCAGTCAGTTTTCATTACCTAGGACAAGTCAATTTACCTCCTCAGCTCAGCTGTAAGTTATGATCTGCCCTGTGGCTTACCAATTATTCAGCTTCAAGCATTCTTCTGAACACACTTATGGGATATATGTGACAAAGTTCACGGGGTCCCAAGTAGTTCCTAGAAAGAAGAGGCTTGCTTGAATGGAAGAATTTAAACTATTCCACATAATAAATATGATCACTAACAAACCTTCCCTTTGACTCGGATTAGAATGTTAAGTTACTGAACTGGAACAGGAAAAGCAGGTTCTTTTGTGTCCTAATTATTTGTTCTTTTTGAAGTCCCTCAAGTACCCAATTCGATTGAAATAAAAATCAAAGCTATAGAGACCATCATGCTTATGAGCAGGACAGGAACCCATTTATAAAGAAATAAACCCACACTTTACTCCCCAAATGTCTCTTATAGTGCAAAGCTTTTAAAGCAAATGCATTGGTTTCCATTTTCACTAAAATCAAATTTATGTGTATATATGTTTCTAATACAAAGTTTTTGAAAATACAGAAAAGCAAAGGAGCACAGAAGAGAAAAATTGGGGATCATACTGCCAAACTATTTTGTCACATGCATTTATCACTTAAAACATAAAAAATGTAGATATTCCTTTCCCAGAAGGTAGATTTTAACACTTCTCTACTATTATGAGAGTGGGATAGACGTTCTCACTCACTTCTAAAGATAAAACAAAAAAGAGAAAAAATGAGTAACTTTCCAGGGATGGAAAGAGCCTGGAAAACACTGTTTCAACCAATTAATGAAGATAATATCACTAGTAATATTGTGACATAATGTAGCTCTGATAGGATGTGATGAAAATGACACTTTACATTGGGGTTCTATCTTCCAAAACACATAACCCCAGGCCTTAACATAAGAAAAACATTAGACAAACACATACTATACATCCATCCAGTGATGTTCAAAACTCTGAAGGTTATGAAAAATTATCCAGACTGGGGAGACTGGGGAGAAATAAAGATTTGCAATGGGATGTGTTGGGTGAAATCCTGGGACCAAAAGAATAAAGCTGGTGAAATGCAAATATTTTCTGGGGTTTAGTTAATTGCAGTATACTGATGTTGTTTTCTTAGCTTTGACAAATATACCACGGCAATGTAAGGAACAATGGCAAGAACTATGTGAGGAACTATTAACACTCTCTGAAGTATTTTTGCACACTTTTAAAACTTCTAAAATTATCCTGAAATACAAAAGGTCATAAAAACAACATGTTATAACAACAACATATTATAATATTGTGTCACAGTAAAGCACTGAAAGACCCAGGTAAACATACTGTACTATTGATACCTTCACAATAGATCCAGTGACCAGAGTCCTCCTTCAAGAGAATTATTTGTCTGTTGCCTGATTGTTAATAGATATATAGTATTCCATAGCTTTGCTAATTTGATAATGCCTAACCAGAGTTTTCCAAACAGTAAGTACTCATTAAAAGACAGATTTCTTATTACACCTATAATTCTTATCAGAATTCCATCATATTTACTGAAAAATTCCCCACCAAATGTCCTCATACATAGTACTTCTTTCTTTCTTTCTTTTTAATGCATGAGACAGATAGTGTGTAACCCATCCTGGAAACTAAGCAGGGTTGGGACTGGTCAGGGTTGGATAGGATATAGTATAACCCAGGTTTAGAATTTACTATAAAATTTATAGGTAAGAATCTCTCAGCCAGCTGAGAAAAAAAAAAAAAGAACATTATTGCTCTTAATGTTTTATTTCAGTGTCATCCTAGTGGCTGTTTGATAGACCTCTGTCTCCAGATGGGTGTTATCATGTTTTTGAAGCAAATATGGAACAACTTCATGGAACTGGGATACCCGTGAGTATATTATTTTTAAACTTTCCTTATATATAGCTGCAAAGAAGAAAACAGACATGTTGTGACTACTGATTAAGAATTCAGCGTTGGTGATCACACAGATGAGGGTTGTATTCCCACTCTGCTCCTTACTGAATATGTGACTCCGTGTAAGTTAAACATTTTGAGCCTCAGTTTTCATATGCCTAAGAAGATACCAACAGTTAGATCTACCTCAGAACAGCTGAAGTGATTAAAGAAAATGATAGATGTAGATGTGTTCAACACATCAGGACACTTGCTGGATTTTTAAAATGCTAACAATACAGGTTCTTGAGGATGAAAATAGTTTTCTGGGATTTTGACTACCAGCAGACCAAGCGTGTTATATTATTGTTAAATAAAGAGAGCCTTCATCCCTTCTAGAAGAATACATGAAAGATAAAATTTTGGGTGAGATGAAGTTTGGTATACTCTATGAGCACTCTTTCCTACTCACCCCCAAAAATCTTTAAATAGGGAAAAGGAAGGAAACTTAAAACTGGAATGTGATTGATGTGCTCACTGCATAGAAGTGAATATAGTAATCTTAAACTGGCAAAGTCCACTATGGGAAGGGGACTAGAAAGTAGTAAAGAGGTCTGGTAGAGATAAACCAATATGGATTGTAATACACATATGCATGGTAACAACACTAGGAATCTCTCTATACAGCTATCTTTACCTCAAACTATAGCAAAAACACTATGTTTTTCTTATTATCTCTTATGTTTTCTCTCCAACAAAATCGGAGAATAAGAAAGCAGAACAATTTCTGCCCAGAAGCGGGGGCGGGCCATGTGCGGGAGGAGCCCAAACAATGTATGCGCATGTAAATAAATGTAAAAACCATAAAATAAAAATTTAAAAATAGTATTTTAATTTTGACCTTTTCCATAACTTTTAACCAACTGTACAAAGCTGGCAGAGATGCTGAATGCCAACTTTTAGACATAAAAATATTTTCCATCAAATGTATACACATATGAATAAATGTATGAACAATTTAAAAATGCAGTTTAAGCACAAGCTATTTAAACAATCCAGTATTGATGCTTTAGAACCTAATCAACCAGAAGTAAAAATATGACTATTTTGAGTAATTTCCTGACTATGGGGGAAGAACCCATTAGCTGATCAATGATCTAAGTAGCATAGGCTTAGTCATTAAATTTTACCTTGATTCTTTTTTCATGTTGGCTATAAATTAGGACCTTCCTGAGCACAAACCAGAGGTTGAAAGAGTGATATTAACTCTGAAATCTGCCATAAAGTATTGGTTAAATTAGAAGAAGTCTTAGAGCATGGATACAGAATTACCCAACCTGATTTTATTTCCTTCTCTGTTTCTTTCTAATTTGTTTAAAAATTGTTTCATTTATAAATGAATTCTTTTCATTTATAAAATAAGATTATTAAATGACTCAACTTTTTTGTGGAGATATTTTACAGACCATCAATATTCAAAGCAGATTAAAGATAATCTCAAATGAAAAAAGGAATGGCAATGGAGGATTGGAGAGCCCAGTCCACTTACTCTGTTTTTTCCTGTCCTTGGATCAGCACTTTAACACATAGGTATAGGATATGAAAGCACCTGAGGAAATATGATATCAAGTGCATAGCACAGAGTCAAGTATGTATTCACATGCTGTGGATATTTTATAACCACCACCAGGATGGTATTGTGATCACTATAATATTAAGAACGATGTGTCTTTCTCGTCCATGAATTTCCATGTACGTTGTGCACTTCACACATTTTAACCATGGCTTTGCTCATGGGGTCAACTGGATCATATGCATCAAGTAGTGATGACACTATATATCATGGCAAGCAATATCTTGCTATGTTTTTTCAACACCTAGACAAAGCCCTTGTTGAAAAACAAGTACCAGGAGTGGACCGGTCATCAAAGCAGTGGTTTTCAAACTTTTAAACCACAAATCTCTCTCTTCAAATAAAACTATAAGCAATGCTCCCCCAAAATAAGGTAGAAACAAACAGCCCTGCCTCAATTCCATCCTCCAACCCATTTTCCTTTTTCATCTTCATGAGACTCCAGAGGTACCCTCCATGTCCTGTTTAATACAGCACTGCCTGCTATTTTGGTTTAGATATGGATGCTTTTCCAACTGTTCCTAAAGTTTTGTGATTAATTAAATCACAAACCAGGTTTGTGATTAATTAAAATTGAGCATTGGATACTGTTCACTGAGTTCTGTGATTCACATTATCCTAGAGGTAGTTTTTGTCAAATTCTTAATAATTCATTATCCAGAAGTCTACAATGTGTACATACCAAGATGTTTCTGACTCACATAATTTCAAGACCATTCCTGGGCTAAAGAAAGAGCATTGTTACTTCTGCAGCTCTGAGAAACAGAATCATATAAGTGAATCCATTGCTGGGCAAATACTTTTCACTACAGTAGAGCAGATTACAATCACTAATATTCAAATATCTCATGTTTATGAAATCAAAGAGGTGGTGTTTAACAAAAATCACACACATCTAATGCATCTCAGATAGTAACTAGAGCCTAGGTCTCTTCAAAACTTATCTAGGGCTCAGTTATTTTATGTGAAGCATAATTGTACTCAAGTTCACAGAATACAGCCCTAAAAATGTTGACTTATGAGCAATGAAGGGTTCAGACCTAATCACAATAGGCAGCATAGGAATTTAAGTGTTTTTATAGATGGAGGTGGGAAAAGGAATCATAAAAATAGGTGCTTATCTAATCAATATCAACCATTACATCTTAGCGAGTGGGCAAAGAATTCCTAATAAATATGTTTATAAGGTCTAGGGGAGTTCTAGAAGGATAGGGTCTAGTCTCTTTTACTAATTTTTTTCAAAGTTTTATTTTTTTTAAATTTGAACATTTAAAATTGTTGAAAAAATTGTTAAAGTTGAGACCTAAATTTTTTTTTTTAATGTTGTAAAAAGTTGACACCGTCAACTTTCTCCAATTCCCAGGAATGATTATGTAGTCCAAGAGTAGCTGGTCTCCTTCATTTCTTAGTAAAACATGATGTGTTCACCAGATGCTTGAATGGAAAGAGCTCACAAGCCCTTGGTCTGTTCTGTCATGCAGGCTGATCCAGAACTGGTGGTCACGACACAAAATCAAACGGGGAATACAAGACGCTTCCATACCTCAGTGGGAAAATGATTGGAACCTGCAGCCCATGAACATTCACGGACTGATGGACGAGTACTTAGAAATGGGTAAGGAAAGAATTTCTTCCGGCCCTGGAAGAAAGGAGTAATTATTTTCCACAATAAAATTTTCCTTAAATTCAGGTTGAGTGTCAGCCTTTTTGAGAATATTGTTTATTTATATTAAGAAAATAAGGGTTCTGCAGTTTGAACTCAGGGCTTCATGCTTGGTAGGCATGCACTCTACCTGAGCCACTCCACCAGTTTTGGCATTTGCTTTTCTCTGACCTTCAGTGTTCTTATCTATAAAAAGGGAAGGTAAGATTATTGCAGATTCCTTCCAGAGCCAAGCATTGTCCCTCAAGGCCTCTGTTTGCCTGTTTCCCCACTCCACACACATACACACCTTGTTCTGTCTTCTTCTCCCTTTTCCTCTCTCTCATCTTTCTCTTCATCTCTCTCTTCCCCCCTCATCCTTGTCCTTTTTCATCTTTCCCTTCTTTCATGCTATATCATATAGAAGTGGAAAGCACACATACCTTAAATCCATTCATATCTGAGTTCGAATGCTGCTTTTAACATACGTACCATTGAGCAAGTTTACTTAACACATAGGAGCTACAGTTTCCACAACCGTAAAATGAGATAAGCATATTTACTTTGTAGAGACATTGAAAGCAATTATTTTGGCACCAGCTTGATGATAATACTGTTTGTATTATTAATTTTCTAATGCTTTCCTTTTACAGTTTTACAATTCGGCTTTACCACTATCTTTGTTGCGGCTTTTCCTCTGGCCCCTCTTTTGGCTTTGCTAAACAATATCATTGAAATCAGACTGGATGCATACAAATTCGTCACGCAGTGGCGGAGGCCTCTACCAGCCCGAGCAACTGACATAGGTAAAATTCGGCAATTAAATTTTTTTTTCCTATCACTAATGCCAAGTGTATGCAATGGTAATTCATATGTTGAAACCTAATTGCCAGTGTAATAGTATTAAGAGGTGCGACATTTAAGAGGTGATTAAGTCATGAAGACAGAGTGTTCATAGGTGGGCTTAATGCCCTTATAAAAGGGCTTGAAGGAATCTGCTCGTCCTCTTCTCTTCTCTAGCCCATGTGAGCAGTCTTTGCCCCTTTTTTGCGCTTCTGCCTTCTGCTAGGTGGAGGCACTGCATCTGTCTCCTATAAAGGATCCAACAAGTCATTATCCTGGAAGCACCACTCACTGCTTGAATCTGCTGGTGTTTTGATCTTGGACTTTCCAGTCAACAGAAGAGTGAGAAACACATGTCTATTCTTAACAACTTACCCAGTCTTGAGTATTTTGTTGCAGCAGCACAGACTAACACAACCAGATTTGATCTTACATAACATCATGTAGGTTTCTATTGTGAGGGCTCCCTTGTAACCTTATAACCTTGTAAGAATAAGATGAATACTCAGGAGTAGATTCATATTAAACATGTTATTTCATAAACATTTTAAAATTAAAAGGATATCCTATACCTGTATGTCCATGTAAATAATTATAGCTTAGTCTCACTGTATACAACTGCTTTAGAGAATTCATATATACATATAACATTTCTCAAAATCAGTGCTCTAGGTGTTCAGATTGCCTCATATTTTAGTATTATAAACACCAAAGTGAACTTCTCCATACGTACTTTATTTCCCCAGAAAAATTCCTTGAATGGAACTCCTGTTCAAACAGCAAGTACACTTAAGTTTCTGATATACAATGTGACAACATATTTTCTAGAAGATCTTTGCCTCCATAATGGAAATATTAAATAAATATATAACATATATATACACATATGTACACACATTTTTTTCTTAATTTATTCACTTTATAATAAATACTATTTAAAAACATGTGCAATCAAATTGACACATTCCTTCTAGTTTTTATCAATCATGGCAGTCTTAGAAAAGTCTTTATAACTCATGATTTTTCAGCCATTATTTTCATTCTTATTTTGGTTTTTTGATGTGTCTGTGATATTCTGTTTTAGTTTATTTGTTGTTTGTTGGCATTTTAAGATTTTATTTAAGTTGTGGCTCTGTCTGCAATTTGTTGTTAATGAAATTGAGATTAAACTTTTTTCTTTTCTAATGTTTATTTTTCCCCACGCTATTAAATAATAATGGTGTCTGGAACTTATATGAATTATTTCTATTATCTTTTACTGAATTCTATATAAACTTTATCATATTTCTATAATCCATTTGCTCCATTAATCTGAATACTTATTCTGCACATTATTTTAATAAAATATAGTTTTGTAATAGCAAGTCCAGGTATATTTGAACTAATTTCACAGTTTTCCTTTTCTTTTTTGAGAATTTTATTTTTTGACTAATACATCAAGGTTACCTGTTCATTTAATTTTAATCATTTATATATTCCTGCAAATTCTATTTAAAATATACTAATCTGTAGAGATTCAATACTATGTAATTTGAGTTCTTATTATTTTGGTTTCCATTTTGGAAATAGCTAAAATTATTTCTGTCTTTTAACTTTGCCAAATTTTTTGCTGTCATTATTAAAATAATGAAAGTACATTAAAAAGCTAGAAAATGAGTGAAAGGGAAGAAACTCCTGTTGCAATCTTAATTAGCATGGATATATTACTAATATTAATATTATTCTTTGAACGTTATTGGATTTGAATTTTCTTTAGCAAGATAACACAAAGGTATAAACAGAAACAGGTGATAAGCCTTCCTCCACCTATTAGTTTTCTGTCTTATCTCAGGTAATAAGTCCATCAATTTAACATATATTCTTCATTAGTGTTTTTCTTGCTCATACAAATATACAAAACTAAATTTGTGTGCTTTTGTAGGATTCTGCACATTTTCCTTTAGGAACATCATCCACCATGAAGTATAATAGTCTTATTCATTTTAATAGACTAATAATATTCATATAATAGATATAAGATGAATTTCATATAATCATTTACTTATTTTACTACTATAAGTAGTAATTAACATCCATAAATATAGATGAATATAAACATTGTATATCCTTATGTGTGTGTGCATGCAGGGTATCTATAGTTTAGATTCCAATAAGTAGGCCTATTAGATTAAAACAAAGAGATATTTTAATTTTAGAAGTATCAAACTAACTAATGAGAAGTTGTAATAAATCTTTCCAACAAATATAGAGTTTTAAATTCTACAATTCCTAAATAACACGAGATATTATAATGTTTTCAAGTCTTTGACAATCTATTGAATTAAATAAACTTATTTTTGAAGAACATTTTTCTGAATGTTAGTTATTAAAAACTTTATTTATTGGCTATTTTCATTTCCATAGCAAAGTGCTCATTTGTATTCTTTGTTCTTTTTTCCCTTGAGTTATCTTATTAAAGTTTTAGGATCTTTATATAATAAACATTTTCTCTCAGGCTATTTACTTTTGATTGAAGGTCAAATTTTTGAAAAAAATAAATGTTTATTCTGATGTACTCAAGTAGTGGTTTTTTATGAATTCCAGCTTCTTTTATTTTGAATTCTGATTTCTTATGATCTCCCCATTAGGTAAAATTTAAAATTACTTTTGTAATTTTATTTCTGAACTTCAACTTAATGAAGGTATAAAGGATTTCAAAAACAAGGGGTGGGGGAAGAAGAAAGTTGCTGTGCTATCCAATCATCTTTAGCATTTTTGAGTATTTTTTCTAGGACTTTTTTCTCATCAATATTTTAAAATCTAACTTTAATCCTGGTTGAAACATCAATTTTGACTATAAACACTAGTGTATCGATTCTATATGCAGCCTCAACATCTTTTCTGTGCATGTCTGTAGTGCCAAATTGACCAAATGTCAATTAGTGATTGGCCTATCAAACTAGTTCTGGGTTTTTTACATTTTTACTTTGGAAAGATATTTGACAAATATTGAAAACAAAATCCACAGTTAATACAGTTATTTCAGTATCTATACAACCATGTAGAGTTTGATGAATTTTATTTATTGTTTTTATTGCCTTGGCAGATTTTGGATATTAAGTTTGGAAGTATCTTGAGCTCTCGTGCTATGTTTCATTATTACAGACCAAACCAGGTCTTGATAGTTTTTTGATTTTCAAATCTTCTAAATGGAGGTCTGTCTTCCCTGTGTGGAAAAAGTATATGCAACAGATATAACACCTGGAATGAGATACCACGTTAGAAAAGTTAATAGTGACTGCAACTGTGACTGTGGTACCCATAGAACATTCTTTCCAGAATAAGATTGTTCTTCTCGTTCGTTTTTGTTCACTTTCGTTGATCTTTCTCTCACCAGGTATCTGGCTTGGAATTCTTGAGGGAATTGGTATATTGGCTGTGATCACCAATGCCTTCGTAATTGCTATTACATCTGACTACATCCCACGTTTTGTCTATGAGTACAAATACGGTCCCTGTGCAAATCATGAAGAACAGAATGAAAAGTAAGGTTGAAATTTGCAGATTTTTCTGATATATTTTATGTTTGTAATTAAAATGGGAACATTGAGAAGTTTTGTTCTGTGACCATTAAAAATAAAGTTTTTAGTCTGTGCTTTTATAATGTTAGATGAAATCAAGTGACATTTAAAAGGCAAGTTTTTTTTTTTTTTCTTACAGCCTAAAGTCTATGTTTTTACTTAGAAATGCATCACTGGTATCAAAATGGTAAGAACATTACACTGTATTTGAAAGTCACGCTCTAGAACTGAAAGAGACCTTTAGAAATTATCCAATGCAATCTTCTCACTGTGCAGATGGGGCAAATGAAACCTACACTAGTTAATCAGATTACTAAAGAGAATGAATATAGTTTGAAATGAGATATAGTACATGAAAGACTGCAAGCTTGAACCTAGAGATTTTCAAAAAGAATTTACAGCTCAGGTCTTGAGGATGCAGAAAAATCATTCCCTCAACTTGTTTAGCATGTTTTGTGTTAAAATTTATTAATTTATTTATTTTGTGATTTAAAGAAACTTTAATGAGAGCAAAAACCAGTTACTACTCTCTTCCATGACATTTGAAAAACTTAAAAAACATTCACAAAATGTAACACCCAATTTTGTAGAAGTGAAAAACAACCCAAACTCATGGCCTTCTTACATTATAACTGCTTCAGTCACGTTGAATTCTTTTTGAGAACAGTGTTTCTATGTGTATTTGAGAGATGATGTTAGGACCAGAGTGTTTTTGCTTGTTTGTTTGTTTTATTCATTTATTCATATGTGGGTACATTTTGTTTTGGCCATTTCTCCCCTCTATCCCCTACCCCTCCCTCTCCCCTCCACCCCCCACCTCACTTCCAGGCAGAATCTGTTCTGCCCCTACCTCTAATTTTGTTGAAGAGAGAATATAAACAATAGGAAAGACATAGACTTTTTGCTAGTTGAGATAAGGATAACTATACAGAGAATTCATGATTTAGAACAGGGTTCATCAACCTCTACATTATTGATATTTAAACCAGATAACCTCTATGCTATTGGTATTTTGAACCAGATAATTCTTTTGAGGAGGGAAAGGAACTGTTTTGTTCATTGTGAGTTGCTTAGCAACATATACAGCCTCTACTTACACAATCACCTTATTCCCCAAGTTCTGACAAAAATGTCTCCAGACGTTGCCAGATGTCCCCTAGGGGACAAAATCTTCTTGTTTAGAACCAGTGTTTTAAGTGAAATGTGTTACTTCAGATCTTCTTTATTGAAATGCATGAGGAAGTATGCAAGAGGGCACTTGATTTGGAGATCAGAGAGGCCTGGGGAGTCACTTAAAGCATTGTAGCTGGAGATTAGCTTCCAATGTGAAAGTGGTGATAGAAGAAAGAGTTGTGATAAGAGAAACTCCTCCTTCCTTCAGGAGCAGTAGCTTCTTGCATGTGGCTGAGCTGGATCCCCCTCGTGTACCATAAAGGGATGAGCCTTGGTTTAAGATGAAATTAACCATTAACTCTGTTGATAAGTTGATATTTCTCAGAACACAGAAATACCTTTGAGCATAATTGTCCCAATTCTTCAAGGAAAGATAATAATATATGTATTATTTTACTTTATATTTTGGAGTCTTCAAGGGATTTGAAGTTAGACACTTTGGGTTCTACTTCTAACTTTTCCTTTTGTTAAAATGTACATCTTTCTGAGTTGGTTGGTTTGCAAAAGAAAGTGTTCATAGGCCTTGTGATTAAGAAAGGGTGTCTGACATAATGGTTTATGATCTGTAATGCACTGTATAAACAAGGTTGCTTCAATATTAATAGTGAAAGCCCCAAGGTCATTTTTTTCTTAATTCAAATGGTCAGATTTTTAAGAACTTGAAACATATAGGCTGCTTTGGCAACCCTTTTTCTTAAGACCTATTATTCCTTAGACCTATTATTCTCTAGTAGCTTTATTGCCACCTAGTGGCGAGTGAAAATGAGATTGGCTGAATATCTGCTCTTTACTTTTCAGAATGTCTTTCACAGAGTATCTGACACCTCCCTTTTCAGTGACTAGGAATGTAGACTAATTCCAAGCAAAGATAAGGAGGGCTTATGTTTTGTGGACCTCACACATTCAAAGGAGCAGTGTGTTGTTTAATATGTTTGCAAGTATGCTTAGCAGCTGAATTAGAGTAGATTTATTCAGATTGAAATTTTCAGAGCATAATAGAAGGACAAGATGGTAGTGAAGAGGAGGATATTGGCAGGAGAGTAGTTGAAATGATAAATAATGGGGTGTGGGATAGACAAGGAATGGAGTGAAGCTAGTGTGTGATTAATAATTCAAAAATTAGAATGTTATAGACCTGTTCTTCAATCCATATTCAAACAATTATTTGTCTTAAGACAGTAGTTCTAAACATATAGTGCGCAAATATCCTTCAGGGGTCAAAATTAATACTATTTTCATAATAGTGCTAAAATATTATTTGCCCTTTTTGCTAACTGGCATTTGATTTGTTGGCACCAAAGCAGTGGTGAATAGTTTCCTGTACCTTTGAATAACTCAAGGCATTGGCACAAAACAACAGGAGTAATGATTGTATTCCACCCCACCATTTAACCACCTTAAAAACACCAGTAAAGAAATCCACAGTACCTTTGATGAAGCATTATGACTTGTTAACTTTATGAAATCTCTATTATTGTATAAATGTCCTTGTAACTAAGTGTGAAATGTGAAAGAGCATTTCTCCATACCAAAGTGTGATGCTTGTCTCAAAGAGAAGTACTGTGTGATTGTTGGAGTTACAAACTAAGAAATTTTCTTCCAATATGAAATAATGATTTCCAGACAAACTGACAAACTATGATTATTCAGACTTGGGAATTTAGCAGCTACTCTTTTACAGAAGTGGCATAAAAATCTTCTATCATTTTAGGGAAAACATTTAACATTATTTGTTGCTATTGATAAAGTTCAGACTTTGAAGTGAAAATAAGAATTTTGGATAACTTTTATCTATCAGCTTGAAAGCTTCTCAGTTGTTAAAGATATTTTTTATTTAAAACAAATGGCTGTGTTAACAGTTCTGATTTTCTTCATAGTTATAGTAAAAATATATCAATGTTTGGAAGTTCTGAATAATTCAAGGGACAAATATTTTCCAAATAACTTACTGTATTTGATGTTAGAAAATAATGTATTGATAAGAAGATGATGAAAACATAGGACAGACCTACAGATTTTAATGTAAATGCATGGATAGCTCGTTGACGTAGTTTAAGATCCCAATTGCAATTAAAATTTAAGGAACTACTACACATATAATATCCATGAAAAATATCCACCATTATCTGCAATGATATTAAAATAGTAGTTTTTCCAAATACTTATCTATGTAAGGCCAGATTTTCTATTTTTACTTCAACTAAAGCAACATATTGCAATAGTCTTACTATAGAAGTAGATATGACAATCTGTCTTCTTTTAAAACAGAAATTAAATGGATTTTGAAATATGTAAAACAATGCCATTCACACCATTTTCTATTACACCATACAGTTATTTTATTTAAAAGCTGTCATTTATATTAATTTATAATGGTTTAGATAGTGAGTTTCAAATGAATCAATAAATAATTTCTAAATTTGTTTTTAATTTCTAATGTGTTAAGTATCAGTAGATAAACCTATATTAAAAAAACTCTCTCAAGTTTCAATATTTTAAAAAAATTTAAAAGGATGTTAAAATAAAAAATTTTGAGAATTATATGCATAAAAAAGTTGCTTAGTTTCTCTAAACCTATGTCTTTAGTCTATATGACAGATATATATATATATATATATATATATATATATTATACATAGTATTATGTAAAACTTAACATTGACTCCAACAAGTCTTTGGATGTGCCTAGAACTGTTTCTCTTTCTCTTATTTCCCCTCCTCTTCTTCTTGTTTACATTCTTTCAAGTAAGGCTTATGCTCCTCCACTCTGCCGAAAGGTCAAATTCACTTGTCAGTTCTCAGTTCTCACAGTAGTCAAGCTAATATCAGCACTGGCAATTGACCCTTCCTTTTGTGTGTTTTATTGACTTGATTTCCAGAATGCCATTGACTTTTTGTATTACTATTTCCCTGTTAGTCAAACTGGCTTAGTCACATTTGTTAGTTCTCATCCTTCTGCTTCTTAATTTTTAGAGTGCCTCGAAAGCTCAGCTATGGACTGATTCTCTTCTTCATCTAGATTCACTTCTTTGGTACTCTCATTCAATTTCATGTATCTAACCTCACTCCTGAATTCCATACATGAACATTCTTCTGTTTACTTAGTATCAACTCTTATTCCTCTATTAGATATCTCAAGCTTAACATATCAAAATTTAAACTTCAAATCACCCCTAGAACCTGCTCAATGTTTAGTCTTCCCCATAACAATTCCATGGGAAATAATGGTTTTGGCCAAAATCTTTGGAATTAGTCTTCAATATTAAGAATATTAAGTTCAATCATGAAATTCAGATGCTCAAAACACAATAGTTTCCTTATTTCACTCTAAGAGCCAAAATCTTCATTAAGTCCATTCTCAGCAACCTTCTGCACTGAAGTCTTTTCCTACTATTCACTCCTTCTCTCCCTTTATTTCACCCATACTGACCTCCACATTTCCTTGTACATGCTAAATACTTTACTTTCTTTGCTTAAAATTTTCTACTCACAGATATCTCTATGGCCGTCTCCCTCCACTCTTTCCTGGTTGTTACTTTCTTAACAAGGTTAGCCCTAAACCCACTATTTGAAATTCTAACCCTGTAATCCCAGTTCTCTTTATTTTAGTCCTTTACGAGGTAAGACAGGCAGAGTTTGCCCTGTTTCCTTCAAGGATATTCAATTTCTCAGCATCATTTGTTGAAAAACAATTCTTTCATCACTTGATTCATCACTGGATTGCAGTGGCATTTTTACTGTAATTCAGGTGAATATGTATTTGAGAACCTTTTTTTGGATTCTCTCATCTTTTCCATGGATTCATTTGTCTTTCCTGGCACAAATACCAAAACTTTTTCCTGTTCTCATTGACTTTGCGCACATAGATTCTTTTCATTTTCATATAAATGTTATAGTTAGTGTATCAGATACTTGTTAAAAAATTAGAGAGAATTTACATTTTAACAGCACTCCTTGAACATGCAGACTCCATTTACTTCAATCTTCATTGAATTCTCTGAGAAATGTTTTTGTGAGGCTCCACAGCATGTGTTCTATTCATCTTTCTAGATTTATGCCCTGATACTTGATATTTTATCAGTATAAACTATAGTAGTTTAAGCCAGGCACTGGTGGCTCACTACTGTAACCTTAGCTATTTGGGAAGCTAAGGTAAGGAGGATCATGGTTTGAGAGCAGCCAAAACAAATAATTCATGAGATCCCATCTCAAAAATAGCAAGAGCAAGATGGATTGGAGGTGTGGTTCAAGCAGTAGAGCTCCAGCTGTCCAAGAGTGAAGCTCTGAATTCAAACCCCAGTCCCACCAAAACCAACCAAACAAAAACCCAACAATTTAAATTTAATTTCTTATTTATTTACTGCAATTATGTAAAAATAATTTTTTATGTTGCTGCTGTATCTACCTGGTGACCTTGTTGAAATCACTCATTATTCAAATAATTTGTAATTTTATGTTTCCTATGTACACAATTGTGCTATGTATGATTAAGGAAATACAGATATATTTCCTTATTTCAATTTCATTTATACATTTTTCTTCTACTTACAAAAACTATGCTAAACAGAAATGGTGGACATGGAAGTGTTCTTGACTTAAGAAGGAAGTGTTCAATTTATGATGCTCAGCGTTTCCCCATTAAATATGACATTAACTATGGAGAATAAACCCCAGGACCCCAGCATGTCAGGCAAGTGCTCTACCACTTGAGCTCCACTCCCAGCCCTTTTGTTTTAATTTTGTTTTTGAGACAAGATTTCACTACCTTTTTTTAAACAAGGCTATCCTTTAATTTACAATGCTCTTGACCCCACCTCCCAAGCAGCTGGGATTACATGCCTATATCACCACGTCCAGCATAACTACAGGTTTTTATGTAGATTCTTTTTTATCAGACTAAAATATTACAAGGCCTTTTGCTTGTTAGTAGTATTTGTCATTATTGACAGTTACATTTTATCAATTTTTAATTTTCAATAGGGTCTCGTTCAGACTGGCCTTGAATTCACTATGTAAACTTGAACTCACTATGTAACTTCAAACTTATGTTGCTTTTGCCTTAGCCTCTCAAGAGGTGGGATTTAAAAAACCTATTAATATAATAATATGATTTCCTCTTTTTGTTGTATTAATGTGATGAATTTTGTTGATAGGTTTTTTTATATGGTAGTAAAATAGGAGAAGTTAATACCACTTGATCATGAGATTCATTTCTGGCCTATGAAGGTTTTAAACTTACCTTTATGTTCCATGCAGCTACAAGGCTTCAATAGGGTAACTGGCTGTGTTAGTGGCAGATGCCCCTCTAAACAGGAGACAGGCATTTTATCTCTTCAGTGCTTTGAGACTCTGGAAGAGATCTGCATTTTGGAAATTTCAAGTTTACCCCATCTCTTACTCACAACTTCTTGAGCTGCCCAGGAAATAAGCAAAAATCCAATAACAAAATGTCCCTGTACCTCGGGTTTCTCTCAACCCCATTCTGTCACCCCATCCCAATCTGGTTGGCAAAGCTTGTGGGTTTCTCTTTGCCCTGGCACAGACTCTCTAACCTGCTGAACTCCATCTTCAATGTTCCACCTAAATTTTACAAGCAAATGTCTTCAGGAGAGGGAAAAGGGAAAGAATTGGTGACTATTAATTTACCTATGAAGGATTTCGTTTTCAGGAACTTTTTTCTAGTTCTTGTTTTTGTATATCTTCAATGTCTTTAAGTACATGATTTTTGTTACTGCAGAAGTGTTATGTAGTATAACCCATCTGGGTGAACTATTCTATTTTCTAATTCATAGTACTAATCACCACATAATATTCTATACCATTTACTTATTAAATATGCTATTGTGACTTTATCTCCCTCACTGACTAGAAATGCAAGCTCCACAAGGACTGGAATTTTTGCCTATTTCATTCACTTTGAATGTCAAGCATTAAGAATCTTTAAAACTGTAGGTCCTACATAAATGTAAACTCAATAAATTAGTTAACAAATGAATAAAATGTATTGGTGGACTGCTTAACTTTAATCACTCAAATGGTGTTAAATGCAAGTATATTTATAAAGCTTATGTATGAAATTTTAAGGTATGGGCAGTAACTAGCAGAAGCCTAGTAGATACATAAGGAGGAATTGTCAAGACAAGAGTCTGTGTCATCAAGGCGCAGTTACTGATGTATTGAGAGTTAGAATATGGAATAAGAGAGCTCAGTTGCTAGTACTTCAAAGTTAGAATAGAAGGAATAGTAGCATTTATAAATCAGAAATTATGAATCTCTGAATCTTTTCTTTCAGTTGCTTAAAGGGATACGTTAACAACAGCCTATCCTTCTTTGACTTGAGCGAGCTTGGAATGGGAAAATCTGGTTACTGCAGGTACTTATTTGTAACTTATTTTCCACTTGATTTCACTATTCTGTCTTCTCCCCTCTGCATGTCAGTGAGCCCCATTTGAACTCATTTTGGAGTTTTCGCAAATCAGGAAAATTTGAGACGTCTACCTTTTGATTTTTACTTTTCATAGTCTTTGTTTTTGTGGCTTTCAGGTATCGAGACTACAGAGGCCCCCCTTGGAGTTCCAAACCTTATGAGTTCACCTTACAATACTGGCACATCCTCGCTGCTCGATTGGCCTTCATCATTGTGTTTGAGGTTAGTCATAAACTGAGAAGAGAATTGACTATGGCTGAATGCCTTCCTACTTGATGTATCAGTAATCTCTTTGAAGTTAGTTCCTCACTGACTTCCAGGAAAGAACTTAAACAAGTCTGAGTAAATGGCTCAGATACAATGAAATCATTATAACAAGTACAAAAAGGCAAGAGAGGAATAATGTAAGAGTGTGGGTTAGTGGCTATTTACACCAGAAAATCAGGGTAAAAGAAATTACTGCACACTTGACCTGAAAATTCTTAATGGTCCTAGCTTTCAGCTTCCTAGTAACCAAGTTTAAAAACTAAAAGATACATTTCATAATCTAATAAAAGAATTCATAGCTACTCACCAGGGTAGAAAACTTGAAATTCTGAGAAATCTGCTCTAAATATAATTGACCACATACAAATCTGACTGAGGGACATTGGATGATTCAATAAACTATGCCTGACACTTTTTATTAAAAATACACAGTTTGACTATTGGTGGCATGCAATAATATTAAAGTATAATATTTGTGAAGAAACTTTAGGGAAAGACACAGTATCATTGCCTTGTGTAACAAAGCTTGATATAGTGAAGAACTGAACACTGGAATATATTGAGTATCTATCTACTCTCTGAGTTAACCCTAAATCAATGAAAGAATGATAAATCTATGTTTTCTGTGGCCAAAATTATGGAGCCAAAGAAATAACCATACCTCAGATTTGGGGAAAAGAACAGTCTTTTTTAAAGGCAACTATACTTTTCAACTGATTTCCAAAAAAGTGCTTCAAATTTTGTAGTGAAATGTCCTTCATCTGGAAAATGAAATGCTTACCACTGAAAGTCTTATCCAGTGTTGAAATTCTCTTACATAATGACTTTGAGTCAATAAAAATGATTCCTGATGAAGTGAGACTTTCTTACCTCATTACAGGTAAGAGTTTAAAGCTTACTTCTAATCTAATGATTCAGTCAAGTCTTTTTTTAACTTCAATGCTTTTTTTTTTAAAATTCACACTTTTTTCCCAAAAGTATAAAAAGTTAATCCAATACCACAATTTAGAGCAACACATCATCATGGGTCCATGTAAGTCCCTCCTTATTTTTTCTACTTCATTCCTCATTACTGATTCCATCACCACCAATCCCAAATGCACCATTCTCTTTTCTTCAATGTAGGTTCTTCTACATGTTTCTTTGAAATATTTTATAGACATATTTGTCTATAAAATATATAGTTAGTATTATTTTGAATGTTCGTTTTCAAAAATTACTTCAATTGTATCGTGTAATAAGACTTATTTTCTCTCTTACTCATTTTACCTTTTGTTTTTAGATCTATGGAGAAAGATATTCATGGGATCTGTCTGTGTTTAGAGTATTTCTTCTAGACATAGAGAATACTGGTATTTAAATATTATGAAATATCATTGAGGATATTTGGGCCAATGTATTCTCTCTACCTCAGATAAATCTATCATTCATAACTGTAGCTATATTGCCATGTTAACATGTTAATATGTTTCAAGTAGCATAGGACTAGTTGTAAAACTGCATACAAAGTTTTACCTTGTACTGACAAATTAATCTCCAAAAGCCATGAGCGTGTTTACACTCAGTGGGTGAGGTCCCCTGTTTCTGTAAGTTTTCTTCAGACTTTCTAAAATTTTGTAGCTGAATAAAAGATGATATTTTGTTTTTTTCTTGTTCTTATCACTTTAATCTGTTCACAAGTGACATTAGCCATCACTTTTAGTACTAGAAAGCCATTTTGGTATCCTTTTATAAAAATGTATAATCTTGGTCCTGTTCTGTTTGAGTTTTCAGTTTATTTGCCAGCAAATTTCAAGATTTCCTTGTATATATTATTATATATTCGTCCTTCACCAGTTATAAACACAGAAAGTATATTCTCCTTGTACATAACCTATTAATTTTATCTATACACAAATAATGCTTAATTTTGATGTAGTTAGTCCTATCATTGTTTTAACTTCTTGGTTCATTTTTATTTTAAATAGCTTATTTAGGAAATTTTCCTCATCTGGAGTTTAATAAAATATATTCAGATCCATTTTTTACTGTTAATTTTATAGCTTTATCCTAAGTCTACCTGTATTTAAGATACAGTCTGAGGAAAAAGCTTATTATTCTTATTCTACATATAATTTTTATAATGCTGTTTTACTAAGCAATATATATATAATATTTACACTGATTTGTAATTCTACTGTGTGATATTCCAAGTTTTTATATCTTCATAGGTATATCCTTGGCCTCATTCTGATACATTATTCCATTTGTCTGTTCCTGGGTCAATATTACCTTTGTATTTAAATTCTTTGTCTTTGTAATATGTTTTAGTGTTTGGTAAAGTAAGCACCATCTTATTCTAGACATGTTTGCTTTTATGTTTCTTTATTTTTGGGAGGTGGGCTTAGGTATACTTATTTTATTTTTGTGAAATTATTTTCATTATCATACATTAATTTTCAAAGTAAGGAGTTTCATTGTTATATTTCCATACACACATATCTGATCATTTTCACCCCTCTGTTACTCATTCTTATCCCCTTCAACCACCTCACCTTTTAAAAATTTTAATTTATTTATAAAATGTACATATTTATGGGTATCATATAATGTATTGATATGTGTGCATATCAATAATGTATTGATATGTGTGCATTGTGAAATATTCAAATCAATTTAAATATATCTGTCTCTTCAAACAATTATCACTTCTTTGTGAAAGCAATTGAAATTCTTTCTTCTAGTATTTTTGAAATTATAGAACATTATCATTTCCTGTAGTCATCCTACTGGGCAATATAGCAAACCAGACCTTACTTTCCTATCTAACTACAACTTAGTACCTATTGACCAGCTTTTCTCTTTCCATGCCTCCCCTGTCTCTCTCCTACCTCTTGCAACCCCTGTTTCTTTATTACCAAACACAATTCACACACACACACACACACACACACACACACACACACACACACACACACACACACACACACGCACACGCAGTGCCTCCAACCCTGTCCCTGAGGATAACCACAATTGTTCATAGGGTGTAAGAAAAACCCTTAAGAGAGAAATGGTCACTTAATTCTCAATGTCTTAGCTGGTGTGTGGAAAGGGCCCTTGTAGAGACCAGTCACTCATCATCCCCGGACCTACAGACCCCTTAAGGATGGGAATGAATGTGAGTTGACTATTTAATCACTGTCTAGCACGTCAAGAGGGTTATGTTTAAGCTTGGTAACAGCACCCTGTAACAAAAATACACATTCAGGATCCCCATAAAATCCAATGTGGCAAAAAGGGAAGCTCTCAGAGTGTGTAGAATGATGCAAGCTTGGGTTAGAGGGGACCACACTGCTCTCAGCACCACTCCTGAAGGCATCAAATGGCAAGGGCTGCCTGCCCACTAGGGGCACTGCCACCTGCCTGGCTCAAGCCCCAAGGCCTGAGGTAGGAACGGTCAGGTTTTGCAGCCTTCACACAGTCTGAACCTCCGGCTCCTCAGTGGCTGGGGGAGGCTCTCCTGGGGCTTCAGACAGCACATAGTAGACAATCTCTCTCTGGCCTTGGGCATTGGTCTGATTCACCATGTGGATGACAGGGCTGGGGTTGTCCTGAGAGGCTGAGAGGGCTGGTCCCTCAGCACCCTCATCCTCCTCTTCTACCTCTTCCTCAGGTCCTTGTTCCCCCAGCACTGTTTCTAGAATGATGCCCTGCAGGCTGCTCTGATTCAGTGTCACTCCCAGGTCTGATCCCTCCTGTGGCTGCCGCAGCAGCTGCTGTGTCAGCTCCACACTCTCATAGCGAACCAGTTGCAGTCGCATGTAGCCATCTTCATGCTCCTTGTACCGAAAACGGGGATGTCCTGAGGGCCACTTGAACTGGTGCTTCTTGCGAAGGTGCACAGTGAGGTTGTTGCCACGTGTGAAGCATTTGTCACACACATGACATTTGTACCTTGGCTCTGAGTCTCCTTCATGCACTTTGCGGTAATGGAACTTGATGGAGCTCATCGACCGAGCACTGAAGCTGCAGTTTTCAAAATCACACCTGTAGGCTGACTCCTTGCTGTGGGTGGCCAGGTGCTTCCGGAGGTCAATCAGATTCTTGCAGCTGTAGTCACAACAGTCACATTTAAAGGGCCGGTCCTCGCTGTGGAGAAAACGCATGTGGTTGCGTACGTAGGGAGGAAGGCAGCGGGCAAGTCATGTCACACAGAGGGCATTTATAGTGATTCACATGATTGCGCATGTGGTCTCGCAGTAGCCGCTCCGTGGCAAATCTCTTGGAACAGTGAGAACACTGGAAACGCTGCTGATCCAATGAGGTCTGGCGCCGGATGGGATGGGATCAAAGAACTTGGTGTTGTTGGCAAACATGCCCCCGCAGGTGGGACAGGCCACCACCTTCTCCTGGGTGTGGCTGCGGAGGTGCTCTCGAAGCTTGTAGCGGTCCTTGAAGGTGCAGGTACAGCCTTTCCAGTCACACAGCACCACACGGTTGTCCTTGCCGACCGTTTGGTATTCACAGCACAGACTGTGTGCTTCCACGTGCCGATAGAACCACTCGGGATTGTCGAAGGAGCTCTCACAGTGTTCCCACAGACACAGGAAGTGGTCAGGGATGTCAGGGATGACATTCCGGCTCTGGAAGTCCAGGATGCAGGAGCTTAGGTCAGCCTGACTTTGCAAGGCCTGTAGCCCCCACTGCTTCAGCTTGGTGTGGTGGCAGTGGAAGTAGACATGGCGGATGAGGTCAGCAGAGCTGTCCAGAGAGCAAAAGCCACATTCTTGCCATAAGCAGGAGATTTCTTCCTCAAGTGGGTCATCGTCCTCCTCCTTTTCCTCCTCCTCCCTAGGCCCACGCATATGCTGTAGGAGCTGAGTGACGTGCTCACAGAACTCTTCCATGGCCGAGCACACAAAGGAACAGGACCCCCACTCACACTGGAGCCCCAGGTTTTCCTTCCGGGCTCCTTTCCCAGGAGGTGACATGGCCTTCCATGAAATAAACTTTTAAAAATTCTGTATGCTTATCACTCTGATTTTTCAAAATTCTCTTAGCTATTTGGAGTTGTTAATCACTCATACAAATTTAGGAATCCATTTCTCAAATTCCTCTAAATATCACGGAAAGGTTTTTTAATTAGAATTACATTTGTCAAACTCATGAGAATTTTTGATTTATTTACAAAATCTGAACAGTTTCATCAGTGAATATGTAATTTGTTCTAGTTATTATTTTACCCTGTAATCAACTTTTAAACTTCTCTTGCTTCACTTCTTTTTGCCCTCTTTTTTAAATTTAAATTTTTTTACTCAGTTTTTATTAGCATATATTAATTATGTAAAAGGATTCAATGTGAGATTTCCATAGATGCATACAATGTACTTTGATCAAATACACCCCATCAATACACTTTTTAGATATTTATATTGTGACAAAATGTGATGTCTTATCTTCCATTACATGACTTGCTTTAATTTTGATGGGGTACTGAAATGCTAATGATTTTTCCAAAACGAACATAGTTTCTTATGCATCTTTTGAATTGCCTTTGTAAATGATAATACCATTTGCGAATAATGACAGATTTGTCTCTCTTAAAATTTATAACTCAATTTTACCTGACTTATCATTTAGAATTATTAGATGATGTCAGACAGCAGAAATATGAGCAGCAATGCCTTCTTCCCAGCACAAATAAAATGCTTCTAATTTTTAAAGTATGATATTTCTTATAGGTTTGATAAGATGAATTCTTACCTGTTTAAGAAAAATTTCTTCTACTATTATTTACCTAAGAATCTCTTGATATCTGGGTAGTACATTCTAGCAAAAGTTTTTAAAATAAATTTTCTTTTTAATGCTGTATCATCCTTGCACATGAACCTATATGAGTCAGTTTATAGAGTCATTTATTATCATCGTATAGGACTTGGACAATACCCCTGTCACTAATTTAAATTACAACAATCGTCTTTAATTTGTATTTCTATAATCCTGATGCATATTCCTAGATATTTTGGTAAATACCACATATGTGAATTGTCAGGGAAGAAGCTCCTGATTATTGTATATCAGGAAATATGATTTGCTTCACTATGATCTACTTTACAATGGAATTTCTTGGGACACATATAGCAAGCCCAGCTAAAAGTACCTTGAATTCTTCCTTTCCACATAAGGGGATGATTGTCTACTAAAAGTCCTTTATATAAAGGTGTTCTTTTTCACAAGCCATACTAACTCTTATCAGTATCATACTGTTCTTTTTCCTTTCTGAAAAATTGAAAGATCTACCCTTTCTCATAGGTACCTTTCTCAAAAAAGAATGCATTTGTAATAGTAGTAGAAGGTCATATTTGAGCACAGTTTGCATTGTTTCAAGCACTTCCTTAAGACCTTCACATGTATGTATCATTATGCCAGCTTTTAAGAAGCATCATTCTTATTACCATCTTTAGGGAGGAGACACAGAATGTAGGTGATTTGCCTGAGGATACACAGCTACTGAGTGTCAGAATTCAGATCGAGCAGCCTCATTCAACATCTGCACATCTAATAGCAAGCTCACTGCCTTTTGAGCTTTGTTCTTATTTTTAAAAATACTTTTATCAATTTAGTTTAAAAATACAAACAATATATATTTTATCATAGAAGAATTATGTGACAGAGATCAAATATTTTACAGCACTCTTAGCGGTATATAAACTTAATGGAATAAAAATTCTGAAAAAATGAAGGTATTGAAGGTTGAGTCTAATCCCAGCATCACATACATACTGTGTTTTGTGTGCTTTTGGATTTTTCCTAGATACGATCTTTCTCATTGGTGCATGATAAGCATTGTGCCTTAAAAGTATTGTGCACCATAATGTGCATTATATGTATTGCATAATATGTAAAGCTTTTGACATGAATTTAAAATTCATTCAGTGTTTATAAAGTGATATCAAAAAAGAGGAAACGATTCTTCAATTCTTCATTTTTTCCATATCCTAATGCAATAGACAATAATGGTAATATCGCCAATATAATTTTTGAAAATATTAATGCTCTAGATGTTTACATACTAAGTTGTGATGCTTGATTTTAAGGCAAATGCAGCATTGTTTCATGATTGCTCTCTTTTATAATTAGCATTTCAGGATCTTTGAAAATTGTTCTCTCTGATCTTAAATTTGCAGCACCTTGTATTTGGGATTAAGTCATTCATCGCATATCTGATTCCAGATGTACCAAAGGGCCTACATGAACGAATACGACGAGAGAAGTATTTAGTCCAAGAAATGATGTATGAAGCAGAACTAGAACATTTACAACAACAACGGAGAAAAAGTGGTCAGCCTGTTCACCATGAATGGCCTTAGTTCGTGCCTGTTACCCAGTAGGGGTGGTACAATCAGTGTGAAAAAATGATGGCAGCTTGAAATGTAGATGGGATGTAAGAGGAAGGTGCATTTGGCAAACCATATATAGGATATACTACTTGGAAATGTATCACAGCAATATCTGGGATTTGGAATGTCCAGGCATCTGGGGAAGGAAAAGATAACTTATTATCTTAAAAAAAAAGGTTAGACTGATTCTCAGAACAAGCCCTCAGGCAGCTGTGTGTTTGAAGACCTCCCCCTTCCATCAGCTGCAGTGTAATAAGAAGGATAGTGGTAAGGTTTCTAGAGACAGATTTCCGTGTAAATGCTCACAACCCAGGCATAACTAAGAATATAATGTGGTCTTCACTCACATGTTAACTTCACTTTGAAAACTTCATTTGAGTTGATTATAAGAAATGACTTAACTCAGTTATTGTCTTTGTGCAAGAACACCATATCCCTTCAGCTTATCGGTTGGTAGGAATTGCCCATGTCTCTTAGTGAAAGTATGGATCCGTGCCACAAGGAGTTTATGCTGCTTTATATTGACTATGCAGTTTGAAGAGTTGCACATCACCTTTAGTAGTCAAACCAAAAATTTGAGATTCCAAAAAGAACACCACACATTGAAATAATATTTCATTGCACCAGCTGCACTCAAGTCTGTTTAATCACTGGCAGAGCCAGTTGGACAGCACGGTTTTTATACTAAGTGCCAATAGAGCCACTTAACTTACAAAATACAAATGGCTTCTCTTGCATTATTTAGAACAAGACTAGTCCATATTTTTACTGCTGAAGGCTGGTTTTTAGCTTACTTCATTTCTTCCTCTCCGAGTTATTAGAAGTCTCAAAGACATTACCTTGAAATGCTGTAAATATGTTGATTTTCCTTGTTCATTTGCACCTTGACAGTATGCAATGCAAGTTCCAGTTTACGTAGCCCCAAGACCAGTTACATGCTATGCTGTCGTAATATGTTTATTCAGGAAATCTGAAGTCAGATGCCCTGCAACAATTAAAGCCTTTCCTACAATGTGCACTCTTACTTAGGAGCTAATGAAAATAATGCATGTATGCACATCTATATTATTTGTATAAAGTCTTTTTTTTAGTTTTACTTTTCATCACTGAAGGGAGTTTTCTGTTATTTCTTTTATAGGATAATTTGGCTTATTTTTGAAAACTCTCTAGAAACAAAGTCAAATTAATTGTGAAAGTCATCATTTTGCTTTGCTGTGAAATTCTTACATTAGTGCTAACTCTGTCTGTTCATGGACTGATAGAGCAGGGATGATGGGGCATTCAAGAAGAGAAAGTGCAGAGGAGGCATAAGCTATGAGGGCAGAATAAGAAGAAAGACAGGGATTGACATAGAGGAATGTATCAGCAAAACCAAGTTACTTTTCCTTGCAAAACAAGGAAATCCAAGGTTTTCCTCTCCTGGAAATAGGGTGAGAAATCAGACATACACACATGTATGATTATTATGGTTATTAATTGTTCAGTTACTTTTTATCCAATTAAGCAAAGCACAGTCATTTCCAAAATTTAAAAGGGCAAATAAACATGTAAAAATAAGGTTACTTTTTGTACATGCTACTGTTACTTTAGTCAGAAAATTATAGTTTCAATTCCTTGAAAGCTACTTTTATAACTCTAATACTTAAAATTACTTTATTGACTTTTCCTTCTTTCCCTTGAGAGTAAAATGAATAGATTATGGTTCTTTCATGGTGTTTGTCAAAAATATTCAGTCCCCTACTTGCCTTCTGATTCTCAGCAAGGAGAAAAACCTGAGATTAAATGCTGTCACAAAGGATGGGAATGCAGCTCAGTGATAGAGTACTTGCTTAGCATGCATAAGGCCCTGAGTTTAATGTTCAGCACTGCAATAAAATGAAATATGAACTAAGTTCCCTTACAAATCCTTGTCAGGTAGGACCCTTCCATTCCATATTATAACAATTCTACTATATAAGGAAGTTTTAAACTCCTCCATTTTTGTAGTATTCGTGTTTCTTTTTATTTGTTAATTAAATATATACACATCCTAAGTATAACTATTCTGATATTTACATAACATTTATATCTTTTTCCAAATTAGGGACACAAGACAGAGATATTTGTCTTACAGTAGAGCAAAAAAATAATAATATCTGTATACTTGAGAATTCTTCTCTTTCCAAGTTTTTATATAGCCCCATCAAGGTTTAAATCACATTGATTGATATAAAAAAAAAGATATTTTAATAAAAATATGTTAACTTAGAAAATGCCTCCCCTGAGATTTTTGAAACAGATGTGAAAAATTATAGAAACAAAAAATTATCTGAAATGCTTCTTTTGTGAACAGTACAGTAGAATCTAGCTATGCCTTCATTGTTGACAATAAAATATTAGTAGCCCCTCATAGTATGGTAGTTTTGATGACTGCTCTAGTTGAGAGAAGTGTTTTATATCTTGTTTTCATATAAATACAAGTTATTTCTCAAATATTTATAGCACATACTATTTCTCAGGAATTCTGTATTACATGAATGCTGCTTACATATTTTCATATTCTAACTTCTTGTCTTTTTAAGAAAATAACTATTAAATATGTGCATGCAGTCTGCCTTGACAAGTTGTCCAAAGCTGAAGAAATTTTACAGTAAATTGTGTGGAAATTCACTCTAGATCATAGTTGAAATAGTTTGCAATTGTCTGAGTCTCTGTATGCACTTTTGATAAAAGGCTGCTGAATGAATGCATGATGATATGTAACTTCTGAATGCTGCACATTCTTCCAAAATGACTCTAGCACAATGTATTGTGCAATGGAATGACTGTAAAATTTTTCACTAAATAAATTATCATTTAATATGTTACTTTTTCTATAATTGTCATGTTAAATTTGTTTTTTAATTATTAAACTGGGATTTGTTGAATGTACATGAGGAAGGAGATTGCTCATTCTTTAGCAAATAGTTTCTCATTTTATGCAGAAACTTACTCCATTCTTAAACAGTTTTGATTATCTTTTGATAAGATTATTATTTTTAAGACATTTGCACATTAGAGTATGGAAAGGATATCACACCAGTCCTAAAAATGTTTGTACCAGATGGGAAAGGAAGCTTGATTAGGTCTTATGAGGGTTAAAAGGCTTCTATCACACATAAATACTTTTTGGTTCTCATACATATAATGCCCCTCTCAATCACCAACACAATCTCCCTGGGAGAAGACTTATAGCACAGATGCAGAGCATGCCAAGGAAGGAAGATATGCAAGGGCACCATAGCCAATGGTCAGCAAGAAGCTAGCATTTTGGACATGTTTCTTTGACTTCATGGTCAAAATTGAAAATCTAGTTTGCCTGTAGGGTTGATGAGTTGATAAGCCTGTATACTAATTTGTCAAATGTGTGTATAAGGTACAGGTTGTGTGCATTAAAAACACACGCACACACACTCAGCATTGTCACATGCTTTGTACAAGAATTAGTTATACTTTCTATAAGATATGCACAACTCAACCTAAAATGGTCAGATTTTTCTACTACATTTTCCCCCAAAATCACAGTATTATAATGGGTTCATTCTAAGTTTTATATAAAGAATCAGTTAACATATTATCTTATTGCTGGCATTCTTAGTAGCCCAAAAGAGAACCTTTTATTAGTAGCCTTGATTACACTAAGCACTTGACTGTTGCTTTGCATCTTTCCATAAGAAGGAAAGGGATGAGATGTTTAGGTCTAGACCTACATCTACTTCCCCAATACTCTTTTGCATCTTAATTCTCTGAGAGGAGAAAATGGTATCTCTCCTCTGTTTTTCAGAAAGTAAACGTATGATTTCTTGAAAAACAAAGCTTTATAAGATTCACCTAGATACTCCCTCAGAAAAATAAATGTTATCTGTGTGGCTAGCCCCACGTGATACTCAGGCTGCCTCAGTATCTTTACAATCATTTGGTCAATGTGCACACAACTCAATGCTAACAGGTAAACTGTTTAAGGCAAACTGAATATTTTTTCTAACAAGTAGTATGATATTCTGTATCATTAAGCATTGAACATTCCTTCTAAACTGCCAACAAATTTTAAAGGCAATTTAAGAAAATTTTGCACTGTCGAGATAGGCTGAGTCAAGTTTTAAGAAGGTGCCTGTAGATCGGCATTCTTGAAAGTGATGAACTGTAAAGATTCATAAACCTTCATAATGTATATTTCACTTCATTTGGTACCATTGCCTGATGCTAAGTTGTCTGCAAAGTCAAACTGACTGTGTTGCTATAAATAAGCAATTTGGGAATTGTTCATTTATTTTCTTGCATGGAAAATACATTAAGACATTTAATAAATATTATCACAAATTCTTAGCTTTATAAATGTGTCAAAAGAGGATTTTGTAATGGGGCTAGGTATTCTGAACACTTGTGCACACAGTTGCTCTAATACATGAATTGTTTCTGAATATTCCTGAGGACAGATAGTTCAATATGCAAAAATATCATATTGTATATTGCTTAACTAGGTTGTAGCAATCTGCTTTATTTATTTATAAAAACCTCTTGAAGTTTACCTGTATATGTGTCCTAAGACTTGAGTAGACCAAATATCATAGGCATTATCCAAAACAGTGACAAGGAAGTGGTTAAATTACACAGCAGAAGTTGTTATGCCATACATTTGCTTGGTCATCTAATAGGCCTGCCTTTATGAGGTTTACACAAAAGATTTTAGGATAGTAGACTATCTTGCCCCCCACTGCAGTTGAGAATGTTCATACTGATCATTTCAGTGTTTCCCAATCAGAATTTATTTTTAAAAGAAATAATTACTTTCTTAATTATATATCATTCTCCAGACTTTTTCCTAAAACTCACTAGTTATATAAATACAGCATTAAATTTAGATGTATTCCAATGTTCTAGAACTTAAAAACTGCATAAAATTTGGAAATAAAAAACCTTATGAAATACTAAATTCTTACTATTTTACATTCAGTGATTAACTTTAATTAAGTAATAGAAGAAAATGAAATTTTAAAAGCTTAAAAACAAATTAATGTCCAATTACACTGTATCATCTCTTATACAAATTTTAAGTGCTTTATCTTATCATGCACAATGAAACAATTATAATTTCATGTGCTGAAAAGTATTCTTATGTTCATGAGCCAATTATCAGAAAACATAAAATAAAAAAGATTATTTACCTTAGTTGAGACTTTCAAAACAAAAAAAATCTTACAAAATTTCTTAGTGATACACAAAAATATCATTGTCAATGAATTCCACCGGGCAAAATATTGTTTCTAATTTGTGATGAAAACCTGACAGTCCAGGGGTCATGCTGCTATTAAGTAACCAAATATTTTTAATCATAATTCTCTTTTCTCTTAGGATGCTGATATCTCAAACACCAAAAAAGAACTGTATTGGAAGAGCAGACTTTTGACGGTTTGTCATTCATATAGGTGTTTATAAATATGCATGGACTTTACTAAGAGTTTGGGATGGCAGATAAAAAAAACTAGCATTTGTTCTTTCCAAACATCTAAGTAAAAAAATAGGTGATTTACTGTCATCCATGAGTCACAATAGATTAATTTAGAACATTATCACATTTTAATGAGGCCCACTGGTACTGTCAAATACATTTCAGTTGTTTGAAAATACACTACGTGCAATATTTACATTTTAAGCACATGATATATTAGTATCATAAAATATTTCAATAATATTCTCTAAAAGCCCCCATAGCCTGCTTTTTATTGCTTTATAATGAAAGGATGTTACCCTGTGCAGTCACAAAATAATAAAAATTATATTCAGCAAGTATTATTTGAATTAAACAGAAGGAAAAGCCCCTCTCCTTCTGTTGTTTGGAGAGTCACAGTTGCCTCCAACCATGTATTGAGTTATAAACTTGGCTTGGGATGGTATTTACTCACAGTGCACATGTACAAATATAATACATAATAAACCACAGATATGAATCCTCCCTTTTCAGTAAGAAGACTTATCTTTACAACAGCAGTTTTCTCTATGTTTAGGAATATAGAGCCTTTAGAAAAGTTACTCTCTGGAAAACATTTTATTTGAACTCTACATTAAAAAACATGCTTGAAATTTATGAAATGACCTTGAATTTATGCCCATTTCTCTATTTCCAATTCTCAAAATACACTAGAAATACATGTATGAAAAGTAATACATATACTAAGAAAATGTTTTCAAAATCTTGAAGAGAAACAGTGAAACAATTAAAATTAAAATTTACACCATTTTCTTCATACACCACAGACTAACATTGCTGAATGTTCTGAATGGGCCAGTCACTGGGTTAAATACTCATAATAACTCTACCAAGTAGTAATACTTTTTACTCCTTTTAGTTGGTGAATAAAGTAAGATTTAAAAAATCTTGCCCAAAATTACTGAGATAATTTATCTCTGAACTCATTCTTGACCTAAGCCATTTGATTCCAATAGCTGTACTTGCTCCAAACTGTAACAAGAGAATGTCAGTCAGCAAAGTGAACTCATTCAGATCAGGCAAAAGAGGCATTAAAGCAACTCCATTCTATTTTTATCAGCATCTGTGACTGTGCTTAAAAGGCATAAAGGCTGGCATCAAGTTTGGTTTACTTTGCACCATTCTAGGACCTCATAATTCACTGCATTATGTATTGAGAACATCCCTGGTTATTCTGGGGCAGCCACAAAGTTCATTTCCATGGATGGACTGAACTTGACACTGAATGAACCTTATATTAGCCAGTGTCCTTGACACAACTCTGGACACTTCTAAGCTGGGTGAGGATAGAACAAAAGTACTGAGATGAGCTAAACCTATCGACTGTGAATGTCAGTTTCCTTCCAATTCACCAACAATTAATGTGGTTTTGCTGTTTAAGATGTTTTTCCATTGGGTCCTCATCTGTTCTCCATCGGAAGCCTTAGAATTTTTGCATATTTGTTCACTTTGGGAAAATAGGAGGGAATCTCTATATTGACCTCTAAAAAGTATGTAAATGTCCTCCTTATGCCATATATTTCATTATTCAAGAGAAGGCAAAACTGTTTCTATCATAAAAGTAATTTCTAGCTGTATGAAGTTTTGTGCATTTGCTGAAAATTAGGAGCTGTAACAGAACAAAAATCATTAATAATTTCTTTGAGAAAAGTACAGACATAGCCCAATGTCTTTAGAATAATTTTGAGGAAAATAAAAAAAAACTATAAGGTATATTTTGTTTTAATGCAATTACAAAGAAAAGTTCACAATCTTAAAATGTATACTAAATCACTCATACATGTTAGTGTGAAGATATGCACATATATATCCTTTTGTTAATCCAATTCTCATCATCAGTGTTGGTTTTTGTTTCTTTGTTTGGTCCTATACCTTCAGATATTAATCATGCCAATATTTCAATATTCATCTGATACTTATGCATGTATTCTAATTCATAAGAATGTCTTAATTACTAAATTATTTGGGAAATAATTGCATCTCTCAGTTTACAAATTCTTAGGTTAACAGCTTAGCTTTGGTGGAGCTCAAAAAATGATTCCAGAAATTCTGTCCCATCTCATTTTCAGACGTAGCCAAAATACATACATTTTACTTCATTCCTCCTATTCTAAATGTGCTGAGTGGAATTGTCTTTAAAGTGTTGCCGAAATAGCTCTAGTAGCAGGAATGACTAAAAGAGGACTTGCATGTGTCAACAGGGGTTGCTTATAGCAGTTAAGTGTCCCACTGCAGTTGTAAGATGGGTGGGGGAGGAGGTCAAACATGTCTATATACAAGTGAGGCATTAGGTTAGGTTGACATCATTCCCTTGTATTATCAGTAACTCAGAAAAATACTGAATATGCAGATCCCCCTTCTTCATTCTGCCTCTAAACCTGCAAGATATTTTGATGTTTAAAAATACAAAATTGAGGCTGGAAGTGTAGCTCAGTGGTAGAGCAAATGCTTAGCATGAGCAAGGCCCAGGGTTCAATCTCCAACATCCAAATTAACAAAAATGACCCCCAAATCCTATAAACATAAAAGTCCTGAAAGGTTAATATGTCACAAGGCAATGAGACTTTGACTCCTCACTCACACTACAAAAAAATCTAGCCCTAATTTATTCATGATTGAAATGTTCAGACCTTTATGGCCTGGCTGATTTTTCTCACTTGAAGCTTCAGGCTTTCCAAAGAATATCCTGAGAACAGGCACTTTATTTGTATAAATAAGTATAAACAGATACTAGTCATCCTTATCATCTGACAGTGACTACTGTACAACTCTACTAATAATAAGCAAGCAGTATGTGGAGTGTGTATGTGTGCACATGTGTGTGAGTGTGGATACACACTTTCAAATATTGTCTTACAAATGGGTAATCTTCTCTAATGCCATATTGTTGTAGCTCTTGTTCTTAGGATCATAGCCTGGAACATGGGACAGGGTTTCTTGCCTAAGTCCATACTGAATGACGGATTCTGCCCCTTGTTTCCAGGTACTGCCATTCTCAAAGTAATCCTGAGGAAAATAGAAAGACACATGTTCACATGTTCATGGTCTGAAGTATTCCAGATCAACTCAAGGGATGCTGCTTAGGTTGCCCCTTCAAATAATAATAAACAAATACAAAAGTAATGCAAATAATTCTCACCTAAGACACTTCCTGTTAAACAACTTAAATAATCCATATAGGTATTATTTCTAATGGTAATAACAAAGAACAATTTCATGACCACTTGCAATGTCTTGTGTTATTTAAAGGAATTTATACATTGTTCAATTAATACAGCAGTCCTAATGTAGTACTATTACCCTGTGACAAGAGACAAACCTATGCTTGAGGTGGTGGTGACCCCCTTCCTAACTGTGAATAGCAAGCTCTCCTATTGCTAACAAAAGCACCTGCATGTAAACTCCCCAGAAGTCTGCTCAGCATTTGACGCAGTAATGACACCCTGAGTGTTCTCTCCCGCTCTTGGCTCAGCCTTGGGAATGGAAGCTACACTTTTCAACATAATTTCTTACTTATTCCAGGAAATTCCCACCTACAAAGATAAATCTGCAAACCAGTAAACAATTTGATTTGTTATTTCAAGAACTTCCTCAAAATCCACTTATACAAGCAATATGCTGCTCCATGGAGCTGTGTTCTTAGCAAAAGAAGTTGCTGATCTGCATAAATAGCTTCACTCAGACTTTTTTCAATGGGGCAGACTACTTGTTTGTCAAACCACTGTTTACATATCAAAACAGACTTCAAGACCCCCTACTGACATTTTACACACATTTAACATACACTTGAAATCTCTTAAGCATCAAGTCATTGTAAGTCTAGTTTTGTCAGACTATGGGCTGTTTCTGCTAGTTCTTGGCTGATAAGAATTTAATAGTATGTGGACAGTGTCTCTGGCTGTGTTAATCTGAACACAGTTCTTAGTGAGATAAAGAAACTGTGGAATCAAGGGTGTCTTGCTGCTGCTTTGACTATAAATTCTCTCAATTGAATATTTATAATCCAGAGAACCAGAAATGTTGTGTCTTTGTCACTGTACATCATCACCAGTAATCACCCAGTAATCAGATAAGGCAAAGCGGAACATCAAGGAGTTGAATGACTTATCCAAGAAAAGTTAGACATGGAACCAGTACTAGACCCAAGGCTGCATGGCTCCAGAGTTCGTGCTTCTCACCATTACATTAGACTGTGTCCCCCTATTTTGTTCCTTTTCTATATTTTTCCTAGAATTTAACCTCACAGACATTTGGAAATTAGCCACTTGCAATCAACAACTAGGCCAAATTTTGCTTAAAAGACAATCAGCTGAAGTACCTTTGAAGTTTGTTTGATTTTTTGGTAGTACTGGGATTTAAACTCAGGGCCTAATGCTTGATAGACAGGCACTCTACCATTTGAGTCACTCTGCTAGCCCTTTCTTGTGTTGGGTATTTTTGAGATAGGCTTTCCCCATCTATTTGCTCAGACTGGCTTCAAACCATGATCCCCCCGATCTCTGTCTCTTGAGTAACTAGGATTACAGGCATTAGCCATAGGTGCCCAGATTAACTCTGAAGTTGAAATCTAGATTCTTTCCAGTTCTAACATTCTTGGCCATTCCATCCTTCAACTCCCAACACACTTGCAGCTAACTCAAATAAGCAAATGGGAATCCCTTTGAGCCAATACCTGTTTTTAGAAGCTCACACATTTGCTCACCTGCTCTAGTCCACTGTCATGCTGAACTCCACACCAGCACAGAGTTTTGTATTTCTTAGACCAAAAGCAAAACAAATTACAAACTGGTCTAATTAAGGGTGGGTGAATATCCTTGCCTCTTTGGGGACCTATTAACAAAAGAAGAAACAGATTAAACAGTTGTGGGCTTCTAGGACATCAAATAAAGATTTAACCATTATGAACTTGAGAAGTACGGTGCTCTTTTTTGTTTGTTTTAATCTAGATTTTTAAATTTTTCTCTCTTTTCATTTTATCATTTATACATTTACTTACATGTGTATACATTCTGCCACCTCCCCCCATACCCCCTAACAATACCCCCACACCCCCATACCCCTGCTTCCAGGCAGAATCTGTTCTGCCTTCTCTAATTTTGTTGAAGAGAAAACATAAAAGATAATAAGAAAGACATATTGTTTTTGCTAGTTTGGTATAAAAATAGCTATACAGAGAGATTCCTAGTGTTGCTTTCATGCTCTTGTGTGTTGCAACCCACACTGGTTCATCTCTACCAGACCTCTTCACTAGTTCCTGGTCCTCTTCCCATATGTGGATTATAGGCCCAAAACAAATGCAGTAATATTATTGGACATGGGTCACACATTAAGGGAAAGGAAAGGAAACCTAGAACTTAATGTGGTTGATGTGCTCCCTGTTGAGGAGTGAATAAAGTAATCTTAAATTGGCTGCTCCTTATATAAGGGGGAAAATAGACCAAGCAAGTTACTAAATAGAATTTGTTAACTGCTAAAGGCATCAGCTAGTTTTCAGAAATCCATAAATTGTCATTTTAAGTAAGTTCAGGGCTATAGAATCAACAGCATGTTTATTTAAAAATATTTATTATAGAAAAATCTCCTAGTAACCTTCATAGACAGAGAGATTATCAGAGTTTTCCTTTAAGAAAACTCAATTTTCATCCAAATTAGATATTTTCAAGATCACCTAAGTCAGTATTTGTAAAATTAAAAAGTTTATTTTTATTGCTTCTTCTTCCTTTCACTCCACCATCAACATTCTGGCCAAGCAGTCCCTTTCATTTTCCATGTCCAGTCTAGATTTTCCTCATACCTCATTTCCTACCCTAAAAATATGCCTGTTCTATGTCCCACCCCTTCAAATCCTGCTTAGAGTAAGTGTTGCTGATACTCATACCAAGGTGTGAAGGTTGATGACACTCTTTCTCCCCAAACCTTTGCAAATTTTGGTGTCATGATAACTATTTATGCAAACCCAGTCTCATCTGATGATATCATGAATCTGATAGCCAGTTTAGTCTACTAGTCCCTGGAAAGCACAGTGTAATGGAGTTACATACATTGATCATATTATTCCTATGTGCCAGACATTATTCCTGTCTATACGGTTTGTCTCAAGTCAGTTTCTAGGGACAAAAAAATGTAGATTATTTTTTTTTAAATTCTAAATTGAGGTTCAAATCCTATATTCCCTTCCCATATGTCATTCCACCGAAATACATTTTACCAGATAAAATTATACTGCTGTTAATAATATTTATCAGTTAGTGACTTCTACATACTAGGTGCATTTTACAGAGATTAATTCCTATAGCAAGTAGGTATTGTTGATAAGGCACTTTTTTTTTTGTGGCACTGGGACTTGAACTCAGGACCTATACCTTGAGCCTTTCCACCAGCCCTTTTTTGTGAAGGGCTTTTTGAGATACGGCCTCATGAACTATTTGCCTGGGCTGGCTTGGAACTGTGATCCTCCTAATCTCTGCCTCCTGAGTAGCTAGGATTACAGGCGGGAGCCACTAGCACCTGGCAATAAGGCACTTTTAAAGACAAAGGAAATGATGGAGCAAGAATGTAACCAAATGTGATCTTAAAGTTTATAACACTTCATTTACCTCAATGTATGTGAATGTGTGGGTGGTGGAGGAAGGGTTGCAAAACCTCAGACTTCTATGTATGTGTGACTGTGAATAATAAGAATTTAACTGAGAACCAATCCTGCCGCAGTGTTTCAAACAGAGATGTTTGTCCCTGAATAAACCACTAAAGTATCAAATAATATAGATCTATTATCTCTGAGACCAAAACCTGAGATTTCCTAACAAAGGACTCTGTTTCATATGGATTTAGATTCTGTTTCCTTCCAGAAAAAAATAAATGACTTTGGAAGACAGTAAACAACAAAGGAAAGAATAAAGCTATAGTTTTCAAGAATGGGAAGATTAAAAAAGAAATGAAACTCAAATTGAAAGCTTTGTGTTTCACCCTTAATCATGGGTTTATAATGCTTTCATGAGCAAGACCTTAGAAACTAATAGTAATGAACACAGACAGACTAAAGGTCTATTGACCTAATAGGTGAGAAAGAAGAAGGTCAAAAAGAGATGACATAATTTTACATAAAAAGTGAGTTTTCTTGAAAAACAGTCAGACTTGAAGAGGAAATGTCACTAACTATGCTGCAACTTTGGGCAAATTTATTGGAAAAGATTTCTTTTCCAATAAACAGGGGCAACTTATTGCCAAGTTACTGAGAAGAGTGGGACTTAGAATACATCCCTTATTTGCCTCTTGCTAGGTGCTCTGTGTAGGGCACAAGCCTCAAAATCTCACACAAAAGCAACAAATACAAGACATGGCCTTATGCTGGGAGTCAGGAAAGCCAGGTCAGGAGTGAAAAGAATTTAATGGGAAAACAAAATTTCAAAAACCATGGGAAAAGACACCATCAATGAAGTTGCCACAGAAAGAGAAAGGTATGTGAATATATATGCATGTGTTTGTGTGTGTGTGTGTGTGTGAGAGAGAGACAGAGAGAGAGGGAGAAAGAGAGAGAGGAGAGTAAGAGACTGAGAAAAGGTAAGTCACATACAAGAATCAGAAATCAGAGCCAAGCCTGGTGGTATACATCTGTAATCTCAGCTACTTGGAACGTGAAAATTTGGAGGATTGAGGTTTGAAGCCAGCCTCGGCAAAAGGCTAGTGAGACCCTCATCTCAACAAAAAACAAGCCAGGAATAGTGATTCATGCCTAAAATCCCAGTTATGCCTAAGGCATAGGTAGGAGAATTATAGTCTGAAGTCAGCCAGCCTGGGCAAAAATGTGAGGCCCTATCAGAAAAAAATAACTAAAGCAAAAAAGGGCTGAGATCTTGGCTTAAGTAGTAGAGGACTCGACTTCAAATTCCCATACCACCAAAAAAATAAAAGAAAAGAAAAAGGAAAAAAATGGAAAGCTAGATGACAAATGAGCTATATCAGATCATCATATAGAGCTCACACTTTCTATCAATTTAGAAACTACTCCAATATAGTTCTCTGACAAGACCAATGATGTAAGACAAGAATAAACAATTTTTTTTATGTTAACAACTAGCTAGTAAATATTTTAGGTAATGCTGACTAGAGGGTCATTGTTACTGCCACACAACTTTGCCTTATAGAATCCAACCAGACATAGAAAACATAAATGAATGGTCATTCTGAGTTTTTATAAAGCTTTACTATAAAAATAAGTGGAAGCAAAGATTTAATCTTGGTTTACTGAACCTCAATTCAAGAGATTGAAAATAGACTGATAACTAGAGGTTTTTATATCTAAAACCTTTTGGACACATGGCAGATGAGAAAAAAAATTGTAAGATACAGAAAAGTATAAACTGTCATACAATGAAAAACAGTGCCTTGAATCTGCACATGCTGTGCTGACAGTGAGATGTTCTGGCCAAGCACAGTGTTTACTCTTGACATAGGAATTGATATTTTTATTTTACCTGGCTAAAAGGATAATGGAAAAAAAAAAAAGACCCGGTAAGAAGAAGACTTTAAAATATATCTTGGGCCAAGAACACCTTTCAGAAGCTGATGCAGAGATGATAAACAGCCTGGTGATACAAGTCACAATTATATTTGTCAATAAGTATGAGTAATTTGAATAGCATATCTTTGAGGTGAGGTGACAGATTATCTGGAAGAAGCACAATTGAAATCATCACCAATTAAGGCCAGGAAAGAGTAGACAACTTGCATAGAATGTGCAAGGCCCCAGATTCAATACCAGCACTGATAAAAAAGACGAAGAAAGACTAAAATATGACACAAGGAGAACAGGCCCACAAAAGGCCTCTGTCTTCTCTACTGACCCTATGCTATAAATATTTAAACAAGACTTTAAAAATATTCAGTAGGCATTATAGAAAGCTTTTGAAAGTACATTAGTGGCTAGACTGAAGGATGTTGGTAAGCAATAGAACCTCATTTGGGAACATAGACACCATGTGACAAGAATATCTGGCAACTAAACCAAATACGTTTTCCAAAGGTTTAGTGATACAATTGCTCTCTGATATCATGCTGCTTTATGGGCTTAAGGATATTTCACTAAGACTTGAGACATTTAGAAAGAAAAGATAGGTATTTATATTAAGACAGTTGTTCATGCCCGAGATGACAAAGAATTTTTCCATCCAAATGTAACACAAGTGCTATTGCATTAACACAGAAACATGTAATTTCTGGTGCCCATCTGGAAAATACATAGATGATCAAGCCACAGAACTTAGTGGGTGCACGTGTCCTGGTTTGGAGGTGCACATGTCCTGGTTTGGAGGCAGGCAGCTGAAACTGGCTCTCTTCTAAGCAGTGGTAACCACTTGACTGATATACCTATATGCATCCTATTAGCATCAAGGAAGCCTCACAGTTGTGTAGGTACTGAGCCAAAATCTAAACAAAATAAATAGCTTTTCATCTGAACCCATTTATATAAAGGAAGATATCTGAGAAGTTATAACCACGAGGCTAGACAATAATATTATCAGAAGGGTAATGCGGTGGAGGAAATATGAAAGGCTGGGGTTACAAAATTTATGCTCTATTCTATAAAATACCCAAAATATTCTTAAATTTCAGTAAATGGTTAGTGAGATCATGACCAGAATATTAAGGTGTTGGAGCTTGCGCATAGCATTTCCAGTACACAACCAGCAGAAACACTTCCATTCAGATTTTTATGTTGAGTAGGAATAATGACTGCCCATTGCTAATGGGTATTTAGTGGTGGTGTAAATAATGTAATAATTTGTTTATGCTCTTAAAAATGAAGAACAAGAAGGTAAAACAGGTCCTGTTGGGGTGGGAACCAGTGGGAAGGAAGAGGGTAAAAAGAGAGGATAAAAGATGGAGAGTACAGTGGATGCACTTTGTATATGTTTATGAAAATAGAACCATGAAATCTGTTGAAATTGTTCATAGAAAAGGGTGAGGGAGGAAGATGAGGGAGAATGATGGAGGGGGAGAATCTAATGAAGATATATTGCAAGCACATATGTAAATTTCATAATGAATCCCCCTTAATAGTTAATGAATCGTTAATGATTAATAAACTATTATAATGCTAATAAATAAAAAAATTTTCATACTCAGATCTCTGGGGTCCATATTTCAAAGCATCTTATTTTCTTATGCATGATGTATAATTGGTAATCAGATACATAATAACTAAAGAGATGCTTTGGTATGTCAGTTTAGAGAGAATAGACATATCTCTCTGGGAAGAAGGCTCTGTAATGAACTCAAAATCAAACCAATGAGGCAACCACGCAGTCTGCTGTAGCATGAAGCATCCCTTATCTTCTTTGGTCCCAAAAAGGAAATGCAAGTAACCAACCTGTTATGAAGCTGATGATAACTCCAGCAATGATGCATCCTAGACATCCCACTGCACTGAAGTAAAGGTAGGAGAGCGAGAACCAGGTGTCAGCTAGTACAGGTCTGTGGAGGACAACCGCACATTGTCACCAGCTATACTCATCCTAAAGTTACGATCCACAGAGACTTGGCATTCATTTTTAGGGCCTGGCATCTCTTAAATCCAAACTTAGCATTTACTTCATTTTTAAAAAATGAATTAATTATAGATTAGTTGTGGTTTTTATTCTACTCAATGCAAATCATCCCTGAAATATCAATATTGCAATGTATATACTAAATTATAAACATTGCTACAAGGACTGTGTCTTCTATTCCTTTTGTATTACTCATTCTTCAGATGTGTAATAGTTTTAATGTCATGAATTGCAGCAGACATTTATTTACCTACATAAACTAACAGAAATTCTCAAAATGGACTTAGTGCTTTCATAGGACAGAAACAAAGGATTATGAGAGCATTAAGAAAGAGGATCAATGGATAAAGAAAATGTGACATATGTGCACATAAAGAAGAATAAAATCATTTTCAGACAAATGGGTGGAAATGGTGGTCATCATGTTAAGTGAAACAAGCCAGACTCAGAAAGATAAATATCACATGTGTTCTCGCCTATGTGGAATCTAGATTAAAAATAAATACTGCATGAAGGAAGAAGAGGGACTACCTGAGAAGAGGCAGGAGACCAGAAAGAGTGGGGTGGAGATAAGAGAGGATGGTAGTGGGCTTAACTATGATCGAAGTGTATTATGTGCATGCATGAAATCATCACAATAAAACCTATTATCTTGTACAGTTAATATGTTCTAATAAAAATAGAATAAAATACATAAAATCAAACATAATTAGAAAAAATCTTTCCTTCTTGATATTCTATATCTATACAGTTTATATTTCTCATTCCATTTAGCAGGCAAAAAATTTTTTTAAATGGATAATGTAGATTGAAAAGAAAAAGTACCAACTCAGATTGATGTGTGAGATGATACCACACCTCATTTTAAAAGAATGATTAATAATTGAAGACAGTAGTCAGGGACAAGATTTAGTGCTAGAAGGAAAAAGAATAATAAGCATAGACAGAAGGGAAGAAATAATGTGGTGTGGACTGGGAGTATAAATAAGTTGATGCTGTTTGATCATAAGAGTCATGGAAAAGAATGACCCTAAATGAAATTCAGAAGAAAAAAATTTAAAAAGATAATGGAATCAGAGCACTGGTGGCTTACTGCTATAATTTTAGCTACTTAGGAGACTAAGATCAGGGGATCATTTTTTGAGGCAAGCCTAGGCAAGTAGTTTGTGAGACCCCACCTTCAAAATAAACAGAGAAAAATGAACTAGAGGTGTGACTCAGGCATCCACTTGCTTTGCAAACACCTGCTTTGCAAGTGCAAAGCCCTGAGTTCAAACTCCAGTTCCATACACACACACACAAAATAGAGTGTCCTTATACTGTATAGAAAGGACCATCTGCTTAGTGTTCCATGCTGAGCTCCACCTACTTCATCCCCCAGGGCAGCCCATAATTAGTTCTCCACTTAACATGTAATGTTAAGGAGCTAACTTAAAAAAGAGAGTCCCTTGAATGTCTTGTACAGAAAAAGAAACAGAAATGACTCTTTAATTCCTAGGAAGCTTCAAATTTGTTTGAATTGAGAGTGCTGCAAATGATGTCTAAATGCAGATTTCTTATGAGAGGAGTTAGCACTTACCTCTTTTCGCAGTGGGGTGATGTGTTGACTGCACTATCACACTTGTTCTATGAAGCCAAGACCCAAAGGCAGTTTGCTTACTTTTATATCTCAAGCAAGATAGCCATTCCCAATTTGTAGGTGATGGAAAATGCAAACCACAGATACTTTTATTTAACACATTTATTTAATTTCATAGATACCAGAACCAGCAACCTCATATAGATATAAATGCTTTGCTTTTATATTTTAAATAGATGTCCTGGAAAAGAGAATCACCTGACCTTTCAAATCATGGCCTCTTTCTTAATGTCAGTAGAAATATAAATTAAGTTATGCTAGAGATTCCCTTTTCTAAGCTGGCTGGACCTGCTACTCTTAAGGACCTCTTCCTTGAGTTCAGTGTCACCATTGCAGGACCACATGGCATACTAGGTAAGGAGAAACCCTTACTGCTACAAAAATGGATGAAGGATAAAGATGAACTCTATTTCTGATGAAGAGAAAAGGAGAATAATAATCTGAAATTTATTTAGTTTTCCTCCATATGGTTTTCCTTTATACAAGGAATGAGACAAGTTATGTGACCTCAAGTAATTTATTATCTAGTGAAAACATAGGACAAAAATATGGAAAAGAAAAGAGGAGAGAGGAAATAACAATAGAAAGCAATAGTAAAGTATGACTGATGCACAAAGTGCATCCAGGCAATGTCTGTGCTTCCCATCTTCCTGTTGTTTTAGGCAAAGGTTACATGGTATGTGCTGTAGAGAAGTTTTAGGAATGGAAAGATAATTGGTTTGGAAAGGTTTTTTTTGTGTCCAGTTTTGAAAATTTTGTTAGCATATAATAGCTGTACAGGGAGAACATTGTGATATTTACATATGTGCTTACAATACATCTTAGTTAGATTTACCCCTTCCATTGCTCTCCCCATTTTTAGAACAATTTGACAGGTTTCATTCTTCTATTTTCATATATGACTACAAAATACATCTACCATGTTCACCTTCATTCACCCTTTCTTTATGCACACCCCTCCCATTGGTATTTGCTCCCAGAAAAGACCTATTGTACCTTCCTCTCCTTCATTTTTTAAAGTGAATGTTGATAGTCCAAGGGAGTTTTGTCCTGTTACTTTAGGCCTGTATACATCTTGCTTTAATCAAATTAACCCCCCTGTTACTTACTCTTTCTCTATCACCTTGCTCCCCTATTATTCAACAGCTTACAATGTGGTACATTATATTAAATTCTTATATAGATGGGTTGTTTGAATATTTTTCATTCTCTGACATTATCTTTCCCTCTTCTGCCTCTTGTAGTCCTCTAGACATACTCACTAATACAATTCTGTTTTATCTCTCACTATATGTGTTTATATATATATATATGATCATATATGTATCTATATATACACTGGAAAAGGTCATTTTAAATCCTGAGTATCTCTGAAATCTGAATTAATATGTATTTTACTGAAGAATAATGATCCTAATCTAACTCTTAAAAGAACAGCCTTTGAGAGATTAGATATATGAATTAAAAGAAATTACTTTCAGAAGGAAAAGCTTGAATAAAGACTCAAAGTTGGGAACGAATGGGAGATACATAAGGTAAAAAAGAATCTACAATAGTTGATGCATGCAAAGAGGAAAAAAACACAGAAGTTTTTCAAATTTTGGAAAATAGTTCCAGGATAAAAGTCTGTCCTTTTTTCTGCAAGTACACATGGAACCTTCAAGTGATCTTAGTGTGGCAGCGTGAGCTCCAAAAAGTGCTTCAGAAAAAAGTATCTAGTGATAGCTTTGGATAGAATGGATTAGAAGAGAAGAGAGACAAATGTCCAAGAGGACTGGTAGAACAATTTCACTTTCTTGGACTTTGGATGTAATGATGAGACTAGCCCCAAGAATACAAGGGTGATGAGAAAGAGAAAAAATTGCTTTTCAGGGAAAATCTTCAGGGAGATTTTCATAGATATAATTTACCAAATTATCTGGCAATTTGAAGAGGGTAGATCCAGACGAAATGGAACAATACAGGGAAACATTGATGAGAATCAGAAATGGCTGCCCCAAACCAAAGAATGTCTCTGAATACAAGACCCACAAATCCTATGTTTCCTACCTCTACATTCAGTTAGAATGTGAAAATACACATCATTTAATCCTCTCAGAAATCCAGCAAAATAGATACTAATTCCCTCAGTTTTAGTCAATGGCTCCAAGAATTCAAGCAATAAGTTACTAATTTGTCTAATGATAGAATTGATAAATGGCAAAATCAAATTCTGAATCCAAGTATTTTTTACTAATTTCAGAGTCTATGGTCTTCTCCCTACACTATAATACATCCTATATTTTGGTATCTTACATAACTTACCCCAGCCATATGGACAAAGGAGAGTCCTTTGTTAACTCCATTTTCATACAGTTTGCTTTAGAAGACAGTTTCACAACAGTGTCTTAAGAATGTCTGTAACCATGCCCTTCATTGCTCACAAACCTCTTCTACTCAGATCCTTTATCCTTTTAAGGACACTGTGATCCTCATATCTACCCACCTCTTTTTCAACATTCTACTTTTTTTTTTTTCTCTTTTTCACTCGTACATCCAAGATATTCTTTACCAAGTTCACTATTGTAAAATTGAATGCAGAGGAGCAAACATTTGCAGGAAGCTATGGCCCCGCAAGGTCCTCTTTAGTGCTGTGCACTGCCCAGAATCATTCTCATAGGAGAGAGAGATAACCTTCACCAGACTTATCCCCGAGGAATGCACTTTCCTCTGACCTGGTGACCCTACTCTCTGGAATGAGCATTACCTTTAAAGTCAACCTACCTGCTGTTTGGCTCTGGAGCTACTGTGGTTGTTATATTTGATTGGACACACTGGTCTGTTGACAAAGGCAAAGGCCATGTCTTAGAGTCTGGTGCAGGATAAATGAAGGCCCCAATGGCCACCCAAAATGACAAAGTGATTCCAGTAAGGAGTCCTCCTAGTGCACCCTTGATGAAGAAGAAAAAAGTTAGTAAGTAATTGTACAAAGCTGTGTGTAGCAAGAATAATGATGTAACTCATCCTGTACTGCATAGATTCTAGATGTATACTTCAAATGTTGGCCACATGCATTGGAAATAATCCAAAATGTCTTCATTTCAACATTCACTATTTGTTTATTTGTTTACAGTGCTGGCGATCAAACCCTGGGCCTCACACATGCTAGGCAAACACTCTACCACTGAGCTACATCCCACCCCTCAGGTTTCAGAAAGCAGTTTTAATTAAGAATAACTTGTTCCTTAAATGACAATACTGGAAAATTTCATAGTGATACATATATTTAGATTTCTAGCAATAATATTTCCTCCATTTGATTTCTTTCTTCCTTTACTTAAAAAGATGTTGAAACTGCAGTTCTCAGCAGAAGAGTTTCAGAGTTGAGGGAAACTTCAGATGATGGAGACAATGCAATCATTTTTCATTAAGACAGCTTTTATAGAGAAATTCTTATTCCTATTTTTTTTCCCAATAAATTCTGACAATCTTCTTCTGACTCTCAAATTTTAGCAGTATCTTTGTTTGAGTCAAGACACTAACAAGGGTATGTACTAGTCCTGTCCTTCACATGTTATATTTTATGATAAACATTAGTTAAAAAGTCAGTTAGTAATTTCTCCTGTAAAAAAATATAGAATAATCTAGCAAAGACCAAGATCACTAGAAAATCACATTTGATGCTTCTCTTCACCTCTAAATTATTGCGTTTTCTGTGTGAGAGAAAACAATTTGACATCTTTATTATGAAGAAAATAAAGAGACCTTTATAAGAGCACCAGAATGCTGTCTGCATCATTGTATGGAAAAATTAAGGCAAAGTGTATGAATAAATACTTGTGCCTTGACCTAGACCAGTAGTCTGCAAACTTCTATTGTAAACAACCATAAAAATATTTTAGACCTTGTGAGTCAAGGATATCAGAACTATTAAACTCTAAAATTGTAGCATAAAAACAACCATAGACAATACCAAAACAGAAGAGGTTCACTGTGTTCCTGTAATACTTTACTTATAGATATTGAAATTTGCATTTTGTGTAATACTGTATTCTCTGTCATGAAATGGAATTCTTTTGACTTTTTACAACCACTTAGAAATGTCAAAACCATTTTTAGATTGCAGGGCATATAAAAAATAAGAAATCAGCTGGGTTTGGATTGAAAAGTAAAGTTTTCTAACCTCTGGTCTACCAATAAAGGGCCAATGGACCTCGAACTTTGGGTCAACTTTAGCCAATTTTTAGTAGATGCCTGAAGAGCCATGTTGAGACAGATTCTGAGGTTGTATCTACATTTTGTGGGAAGGGGAGACAAGATTGATTAGTAAGATTAGGGATGGCCATAAAGAAGAATGAAACTTTGTCATTTGTAAGTAAATGGATGGAAATGGAGGACATCATCTTAAGTGAAGTTAGCCAGGTTCAGAAAGCCAAAGAGCACATGTTTTCTTTCATATGTAAAATATGGGCCAAATACAAATACAAGCTATACTATATATACATACAAATATATACAGAACAGTGGGACTGGTAGAGGAGACTAAGAGAGGAGGAAAAGAAGGAAAATACAGTAAATAATATTGAAACACATCACATCTGTGTTGGAACAAGACACAACAAAATACACTGAAACTGTTAAACAATATAGGATGGAGGAAAGGGTGAGGAAGTGCAGTGGAGGGAGGTTACATTGACTTGAACACAATGTACCTACAGATATAATATGAAGGCAAAAACCTCACTGATCAAATGAACAGATACCTAAACAAAGAAGGACAAGAATGAAAAACAGGTCATGCTAAGGGGAGGGCAAAAACAAGAGTGGGAGGGTAAAAGTAGAAAGTAAACAAGGTGAATATGGTTCATGTACTTTCTATACAAAAATGAATATAGAATATTTAAACCTGTTGAAATCACCATAAGCAGGGAACTCAGATAGAAAGGAAAAAACAGAGAAGATGAATCAATTGAGAATATAATACATATATACATGGAAAGGTCACAATGAAACTCCCTGTATAGCTATCTTAAGCAAGAAAAAATGTGTTTTTTTTTCAAAAATGAAGGACAGAAAGGTAAAACAGATCTGCCTGGGGTATTGGTACCAGCAGGAAGGGGAAGGACATAAGGAAAGAATGAAAGAAAGTGAATATGGTAGAAATATTGTGTACTCATGTATGAAAATAGAATAATAAAACCTATTAAGTCAATTTTAAAGGGAGAGGGGGAAGAGAAAACTTATAAAAATAGTAAGAGAGGGGCTGACCTTGATCAATTACATTATATACATATGTGGAAATATTACAGTGAAACATCTGCATAATTAACATACACTAAAAAGAAAATGGGGTTCTCCTTAATAAGACTGCAGGGGAAGTATACAAATGCCCAAATGTTCAGTATTCATTATAGTTAGTCCCACAAGGTTTATCTACAAGAGAGATCATTTAGTGCCAGATAGCCACAGACCCCTCGTGAGATGCACAACCTGACCCAGGATTTATGGAATACCCATACTACATACATAAATATGGGCCAGGTTTTCCAGTGTCTCTAAAACTATGCGCAAATGTGTGGGGTTGACAATAAAAGAAAAGATGATAATTTTGCCAACCTAGAAAATTGTTTTAAAACATATTATTACATCATTTTTTTCAAATAAATCTTCATTTTGTTTTATACTTAGTATATATTCAACCTACATTTACTGAAAGACATGTTATTAGCTTGCGAGCTCAGCAAAGCAAAGAAGACCCAGCTGTCAGAACAGCCCTGGCATGTCCCTTCTCCTCTATGTAAATTAATTTAATAAAGTTAGTTATAATCTTCTGTAACTAAATTTTTAAATGAAATTTACATATAATTTTTAATTTGAGTTTTAAAAATTGTATTGTAACTGAACTCTTTTTAAATCCAATGTCTTTTTAAAAGTTCATTTTGTTCTTAGTTTAAAGAAGACTTATTTAAACCTTAAAGAATCTATGATCAATGATAACATCTTCCCTTTTTTGCTTTTTGTTTCTAAATAGGCTTCACTAAAGTCAGATATAATAAGGCCTGAGTACTGTTTAATTCTATTCTTTGCTCTGCAAAGACAAATACCTTTTCCACGCAGGGTAAGAGAATAGAGGACATGGATGGGACTAGTCTGGGCTGAAACCATGAAAAAAAGTTTAGAAGACTTACCTTCCAGTTCACAAAAGGGAACAGGAGTCCCAAAGAGAATAAACCCAGCATTGGTCCTCCACACATGCCATGGATACTGAGGGTAGCCTGTGGGACAAAGCAGACCACATGAACCCCACAACTCCAGTGCATCTTTATCCTACCAGGCAACGTCCCTCTCTTGGACCTAGGATAAAATTAGGTTCCAATCCTGACAGTGCCACTTACAGTGCTTTCTGTAAGTCAATTCTGGGTTCAGTGATAAGCATTGTATAAAAAAATAAAAAGATACATACATACACATACATATCTATACAAACAGACACACTTGCCTATGTGTATATGTGTGTGTGTGTGTGTGTGTGTGTGTGTAGCTGTGTGTGATTATAGACTAGAAATAAAGGTAAGTCGGGTTTATTGGAGTAGCTTTTAAACAAGTGGAAATTCATTAATTTGTTTTATTTTTATGATATCAGAAGTGTTCTTTTTTTTGGCTGGTGATATAGCTCAGTGGTAGAACACTTGCCTAGCAAGTACTGGAGTTTGACCTCTAGCACTACAAAAAATGTTTTAAAAATAATGTACTAAATAAATATATCTATACCTTATGTGTCACACCTTATATAGTTGGTCAACAGTTTGGATAATTCTATTACTTTGATAATAATTGCCGCCCAACTTCTGCCAGTCCACTCATAACACTTCAAGGATATGGAAGCATTAAGCTGGAACGTTGTGGTGAGGCCATTGGACACACCATATCCCGTTCTTTCCTCTTTCATATTTATGGCTCCATCTCTTTTAGAAATTGAGAAAGTGTTAGAAATTCAATTCCATATCTCTCAACTGCTAGTTATTGACTCCAGTGAACTGACAAGGGACTTTCCTTAAATTTACCTGTCAACACAATGCCTTGCTCCATTGCCTTCCAGAACTGGAAAATGTTCATGCACTTATAAGTATGCAAGTATGTGCCCATGCATGCATGCATTGTATGCACATTTGCATGAACACAGACATACACACTACTCTCAATGCGGTGCTATCTAGATCCATAAAAGCACCCACAGAGCTTGTGCATCAAGAAGCCAGGACCAAAATGCTCCAAAAATTCCAGGCAAATCTTTTTCAGATGCCAGTTATATGTCAGACAGTTAAGAAGAGCTTACATGGGCACTCTAGACAAGTGACCCATTTAATCCTTACAATTACCTGGTTTAGTAATTTTAATTTAAAAATTAATTTACTAATTTTTGTAGATGAAAAAATTGAGGTAACGAAGACATTTTAAAGGGCTATTTCTATTGAGAAAATGACAGAGATAAAATATAAATCCAGATGTCTATGCCTTTCAAAACCCACATTTTCTTTCCTAAAAGCAGTCTTAAAAAAAGTCAAGATATTGTAAGAACTTTTATAAATGCCACAATATACCCCTCTCCAGCACAACAATAAAATTTAAAAACAGTCAAGAGCACAGACAATCAGAATATCTTCATTCTTTTATTTGAAGAATAAAAGAGTTTTGAAAGAGTACATCACTAACAGTCAGAAAATTTGGATTCTAATTATAGCCCTGCCACACATCACAAGGATTTGGCAAACTCACTGTTATTAACACATTCAGAGTTTTCTTCTTTCTACACAAAAATATGGAGGGTCAAGTGTTCTACCAGTACCCCACAACATTTGTGTAAGTTCTTTGATTAGAAATATGAGAGTAGTGCAGTGTTAGGATTATTTTTCCAGTTAATCATCAGAGTAGTCAATGCCTCAGATATATCCTTGATAAGACGGAGGCAGGTAAGATTAAGGTCTTCTTCCCACCTTCAATTCTTAACTTAATATTCTTGGCATTTTCTTTGCTGACTGACTACATTCATTCATAGTTGTTGTGGCTGCTGAATTTGGAAGCTAATTTACTAGGTACTATATTGTAAGAGAGTCAATAAAATAGTAAACATTTATCTCCTCTCATGGAAAAAAATTGACAGTGTCTTATGATGGCATTAACCAACATGTCTCAGGGTAAAAAGCCTTTACATGATAGCAAGAGAACCACTTATATACACATGTGCTCAAATACAATATATACATTCTGTAGTGTAAAAAGAAAATACTTTATAATTGGTACCTTTCTTTTTTGTTGTCATTAAGCATTTTTGATTGGGGAAAGACTTAAGGTTCATCTAACCCAACCTCCTCCCCAATCTGAGCTCTTACTATAAGTACTGGGCAAAGCCTAAGGGCATGTCCTCTAAGGTTGAAGTTGCTTTCTGACTTGGGCACTATATTTAACTTTTCTGTGCCTGTGATTTGTCAAGGAAGGGCTCATAATACCTGCTTCCTGGGCTTTTTTTTTTTTTCTTTGTTGTTTTCTTCTGTTGAGTATTCAACATTGAGTCTAAAAGAAAGCTCAGAATAATGTTTGAGCACTATGGATCACATGATAAGGGGTCCAGAATGTTGACTACCATTCTTACTGTGTTTATTATTGCTATTACCTACCCTATTAGTGAGCTCTGATTTCTGAGGCATGTCTTTGTGAAAGTATTTTAAGATCTAGAAAACTTTCTTCAGTTGAAATCATTACAAACCTTATCAGAATTAGCTGATAGTCCTTAGGATAACAGCACCCTGAACAGAAAGACCACTTCTATTTCAGGATCCTAAATTTTCAGATCTAGATTTTAAATGGATTTCTGATATCAATAGCAATGTACCTTGTCGTTATCCTATTACTAGTTTTCTCCTCTAAAAATAATATTCTTGAAATTTTACATGTATATTTGATATGAACCAGGTATTAGTGAATGTCAATATTTGGAGTTTACAGAAACTGGCAAGATTAGTAAACAGAGTGGGAAAAGAGTTGCTATGAAATCAAATGTGTCTCAAAGGAAGTTCTCTGCAAGTCACTAATTAGGGGAAATTTTTGTTGCTATTATCTGGCCCCTCTCTTCCATTGCCACACTGTTATAGTTCTGTGGTTACATATTTCAGGTGAAATAGATTTCTTTACTCTTGAAACTCCCACAGTCTTCAATATGTTAATGTGTACATGCTTCAAAGTCTTTGACGATGGAAATTTTCTCCTCTTGAGCATTTTACACACTATAAAAACCTACATTGAAATAATACCACACCCCAGCAAAAATAATACAAAAGAAGTACTCAAAACAAAAAACAAGCCAAAAATAAAATCAATTCAGTCTTTTTCTTAAGGAATTAGCTATTCCCAGCACCACTCATAAACACATAAGTATGGGGTGATTTTGTGGACACCTGTGGGACGCAGATTTAATTCTTCCATATGTAAAGTCAGAATGTGAATATTGATTCATTAAATTCAATATAGCAAAGCTGCCTGGAGAATTTAATTGGAGAATTACAATTGCCTTTCTGTACCCTTCCAAGTCAGATGTGTTAAGTAAGTGGACCACCTTAGAGTCACCTACCTCTCATAGGAAACAGAAGATCAGGGCTTTCATTTCTCGTCTGCCAGAATCTCCTACACTGTGTCAACTGTATGGTACACATTTTAACCAATCAGGACGATGGGCCCAGCATACTTATCTGAACACACCTCTCTGATTATGCGACTTCAGTGCGTCACTCACAGCCCACTCCTTGCTATATAAATACTGTTTTCCACCAGTCATTGGAAGAGTATTTGTCTATTCTGCAGCCTCTCACACCTTAACTGCAAAGGAGCTTAAAATGCAAATGTCTCTGGAAGGAAATAATCTGGTAATTCAAATGATCCCTAAATTGAGCAGGATAATACTTCATTATGAGTAAAAAGTGAGTGCAATTAAAAGGAGAAGGCAAGAGGCTCAAGGCCTGAAAGAAAACTTAGAAATACAGTCCCCATGAATTTGGAAAACTCATCAAGTTGCCACTTCTTCTGTTTGGATGGGGAGATATCATAGTGGTTCAAATATTGTAAAGAGATTATCAAGTATTTGTGATAAAACGTTAAGTTCATAGATTACTAGAGAGAACATTATAGTTCCAGTCCCACAATTTTCTTATGTAGACAAGTGAAGTATCATGTCACTTAAGTTTCCCAGACTTGTTCCCTGAATCTTAAAATGGAAATAATGGAACTTATGTATGTAACCATTGGAAGGACCAAGTAAAAATGCACTTCTCCATGAACTACAAGCATGTTAATTCTATTAATTACAATTACTATTCACTCTTACCATTGATATTACTTATTATTCATTGCCAAGTGATTGCTATTCACTCACTCTTACTCATTTCTTCAGTTAAGCAACATTTGTTGACAAACAATGCCATACCAAAAAATATATATAAAGGATGTCTAAATTTCACAAAAACTCAATGGAGATTGACCATGAAAGTTGAAGTAGAATCTGAAGATGTACTTATTTGATGCTGCCTTGTGACTTGGGCAATTTAGGGAGTAGGGACAGGTGGCTCAGGAACCTTGGGTGATAAATCTAGCGCAGTTACTAAGTAACTGTGAAAACTTAAGCCAGAAAATTTCACTCTTTTCTATAATCATCTCCAAAATGAAGATGTGGAAACAGATTATTCCTAATCCTCCTGCTAGCACTGATATTTTATGGAACTGGAAGTTGGATATATAAGAAGCAGTTCAGCATGGATAATAGGTAGAGGTGGGACTGTATCCCAGTTCTGCCACTCTACTTATACAACCTCAAAATGCTTACTTCTTAAGTTTCTTCATCAGGAAAATCAAGGTTAATTATACTACCTCTTAGGGAAGTGATGAAGATTAAATGAGGTGACACATTTTGAGCTATACCTAGAACATAGTATAACATAAATATTACTAGGAATTTAAAGGGTTTCTAATTTTATCACAGTATACCTTGTCACTATCTCATTACTAGTTTTAATAGATCACCTTTTGAAGATAATTTTGACTGAATCTTTTGTGTAGGCTTAATTTGGTGTGCATGAACGTCTGCATTTAGAGCTTGGTGGAATAAACAAGATATTAGAAAAGAGAGTGGAGGATAGTTTTCTGTGAAATTAAAGGAGTCTTTTCCCTCTTTCATTACCTGTACAACGCCTCCCAAGAGAGATGCAGCCACAGCCATGGAAGTACACAATATGCCAAACAAGAGACCTGGAAGAAAGAAAATTTATGACAATAAACCTCACTGAGGAATTCTTGGTTTCCAGGTATTCCTTAAGCAACTATCTGGAACCATGTGCAACATAAGCCCTGTCAGAAGGGGTTGCAGTGAGAAAAGCCTTCTGCATGCCCTATCTGAAGAGACTGAAGTGAAGGAAGAGCTCCACATGCAACTATTTCCAAAAGCAGCACCTAGGCTACCTCTTTCTTCTCAGCTAAGACAGAATAAGCTAGAGTACAGCATCAAGGGCATTCTTTCTAGGATTTCAGAAGAAACCTGTCATGCAAAAGCAATATGAAAATGAGGAAAGGGTCCAAGAAAATCCAGACTAAAGTAATGGAACTAATTCAAGATCAACCATACACTAGCAATGACCTGAAAAAAGAAGTTGCTGATAGCTATGAAATTCAGGCAGTTCACCATCTTTAAAATGTGGTAATAGCATTTACACATTCTACCTAACAGGTTTGTAAACATGGAAAGATGTTCTGTTTTTTATTCCCCTTTAGTGCTTTATTTATATGATCCTTATGGCCTTAAGTTCTGTTGCATAATAATTTATTTGCTTATATATCACCATAGGATTTATTTTTTTACATACCATCCAAGGGGCTTCAGAATATTGTGCTCCTCCAGTGTCATGGGAGCTCACTAAATGAGATGGTATATTCATTTTAGTTATCATTTAAGATGATATCTTCTTTTAAACCATCTTTTAAAATAATCATTGTTTTTAATACATTGTTGTTTAAAAATCATCTCCAAAATACACTGAATGCTTTTAATAACCTATAAACTAAGTGAGAAAAGGAAGATATACAGCATTGGAGAAAGAAACAGAGACATAATGATAGATCAGAGAGAAAATAATTTTGTCATTCTACAAGGACATTTTCTGTCAGATAAATATCCAGCCTAGTCACCAATGTGACTATTGATCCAATTTTACTGAATTCTGATGACAGGTTGGACACTTTATCAGATACCAGTACAATAAAGTCAAAACTTTATTCCTGCCCTCAAGGAGCTCACACACTAAGGGACTACACATAAATAAATCAACTTGTACAACAATTTACCTAAAATTAATTTATCAGGAATAGTGCCTAGTAAACAGCAAGTACTAAATGCTTTCTGCAGTTGTAGCTAATGCCATAAATTTTCCTAATACTACATATGCTCAGATGATTAGACAACAAAGCACAGGTACAGAAGAAGCTTCTACCTCAATCCAAAATATCCATGAATATCTGCTAGAAATTAGAACTTCTACTGAGAGTAATGCCCACTTACTTTGTTTTAGCTCTAACTCAGCTAGTGAGTAGAATCAAGGCAATTTAACTACTTGGTTAGCTAATATGTAGTTGACATCCATCTATTCTTGTCCAAATATAAGTAAAAAGAAAGAAAAAAAATATGTAATCCAGGATAAAATGAGGACAAAAAAGGAAATGAATATAACTGGGAAGCTCAAATAAAGAATATACTTTCTGGAATAATTCAGCTAGGGAACCAGAACCTGGCAATCTCAATCTGCTATAGATCCTATGTGGGATCTACAAAGCAAAAAATTCCAGGACAGGAGAAAATAAATGCAATTATAAAAACAGCAAGACAGGGTACAACACAAATAAGTTTAGATGAAGAGGGATCCAGATATGCTAAGAAAGCACTACAGGAAAATTTAAAAGCATGAAAGTTGATGAAGAAATTCTACTCTTAGCTATTCATCAAAGAGCAGTGAAACCATGCTCATAAAAAGACTAACACAAAGTAATCATGATGACCTCAAACTGAAGCCATCAACATGTACAACTGGCTCTCCATATCTGTGGTTTTGTATATGTAGATTCAACGAACCATGGATTGAAAGTATTTGCGACGTTCAGACTTCTATTCTTATCATAATTCTATAAACAAGAAAATACGACAACTATTTGCATAGCATTTATATTGTATTGGGCATTGTAAGTGGTTTGGAGATAAATTACATGGGATGATGTATATTGGTAATATGTAAATACTACACCATTTTATATAAGGGACCTGAGTACTCACTGATTTTAATATCCACAGGGGGTACTTAGAACTTAATCCTTGTGGATACAGAGGGATGTCTGTAGATGTTAACAAAACAAAACAAAACACAGAACCGCTGATATATTGATAAATGGCAATTCATAGACGGCCTACTACTCAGCAATAAAAAAGAATGAACCATGCAATTATAAAAAAATTATGCTATAAAAGAGATCTTACAGAAATGAATGTGTGCTCTGTGATCACATTAATATGAAATTCCAGAAGAGATAAACTTATCTATGGTGGAAAAAAAAGATTATTAGTTGTGTCTAGAAGGAAGGAAGTATAAGTCCAGAATAATGAGAGATGTCATGGGAGAACTTTCCAGGGTGAGGGTGATGATTTATATCTTGACAAATATTTGAGTTACATAGTATATGTATTTGCCAAAACTCAACAAATCTATACTTAACATTTTTCCATTTTATTGCAGGTAAATATGCTGGATTAATATATCAGCAGAGAGTTGGAGATATATATATATATATGTATATATATATATATATATATACATATGCATATATATGTATATATGAGAGCAAAATCTTTGTATTTGGTCATATAATACATTTTTTATAGTAAAATGTAAGGAACAGAACACAATATCAGAAATAAAATCATTATTATTAAGATATTTAGTTTTGGTGGAGCTCAAATTAATACTGAGAAAGACTTGAGTTCTTTAAGTACACAGAGGAAAAGAACAAAGTTATCAAAAAATGAGGGTTGGGTGTGTAGCTCAGGTGACAGACCACCTGCCTAGCAAGCTTAACACCCTGAGTTCAAACCCTCAAAAAAAGTAATTGTTTTGCTGGGTGCGATGACTCATGCCTATAATCCTAGTTCTTCTGGAGGCTGAGATCAGGCATATCATGGTTGAAGGTCATCCTGAGCAAAGAAGTTAGTGAGACCCCAGAGCAATCAATAAAAAGCTGAGTGTGGTGGGATACACCTGTCATCTTAGTTATATGGAAAGTGTGAATAGGAGGATCACAGTCCAGGGCAGCCCAGGCATAAAAGTGAGACCCTATTCAAACAGTACCTAAAACAAAACAGGATGGGGGAAGGGCTCAAGTGGTAAAATGCCTATGAAAGCCTCAAGTTCAAACTTTAGTGCCACAAAACAATAAAATAAAATAACAAACACACACACAAAAATGAAGTATATGGAAAACAAACAACCTAAATTAGAAGAACACTAAAAGATAAAGGGATGATGAAACTGTTATACCGCTCTCTGCCTCCTGTCTGTGATAAAGTAAGCAAATTTGTCCGACCACATGCTTTCTCACCCAGAAGTAATGCAACCAAGTGATCCTGGAAAGTGTTCTTTTTGTCATTTTGAAAGAACTTCCAGGTGGACTATGAAAGATAATTATGAACTTCTCAAATATTATGAATTCTATAGAAGTACTGGGACAGGATGGTTTTGCAAGGTCAAACTTCCCTGGCATATCCTCACTGGAGAAATGGTAGATTTAAAAATCACAGGTAAAAAATGTATTAGAAAGTGATGAACCTTGGATTAAAACAGAAGTTTTAATGCCTTGGGAATCCAAGACATCAGCATAGATGTCAACTTGACCATGTGCTGGAGACAACCAACAAAATTTTCAGAGTACTCAAGTACTGTCCCAGTGGAGAGCTGTTTGACTTACAGAGTTTCCCAAGATTGCCTGTCAACAGAGGAGACCTATGTTGTCTTCCTTCAGATACTATCTATAACCTCCAGGGCCCTGCTCACAAGGAACTCAAAGCAAAAATTTATCGTTTGATAAATACCATAAATTAAAGATGATTGTTACTCTAAAACCAAAGAGAAACAATGATTACTGTCTACACATGCTGTAAGAGTCTTGCTTATGCAGTCCCTGAATGAATACAAAGGCAAATCTCATCTTGGATCACAGGCAGTTGGATGGAACGTAGGCATGCTCTTACACGCGTTTACATATGAATTCAAGGCATTTTATGATGATAGTGTCATGTCTTTCCGTAAAAAGATTATGAGAGGGCGATATTATGCTCCTAAGTGATTTCCGACTCAGTAGCATTCTACTTGCTCAACAAGTTCTCCAGGTTTCACAGATTTCTATGAAAAATCTATTAAACTGTCTCATCACCATGCATGGCAAAGCAAGAATCCTACGGCATGTGATTACTTCACAGCAACCTATCTTCTGCTTCTAGACAAGAAGACTCAGGGAAAACCAATTCATTTACAACTTCCTTCTTTTTCCTGTGGATCTACCAGTGCCACCTCAAAGTCAAAGAATCTGTCTAGAAGATGTGACCATAAGTGATGAGAATCATATGCTGCGTTAATAGTGGATGAATGGCGTGAAGACACTTTATCAACTCCCCAAGTACCATGGTTTACCAAGCTCTGGACAAAATCAAATGGTCTGTAGTCTAAATCACTAATTCCAGTATTATGCAGAACATCTGCAAATAAATGAAGAGTACTTTGTATTTCCTAAGCCAAAGACTCCAATTAATAAGAACCAGAATAAAAGAGAAAAACTCACTACACCAAATACATTACACCCTCAGAAGCTAGACACTAACAGAAGCCCCTATGACAAAGCTAGTAACTTCAGCAGAAACAGACAAGATAATAACAAGTGTCATTAACCCTGAGAATTTGTACTGCTGAGTGGAACTGGATCTCAATCAAGTACATGTGGTGGAACCAAAAGTGTTTGAGAGCCTTGGGAGGAGATGGTATAAAGACATTGCTGTGCTTACCAGGAGCAAAAGGGAGGGCTCTGCCAAAGACATGCCAGAAAGGTTAAAGCTTCACTGTAATGTGACCACAACCAGATTAGTGAATCCTAATCAACTCTTGAGTGAAATAATGTCTGTTATCCCAGAGAAGCAGATTGACTTTGTACAAAAGTGCTGTACACTGAATTGTCAGACACAGTCAGATTTTGACAAAATGGTAACACAGTTTGAAGTAGAGATATGCCAGCTTCAGAAACCCAATTTAGTGGGTGTCAGAAGACAGCAACTTAAGGGTGATACCTAAGTTTATAAGAGCTTCATGGACAGTTTCCTGCTGTCCAGCAGCAAGATGTAGTTGGTGGATGGTTTCCATTCTGCCCCCAAGAGTGTGGGTGTGATGAGCATAAGTGCAGACTGATGTGATTGGTTTGATTTTAATGCCCAGTGGAATGATATATTCATTTTTTTAAAGAACTGACTTAAAGATCAATAACTTTTTGTTCTTAATCAAAAGTAATCTTGTAGATGAATTTAAAATAAGCCCTTCTGTCATAACCTGTTTGTTGTGACTTTCAATTGTGTGGTTTTGTATATTGCTAACTGTTGTCTTTCTTATATTTCCTTCCATAAGAAATTAGGCTCTTGCCTATGGTTAATTTTAATGTATACATTCTTTATGAAATAAAACCATTTGTAAATATAAAAGAACCATTATTTCATAGAAAGTGGCAATAATGTCACTTTCTATGAAAAACAATTTAAGTTTTTGGAGACATCAAGAGTTGGGTAAACAGCTAGACATATGCTTTATAAAACAAAGCAAACAAAAAACTATGGCCTTTTCTCACTGGTAGCAAAGAGTTTAGAAGATGTTATGGGAAATTTGTCGTATTCTCACTATCAAGGAAAAGAAGAAGGAAATGATGAAGAAAAGAAAAGGAAGGAGAGGAGATGGATGAGGAGGAGGGAGATGAATTGGAAGAAAACATAAATATAATCAATATATGAATTAGAAAATATGTGATTAAATGGAAAAAAATAAGTGCTATTGCTAGATGGAAAACATATAAAGATATAAATTCTTCCCAGATATATTTTCAAGTTTGGTGCAACACTCTGGAATTGGGGAGAAGGAGGTGTTCCTAGGTCATATGCACTACATTACTTTAAAGTTAATCTAAAAGAATAAATAGATATGAATTGTTAAAGATAGTACCAATAAAAATTTTTAAATAAAATTATAAGCTATTCTACAATACATTTAAAATAAAATATTACAAAGCTATAATATAAAAGAAGGTATTATCTCCATAGCTGATAAATAATTTTATTTAAAGAAAACAAGTGTACACATGGAAGATACTCTTATAGATGAAAGAAGTTTACATTATGTGTTTATTATTTATAAAAATATTTTTAAAATTGTAAATACTAGATAAATAATGCTAATAAAATTCTGTATAAGAAAAAAGACAATTTAGATTCTCATATTAAATCATAAGCAAATAACATATATCAAATAATAAATATTAAAGTTTTATAAGTAGGAAGAAATTTAAACAAATATTTAAATGAATTTTGAATGGAAGAAATTTGTAAGAATAAAGAAATGAGTAAATAATAAATAGATATAACATATATACATATATATGATTAAAATTTCTGCATACTAAAAATATATTTAAAAATGATGCTAGGAGACATTCTGCAACTGATAGAGATTACAATTCCTTCATATGTATAAAGAATGGCTCACGTTATAGAGTACCTTCCTAGCAAGCATGAGGTCCTAAGTTCAAACTCCAGTACTGACAAAATTTTGGGGGGGTTAGAGGAGAGCTAGTGATAGAGGACTTGCCTGGAATGCTCAAGGCCCTGAGTTTGATCCCTAGCATTGTAAGAAAAAAAAAATAAAAATGAGAAAAAGAAGGAAAGGAATTTTACAAACAGTAACATTTCTAAAACTTCATCAACAAATAAAGTATATATTATTTTCCACCAAAAATAAGTGATACTTACAATCTGTAAAATGTTAAATGCACTCTAAATGAAAATAAATAAATAAAAGCAAAAATGTTATGTAATTTACCCATTAGTTTTGGTAATTAAAACAATACTATTATCAAGCTCAAAAAAGAATGTCAGCACTTGCTGTTGCCATACATAATCATTGATTCAACCCTGGTGGAATTAGCTTTCTTAATATGTATCAGGAAATGTCAGTAAATGTGTATTATTTAACTTACTTTTAGAAATTTGTACCAGGGAAAAGATAAAATGCAGTCAAAGATTTACATATGTGTGCTTTTCCCAGATTGCTTCAAAAAATGAAAAAGAGTAAAAAATAACAGTAGTATAAAATTAAGCCAACAGGTCATTTGACAGAGTATTTTACTGTCATTCAAATACCATGTTTTCTAAAAATACAAAATGACAGAGCAAAATGCTTATTACAGTTTTCCACAATGAACAATCAGGAACAAAATTATGTAGATATAGTTAAAATGTGCAATTAAATAAAATTTACAAAGTAAATATTTTTTAAAATTACCTACACTTTCTCTATTAAATGTATTTACAATAAAAAGAAGTAAGCTTTGTAAAAATACAATTCGACTTGGTAAGTGTTCCAGTTACTATAATTATGATATACAATTTTATGATTAAACAACAAAAAGTTATTCTTTGAGGTGAAATTACTAAGAGTTTGGTTTTAAGAGATAATTTTTTGGGGGGTACTGGGGCTTGATCTCAGGGCTTCACACTTGCTAGGCAGTTGCTCTACAACTTGAACCACTCTATCAGCCCAATTTAGTGTTGGATTTTTTTGACATAGGGTCTCATGAGCTATTTGTCTGATGCTGGCTTTGAACTGTGATATTCCTGATCTCTGCCTCCTGAGTAGCTAGGATTTATAAAGGTGAGCCAACAATGCCCAGCTAAGTGATAATTCTTTTAAAAAGAATTGGGCTTTAATTAGAGAAACAGGCCACACTGAGCAGACCATCTCTCCATGCACAAAGGCTGATATGACCAACACAGCAAAATCAGGATATGTCATGATGCATCTAGAGTGTAAGATATCTGAAAATAAGATCAGCATAAAGTGAGCTAGCTATTCCTTCTTAGTAACTTCCAGGTAGAATTAAGTGCAAGAATCTACATGTGAAATTCTTCTTGTATCTCAGTGTGCATTTGTGCCTGTAAGAATGTTAGGAACAGCACAGGTAGGATTTTGAGATGTACCACATGTACATTTCATAATATAGAACAGAAGATCCACCAGCTATACCTACATAAGCCTTTACTGATCCAGGTGCTCAGCTTGTCGGAGAGGTGGGGAAAACAGCTCTTGACAATATCCTCAAAGGTCACTGTTGCTAAGGCATTGATGCCAGCAGCCACGGTGCTACAGGAAGAGAAAAGTGAGAACACAGTCCAAACTGAACAAGGCTGAGCCATCATCCTGTTCTATTGGCAGGGCAGGTAGAAAAGGTAGAGTTCTATGAAAACCAGATGCAGATATATATCCATATTCTAGAATTCCAAAGGAACTACATGACCTATTTACTCATTTTTCAAAGCTTTTTCTATACTCTAACTCCCATTAATTTCCCTGAATGATATGTTAATGAGTTAGTAAAGAATAGCAGATGAGTTACTCATGAAGATGTGTGTGCACACATATACACACATTTTGGTTGGAGTGGAGGCAGGAAGGAGTAACAATTGTAACCCAGGAGTCAGTGCAATTAGCCATTCATTAATAACTTATTTACTCATTTTATTTGTATGTATTCTGGGAAGGCAAAATATTACAAGCTAACTGGGAACACAGTCATTCAACAACTAATTATACAAAAAGTTGAGAAATTGCTATGAAATAACAAGGTGCCAGGAAAGCATGTTCTACAGAGACCTGCACTGATGGCCAGGAGATTCTCCCTTAGGAAGTGATCAGCACTGAAAAGATTCATGCAAAGTAAGAAAAAGATGTTTGAGGATGAGAGGAAAATTAAATAAATATGCCTTGAGGTGGAAAGGAACTTGTTGAAGCCACCAGAGTAGAATGTGTTTATAAAGGAGGAAAGGGGAAGAGTAAGACTTTTTTTTGTCTTACTCTATAAAGGAGTGAAGACAAAAACTGCATATAAACTATTATGCTCTCTCTATGATTTTTCAATCAGTGGTTAGTCTTATTAGACTCCAAAACATTCTTAGGTGTCAGAACAACTGAAAGTTGAGGTTTTCTTTGCAGAATAGCATGAAAGCTTATATAGTTCCTCATACAGACCAGGAAAGAATATTTTAAATACTCAAATAGATAACTGAATTAAATTCAAATATTTCAAAATCACAACCCAAGAACTAGTACCTCTAAAGTGCATAATAAAATAATAATTTCTACTAACACTTTTTTTATCATTGTTTTCAAAGCACAATTAGAGGATAAACATGGAAGTGCAATTACTATAAAAGAAAAATTCAAAGGCATTTGGTGACATCGTGACATAATAAATCAAACCCCAAAGAGTCAGCAAAAAATAATTAAGGAGGGAAAAAATCCTAGATGTTAGGAAAAAATCTGTAAAATAAACCTAATAGATCCTAACCTAACAGCCATTAAAAATATTGATAGAAATCATTACAAGTAGAAATCATCACCAGTAGGTTAGGTAAAGGAGAAGAAAGAATGTCAGGGATTGAAGATAAAATTGAGGAAATAAAAGACAGCAGTAAAAGAAAAGAAACAGGCATGTCCACAAACTTCAAGAACCCTGGGACACAATCAACATACCAAACTTAATTCATGGAGCAGAAGAAGGGGCTGAGATACAAACTAAAGGCATGAAAAACATATTCAATGAAATTATAGTAAAAATTTCCCATCCGATATGAATGTCTCATAATAGGAGCCATTTAGACCCCCAAATAGACATGAACAGAAAAAACATCGCCATGTCATAGAATAGCTAAAATGGCAACACTAGTGAATAAGAAAGGATTCTGAAAACTGCAAGAGAAAAATGTCAACTTATTTACAAAAGCAAACACATCAGAGTTACCTCAGACCTTTCAGCAGAATCCATAAAAGCCAGGAAAGCATGGAATAATATATTTCAAGTTCTAAAAAAACCCCTGACAACCAAGATTATTATATCACGGAAAGTTATCTTTCAAAAATGAGGGAGACGTAAAAACCTACCAGGATAACCATAAGCTAAAGAAGTTCATGACCACAAAGCCAGCAAAGCAGAAGATACATAAAAGAATACCACACACAGAAAGAAGAAAGACAATCACAAACACAAGAGCTCAGAAAAGAAAAATTTCATTAGAGGAATAAATGAACATATGGGAATTAGGAAAGTATAAAGTATCATCTACTCAATAAACCACCGAATGCTCATGATGAATTAAGTGCAAAGAAAAGAAAAAAAAGTACTTAAACCAACCTGGACAAAATAGTAAAATCACAGCAATAAAAAAATATCTCTCAATAATAACCCTAAATGTAAATGGTCTTAACTTGACAAGTAAAGGACATAAACTGGCTTATTGAATTAAAAAACAAGTTGCAACTCTTTCTTCTCTACAAGAAACTCAGAGGAGAAGCAAGATGGTGGTTGTTGACATCCTTAAACTTTGGCAGTGACTAACTACCCTGAAGAAAGAAGACACTGGGGACCCCAAAAGACACTCATGAAAAAGAAGCAAAGCTGTTTTTGAATCTACAAACAGAGAAGCAAACCAACTACAGGGAAAAATGGCTTGCAGGTCAGCTGTCCCAATCCCCTGCCCCTGAAGACTCCAAGCAGTTCTACTCCTCCACACTCCAGAGCAAGTCCTGCTATCTGGCACACAAAGGGACTCTGAGTAGCACAATCTCCTCTGCTACATGACTCACTACCCCCATGCCCTGAAACATCAGGAAGATGCACACCCATGCACCAGCAGGCCCCAGTGACCCTGCTGCTATGCAGATGCCAGAGTCACACATACCCAGACTCTGTTCTCCCATGCCTGCAGCAGCTGCTCTACTCAGCTTCTAAAGGCAGCGCACTGGCACAAGCAGCCAGGCACTGCACCTTCTGGCAGGCGCCAGAAGGCACACCACCCACTGACTTTATTCTCCTGTGCCTGCAGCAGCTGCTCCACTCAGCTTCTGGAATCCTATGACACTGCACAAGCAGACACTGGGCCCCACTGAGCCAGAAAGCACAAGCCCACCAACTTTGTTCTCCCATCCCTACTTGCAGCACCTACTCTGCTTGGCTCCTGGAAACCCATGCCCTGGCACAAGCAAGCCATAGGGGCCCTGCTGCCCAGCAAGCACCTGAAGGCACAAGCCCTCCTGCTTTGATACCACATGGACATCATCAACTTGCTACTCAGTGCCGGGAACCTGCTGCCACACATGCAAGTGGACACCAGTCTCCACACTTTGTCATTCTGCTGTCACCAGGAGGCCTGGTTGCCCACACAGTGCACACAGGTCCAGTGCCCCCCACCATGCCCACCCATGAGAGAGCTGCTGCATCCACATCAAAGAGTGGGAACCTTAGATCCTCCACTGAGCAATAATCTGCCACTCTGCAGACACCAGGAGACCTGCTTCCCTAAGGTACACAGAGGCCCACCTCTCCCCATCAAGCACACTCAACCACTGGAGACTCCCTGCTCCTCCTCTCAAAGAATAGGGAATGCAAGAAAGCTCCCCCACTAAGGGGAAGAAAGCAGTAACCTGCATAAGAACCTTGCCCAGGTACCTCCAGTGTGCCTCTCTCTGAGGAAAACTGCTGAAACTTCAGAAGAAAAAGTTGAAAACCCCAATCACAGGGGCACAAGGGATTGAAACCCCAAGCCCCAAACAATTGCAGATGCATACATCTCAACACAGAACGAAAGAGCAAGACAAGCTTTCCCTCAAAAGCCAACTCTACCACTAAGGATTTAAACAACTGCATAGAGGAAGAAATACCAAATATTGAACTCCAAAAACTATTAGCAAGAATGATTAATGAGCTCAAAGAAGAGACACAAAAGTTAGTATCTGATCTCAAAGAGAATGTGAATAAAGAATTAAATGAGCTCAAAGAGAATACAAACAAATGAATGTAATTAAAAGACTAACCAGGATATGAAAGAGGAAATCAATAAAGATATGGAAACTCTGAAAAAAAATCAAGCTGACATAAACAACTCAATATGCCAAATAAAATTCTCAATCAAAAGTGTGCCAAACAAAGTGGAACAGGTTGAAAATAGAGTATCAGGAACAGAAGGTAAAGTAGAAGAATTAGATCAAATAATAAAAGATCACCAAAAAATGCTAAGAAAATATAAATGGAACATGAAAGACATCTGGAACACAATGAAAATACCAAACTTACAAATCATGGGTACAGAAGAAGAGACACAAACTAAAGGCATAGACAACCTATCCAATAGAATAATAGCTGAAAACTCCCTAACCTTGAGAAAGAGAGAGTCATCAGGTGCAGGAAGCCTACAGAACACCATACTGTCAGGACCAAAAAAGAAACTCCCCCAGACATATCATAATCAAAACACTCAACACACAGAACAAAGAAATACTGAAAGCTGTAAAAGAGAAAAGACAAGTCACATATAAAAGAAAACCCATTAGAATAACAGCAGATATCTCAACACAAACTCCAAACACAGGGAAAGGTCATGGAAAGACATAAATCAGGCCCTGAAAGAAACCAACTGTCAAAACCTAGACTAGTCTATCTAGCAAAACTATCTTTCCTAATTAAGGGAGAAATTAAGGCCTTTCATAATAAGGCAAAACCAAAGGAATTTATGACTACCAAGCCAGCACTGCAGAAAATTCTAAAAAGACTTTTTTATGCAGAAGAAGAAACTAGAGTGAGACAGGAAGATGCAAGAAAGAATAATCCTTTTTGGCCAAGCAGAGCAATAAACAAGAAATAGATAAAAGTAAACAACAGGAGAATAAAAATGACTGAAACAACATGTACCTTTCAATATTACTACTAAATGTAAATGGCCTCAATGCCCTCAATCAAAAGACATAGAATAGCAACTGGGTTAAAAACAAGATCCAACCATATGTTGCTTACAGGAGATTCATCTCACTGAAGAAAATAAACTCTGGCTTAGAGTCAAAGGGTGAAAAACAATTTTCTAAGCAAATGGACCCCCATAAACAAGCAGGAGTAGCTAGACTCATATCTGACAAAGAAGACTTCAGACTAAAATCAACCAGAAGAAACAATGAAGGTCACTTCATATTAATGAAAGGAACAATTCTTTAAGAGGAAATATCAATCCTTAACATATTGGCACCAAATGCAGGGGCACCCATCTACATTTAAAAACTCTAATGGTGCTATGAGCACAAACAAATACTAACATGGTAATAGTGGGAGACCTGAACACCCCACCGTCACCAACAGTTAGGTCATCCAGAAAAAAGATCAACAAAGAAACTTCAGAGCTAGTCCACACATTAGACCAATTAGACATCACTGATATCTACAGAGTATTTCACCCAAAAACTAGCCAATACACATTGTTTTCTGCAGCTCATTGAACTTTCTCCAAAATAGATTATATTTTAGGACACAAAGCAAAGCTCATCAGATTCAAGACAATCAAAATAACCCTTGGCATCATCAGATCACAATGGAATAAAACTAGACATCCTGAAAAACCAGTGTGTGACAGAAGTAATAAGGGACAAAATCAAAAAGTTCCTGGAATCCAATGAAAATACAATGTACCAGAATCTGTGGGATATAGCAAAGGCCATGCTAAGGGAACAGTTTATAACTATATGTGCCTACATTAAAAAAAAAAAACAGAGATTTCTCAAATAAATAACCTAGTGATGCATCTTAAGTTCCTAGAAAAAGAACAAACCAATCCAAAAGCAGCAGACAAAGAAAAATAATAAAGATCAAGACTGAGATCAATGAGATCAAGACCAAAAAAGCTATACAAAGGATCAGTGAAACACAAGGTTGGTTCTTTGAAAAGTTTAACAAGATCAACAACCCCTTAACCAACTTGAGAAAATGGAGGAGGGAAAATACCAAAATTAATAAAATCAGTATGAAAAAAGGTACATAAACACAAATACTAACAAAATCCAAAGGATCATTACAGAGTACTTTGAAAACTTATATTCAAGTACTGGAAGATCTAGACAAAATGGATAAATTTCTAGATGCATATAACCAAACAAAATTTAACCAAGTAAATATTACCCACTTAAATAGACCTATTACATGCAATGAAATTGAAACAGTAAAAAAGAGTCTCCCTACAAAGAAGAGCCCAGGACCTCATGGATTCACAGCTGAATTTTACCTAAACCTTTAAAGAAGAACTAACACCAGTACTCTCAAAAATTTCCAGGAAATAGAAAGGGAAGGGACACTATCAAACTCATTCTATGAAGCCAGCATTACACTCACTCCAAAACCCAATAAATATACAACCAAAAAAGAGAGTAATAGATCAATATCCTCAATGAATAAAGACGCAAAGATTCCCAACAAAATACTGGCAAACACTTCAACAACACATCAAAAAGATCATACACTATGAGCAAGTTGGTTTCATTCCAGGGATGCAAGATATGTATAGATTTATGTATGTATAAATCTATACATACATACATAAATCTATAAATGTTGTACAGCATATAAACAGAAGCAAAGACAAAAATCACATGATCCTCTAAGAAGATGCAAAAAAAGCCTTTGCCAAAATTCATCATGTATTCATGATAAAAGCACTGAAGAAATTAGGATAGAAGGAATGCTCCACAACATAATAAAGGCTATATATGACAAACTTATAGCCAACATCATACTAAATGGAGAACAACTGAAAGCATTCCCACTAAGGTCAGGAATGAGACAGGGATGCCTGCTTCCCCACTCTTGTTCAATATAGTTTTGGAATTCCTAGCCAGCGCAATAAGACAAGAGCAAGAATAAAAGGGAGTCGAATAGGAAAGGAAGAAGTCAAACTAGCCCTGTTTGCAGATGACATAATCCTATACCTGAAAGACCCTAAAAAAATCTACTAAAAACTATTAGAAATTATAAACTCTTTTGGCAAAATAGCAGGATACAAAATTAACATACAGAAACCAGTAGCCTTCCTTATGTGTCAACAAGGAACAGACTGAGAAAGAAATCAGGGAAACAATCCTATTTATAATACCCTCAAAAACAATAAAGTACTTGTAGTAAATTTAATGAAGGAAACAAAAGGCCTTTTTAGTGAAAACTGTAAACCACTGAACAGAGAAATCAAAGAAGACCTCAGAAACTGAAAATATCTCCCATGTTCAAATGGTAGAGTGCTTGTCTAGCAAGCATAGGATCTTGAGTTCCTATTCCACTAATGCCAAAGAAGAAGAATAAGGAGGAAGAGGAGAAACACAAATGGCCAATAAATCCATGAAGAAATGTTTAGAATCCTTAGTCATAATGGAAATGAAAATCAAAATGACCCTGATATTCCATCTTAACCCAGTCAGAATGGCCATTATCAAGAAAGCAAACAAGTGTTAGGGAGGATGTGGACAAAAGGAATATACTGTTGGTGGGAATTCAAATTAGTTCACCCACTATGGAATTAAATAAGAGGTTTTTTAAAAAACTAAAAATATACTACCATATGATCCTATCATTACCACTTCTGGGCCTTATGTCTGAAGGACAATAAGTCAACATACCATAGACCTGCATACTCAGGTTTATCAGAGCAGTATTCACAATACCTCCAATATTGAGTCATCTTAGGTGCCATCAACCAACGAATGGATAAAGAAAATGTGGAATACACACAAAATGGAGTATTATTCAGACATAAGGAAGAATGAAAATATGTCATTTTAAGGAAAGTGGAAACTGGCAATTAACATGTTAAACAAAATAAGCCAGACCAAGGAAGTCAAATATAATGTATTTTCTTTTGCATGCATAATGTTGACCTAAAAAATATAACATGAATGTAAAAGGAGGACTGTTGAGGTGCTAAACCAGGAGATGGCAGCGAGGAAAGGAGAAGGTGATGGGAGATTAAATGGTTAAAGTATATAATATGCACATATGAAAATAGCATAATGAATACCAATAAAATTGTAAAAAATTACAGATGAGGTAGGTGGAAGGATAAGAAAGACAAATAGACAGGTGAATATGATCAAAGTACATTATTTGCACATATGGAAATATCACAATAAAACACCTTTGTACAATTAACATATATTAAAAATTTTTTAAAGACAATATAAAAAGAAAAGATATCTCAAATACATGAAAAAATGCAGTATGAAATAAAAGTATTTCAAGTCAGTGGTGAAAATATTGTTTATTTACTAAGAAATGCTAGAACAATTGACTACTGACTTAGAAGAAAAATGTATGAGGAATTTCACTTAATTTCTTATGCCACATGTGTACCCTAGGTAATTTAGCAATTTTAATGTTTCATAAGATAATAAATATACCAGCATGGTGTCTGGATGATTTTTATCATAGAATGAAGGATCATTTCTTAGTATGTTCTTAACCCAGAGGTGACAATGCAAAGATATGAATTAAAATCTCAGTATTTCAAAGGAAAGCCTGGGAAGCAGGTCAGTGTGCTGTGAGGATCAGAGTCCCTGCAAGCAGCCTACAGCAGGGCATGTGTAATGCAGCCACAGGAGCAAAGCAGAAACTTTAGTGGAGACTTAAGCAAGGTAAAGATGACTGCAAAGTGCAATGCTCATCTAGGAGAAGTATAGGCAGCACCCAAAGCAATCCTGAGACAGTGGCCATGTAAGTTAAACCAGCAGGGGGGAGGGGGTGGCGGAGGGGGGTGGCAGGGAGAAATGACCCAAAGCACATGTGAATAAATGGATAAAGAAGAAAAAAAAGAGTTCTCTATTAAAAAAAACCCAGCAAGGCCATAAAGGAACTGTGTAAGCCCTCTGGAGCCCACCTACCTCCACAGTGTACGCCACATGCCAGACACGGACTTTAGGATTTAATTCTTGCCCTGATAGGTCCTGCCTTGGGACAGTCCCTCCTTTCTGCTTTCTTATCCCTCCCTTTTGGAGTGGGAGTGAATACTTTTCCCTGTCCTGTCATTTAAAGTATGTAACTTTCTTTGACTTTTGAATGGGCTCACATTAGACATTAGACCTGGACTTTTGTGTAATGCTGGAACAATTAAACTAAGGACTTTGTGAATACATTTTGCATTGTGAATTGGACATGCCTTTGGGGACCAAGAATAAAATGCCATAGTTTGGATGGTGAATGTCCCCAAAGGTCCCCATGTTAAAGGCCTGGTCCCCAAGGTATTCCTATTTGGAGATGGTGCAAACTTTGAAAGATGGTGTCCACTGTAGGCCCTTAGATCATTAGAGGCATACCCCAATGGAGATTATGTGATCTTTTCACTTCCCATTTCTCTCTTCAGCTTCCTGACTCATGGGGTGAGTGATTTTGTTCTGCCACTTGCTCCTGCTCTAATGATATGCTGCCTCCTGTGAGGCCCAAAGTAATGGAGCTAATTGTTCATGGACTGAAACCTCTAAAACTGTGATCAAAATATACCATTTCACTTTATAAGTTATTCACCTCAGGTATATAATTATAGTGATAGAAAGGTGACTAATCCAGCATCAGATGAGTTGAGGAACGGTCTAAGGTAAGGGCAAAATTGTGCCCATATCCTACCTCTGCAGTTTACTAACTTGTCAGGGATAAGTTGACTAACTTATTAAATTTTAGTTCCTTATATACAAACTGATGATAATATAGCAAATTTTCTTTTTCACAAGCTGTATGACAGCAAATATAAGTAAAGCATTCAATAGGTCAGTGCACACACTGCAGGTACTCAGTAGATAAAGCTGATCGTTATCATCATCACTCTTACCATTTTGTCATTGTCATTGTCATCAAACTTATCATCATCATGTCACCAATATACTAACCTCAGAGTTCCACTAAAGGCACAGGCCACAAAAAGGCCTGGAAGTCCTGGCATAGTGGCAAATATCTCCATGACAAAATATGGCATCAGCTGAAGAGAAAACACAGAGAGAGGAGAATATTAATGGTCTCAGCAGTATCTGAAAGGTAAGACTGTAGTGTTTTTGCAAAAGGATATGGGAACTTTATTTTTCTTATATTTTCAAAGTATGTCATATTCTTATGTGTTTACTCTGAATTTAGTAGTTAAGTCCTAAAAACAAACCCGTAAATTGGGTCTTCATGGAATCTAGGTACTGTGGGCAAAATACCCTATATGACACAGTGAAATAGCTTAATACATGGGGGTGGGAAAGGGAAGGGATTGCTCTTCCTGAGTCTGTTATCTGTAAATGGAGTTTTTAAACCACATTCAATGTAGTATATTGGCATAATGTCTATTTAAACTATACTGCAGAGATATAATCATAGACATTATGAGAATCAGGGTAATTTTGTTCAATTTTTAGATCAGAACATTATTAGTCAAACTTGTCATGTATAGAAAGAATATAAAGGCAACACCAACAACTGAAAGCCTACATTCTACTCTCCCCTGCCTTGTTCTGGCTTCAGGCATTGTCTTCAGGGGCAAAGTGAGGTGTTTGTTTTTTACATGCTCACTTTGCCTTATGAGAACGACAGTGGAGGAAAGAAGCTAAGGTCTTGGAAAATGGAAAGTACCTAGAGGTCCAGGCAGAGCAAAAGTTAGACCCAATATAACCCAACCATGATGGAACCTCACTTGTTCCAGACATTCCCCCCCTTAAACCAATGAATCCATTACCTGGTCTGGTGCTGAGATAATGCCAGAAGTCCAAGGGTCACAGTCTTTGAAATGGGAGTACATGATTAAGCCAGAGAAGACAGCACACAGCAAAATGATCCAGAGACCCAATAAGTTAAAGTACAAAGCACTAGAAAAAAGCAAATGGGCCAATTTGTAGCCTCTATGCAACACTGTAGTACAGTCATTTCATCACAAAACTCAAACTAAAGTTTTTTGGGGGTCGATCTTCAAGAAACATCACATTTTGTGCTTTTGCATTTGGGTTGGTCATTACATTTTTTAGACTAGTTATCAAATTTTAGTAGGGTAAGAATTTAGATTTTCTTTTGAAATAGGGATGTTTCCCAAAAATCTTGTGTGTGGTATGTGGTCTATTTCCTTGGATGCAATTTTACATACCAATCACTCATATTATATTACTTCAAGTGATTTTCTCCCTACTTGATTCATGAAACTGACAAAAGCCAACTTACACTTCAACATCTTTTTTTACAGATGAATAATGAGATAATGTAGAAATTAAAAAGTTATGGAAATACTCATTCTGGAGATTAATTCAGATGAAAGTTAAAGTTGAGTTTTTTAAAGATAATAGCAGTATGAAAAACTTAAGATAATCTTACCTATATTATTTGGAGCAATTTATTTTATTCTACAACACAAGGACAGGCAAATTCCAGTTGCTTTTACAGTATCCTATAGTTATTTTGTATTTGTCCAGTCTTTTGAAAATCAAAATCTTACTCTTTCTTAATCCCGGGGAAGATCTGTAAGTAGGCAGGCCTTAAATTAGCCTGAGAAAATAAGCAATCTCATGATGGAGAGAGTCACGGGAGACCAGGAGAACACATTGGGCATTTTCTTGGATCCAGTCATTGCTTGAAGGGAATCAAATGTAAGGAGACGAGCTCATTTCAAAACCTCCTATGACCTGTAGTACAACTTTCATAGGTCTCTAAAATCAAAATCCTCATTATAAACGAAATATGTTAGATAATTACTGCATTTATGTTTTATTTTATATTTTAAAAGTTTTTCCTCAAAGTATACTCCCTTGAGAGTATTTTACCAATTGTCTTTGAGTTTTATTTATTTACTTATTTTCATTTGATGCATGTTAGAAATATAATTTCTACATAAAATGAGGAATATTCCTGATTTCATTAATTGTACTTTTGCTTTTCATCTCAGGAAAAATCTACTCAAGCTTCCTAGAGAGGTTTCCATGACCATCCCTATCTGAAATAGTCACTACCTGTTCTCTCTTCACTTTCTAATTTTTATAATGATATCTGTCACTTTATCATGAGCTTCAATTTTATAATGTATTCATTTGTTTATTACCTGTTTCCCAACAAACCAACACAGTGAATGTTGTGTCCCCAGAGCACAGAATAGAAGTAGAGAAGAGCGGATACAAGTTTATTTTCTCTTTGGTAAGAAATAATGGAATGATTTAATGAATAATCAATAGTAGAAATTCATTACAATGTGATTCCACTCTTTGTACCATTTCTTTTTTGAAAAGAGCTTTGGACTTAGAGTCAGAACTTTATCCTTAACAACTAGGTGATCTTCACCAAGAATATAACAATTTGAGTCATTTATATCATCTGTAAAAAGAGTATGACATCTGCCACATCTTATTATAGGACTAATATGATGAATGAATGAGTTATACTCTATAAAATAGATGAGGGCAGTAGGGCCATACAGAAGATGTTCATACGTTGATCCAAAACAACTTTATAACTTCACCAGTCAACTATGGGAGATGAGAAGCCAGTAATGAAATTATACAGAAATGTCTTTGTCTTTTGAATATGTTTCTGACTATAAATAGACTTTGATTTTTAAAGAACACTAATTCTCTTGTTTGTAAAGTGGGGAACTTCATTGACCCATTTAAAATGTTTATTGGGCATCTCTATTAAGCAGACCCAGTTCTAGGAGAGATAGCAAGAGGTAATATAGAATCCACCTTCATGGAGATTATATTCTGGAATTGGAGGCAGGTAATAAACATTGAGGTGAAAGAAAATGATGATTTTAGATGAAGAAAGACAATAAGAAGGGAACAAAGGTGACTGGTTCTATTCATTTCAACCAGAAGATGTTATATGATGAGAAGAGTCTCAATGTTTTGTATCAACTTCTCCTACCTCAAACCACCATTAGTAGACCTAAAAGATGGACTGGGTCTGAAAACAAACAACTAAAAATGTTATTTGGCAAACAATATTAATTCTAAGAGTGGGGAAGATCTGTCTTAAGATAAAGTTTGTTTTGGTGAATAACTAGAGTTCTTGGTCATCCAATTAACCTGTCCTGATTTTATCCTATGGACACATTCATTATGAACTTTATGAATCAATTTCCACTTACTTATGTTAAAGGATTAATTTTCCCCAAGTGTCATAGGGGTTTCTAAAGCACTGATTGAACGTTTTATTTACATTGAATGTCAAACAATTAATTAAGCAAAAAATAGAACACTTGGTTAGCATTCTACAGAATGCTTCAGGGCAGAAGTCTTCTTGAGGCTCTAGTTGTGTGACAAACAAAAATCCCCACTATGTCGTCACTACAGTAGTCTCCCTTCCAAGTATGAGCACTAATTTTCTCTCCTGGATTATAATGATTAAAACACTTTAGATTCTCCCAGGGAAGTCTTTGTTTAAAGACAGAATTAATTCTTCATCTTTCCTTATTCTTCAAAGTTCTGATCATAGCTCTGATCCCTTCATAAGAGTAGGGATGTGTAAAACCTGGAGAAGGAGTCCTAAATGCTTAGGATATTTTTCTTCATGAGTATCTCTTCTTTCCTACCAGTGTTCATACCTTCTAAATACTAATACAACAAATTTTTAATTCCAAACAACTCGATGAATAAAATTTCATTGATTTTTACTTGAATTAATCTAACCCACTAAGTAAGACTTTGACATACATACACAGGATGTATCTGTATGTGTATACGCCTTTGCACACACAAGCACACACTCCTCCATAGATGTGTATGTGAATATAGATGTACAAAGCATGGCCTTATCAAAGCATTACATTGGAATAAGCACAAAACATTATTCTTGGCCTTAGGAAAAAAAATGATTTAAAAGAAATAGTTCCTGACTTTCAGGTGCTAATTTATGACTAGAGAAAAAATTAAGCACAATAACAAAAGGAAGTCATATAATCACACAAGGTTTAAAAACTAGTTTTACTATCCAGGCTTAGTAATATGTGCCTACAGTTCCTGCTACTAAGGAGGCTGAGGCAGGAAGACCACTTGAGCCTGGGAACTTGAGATCAGCTTGGCAACATAGACAGACCTTATCTCAAAAACAAAGAAAGAAAATAGAAAGAAATAAAATTTATCAAAGAAATAGATTTAATAGAGAATTAGTCCTTATTCTATCAAAGGATTCTTTACAGATATGTTTGACTTTAGATTGTATTTTAGCTGTATTTTAAATGAATTTTAAGACCAAAATCCATGCACTTTTTAGTAATATAGCTATTGATAAAGAGATGATTATGTGTGAGGAAGGTTTGTTTTAATATTATTTATTGTAACAGCATTTGAATATATCACCAGTGAATTAATGGGTTGCTGAATAACACATTCACTTCCTTCCTCTGAATTATCTGACATATAAGTAGTAACATTAAAGTTCTCTTTTTGGAGCTCAAATTACAAAATGCTTGAATCATTGAATCCAAGCACTTTTATGGTTTCTTCACTGAAAATAACAAATAGAACACTGATACTATTTTCAAATCATGTTGGGGAGATACTCAGAGTGACTCTCTAAGAAAAGTTCAGGCTGAGGAGGCTGGTCCCTTGAGCAGTAACCCTGGGAAATGAAACAACATTTTGTATATAATTCTGGTATTTTTGTGAGTTTTGTGGAAGAGTATAGACACACCTTTGGTCCTCACCCTAGAGCTTTTGATGGCCTGCAATTCGGAGGAACTACATAGTTTAACTTTCCTTTTCTCATGTCCTGCAAAGTCAGCAGGACTGACAAGAGTTGGAATGGCTACAGACCCATTATCTTACATTTTTCTTGTTTTTTAAGTTCTTTTTAGACACTTTTAAGGGTATGTACATCTATTAAAGCAAATTAAGACAGCAAAAAGTTCTGCAGAATTCCTGAGCAGACAAAAACATTCAGGTCTCATAAAACAGCTTAACTTTGCTTCAAAACAAAACTAAAGCTTAACTAAAGTTCTTTCTTTTAAATGTTTACATTAAAGGAAAATAAAATTTAAGGCTAACCTATCAGAATAGGACAACTAATACATAAAACTAGGACCTTCCCAACAGAATGGACCAAATAAAGCAGCTATATAACTGTAACCAATCAAACATTTCCTTTGCCTCACTTCTGTATTCATCCTATAAAAGCCTCATCCTTGTGTTTCCTCAATGGTGCCCCTAGACACCATTTTTTAAAAGCTACCTGATTCATGAGTTGCTGTTTGTTCAAATAAACTCCTTAAAAATGTATTTTGTGGGCCAGGTATGATGGCACATGCCTGTAATCCCAACTACTCAAGAGGTCAAGATAGGATGATCAAAATCCAAGGCCAGCCCAGGAAAAGTGCAAGATCCTATCTAAAAATGAAAGCAAAAAAGGGCTGGAGGCATAGCTCAAGAGGTAAAGCACTTGCCTAGCAAGCATGAGGTATTGAGTTCAAACCACAGTACTGTCCCCCAAAAGTGTATCATGCCTCAATTTATCTTTTAACACATTAAAAATAATAGTTGAAGAGACCACATAATGAATCAAATAATAATTGGGGCCCGCTAATCATGGAAACTATGAGTAAAAAGCATGTGCTACTTCTCTTAGCCCTACTTACAGCACCTAATTTAACCAAGTAATTTCTCAGTCAATGAAAGCATCAAGTAATTGATAACAAATGCAGGCAGACTTTGATCTAAGCTATAGCTCTGCCACTTCTTTGTTGATATGAGAATAGTAATGCTTGCCTCAAAATGTTACTAAAAGGGTTAAATAAATATCCCCATATCTCTCTTTCATATACCTGGATGCCCATAGGGAGCATATAATAAGAACTCAAGAAGGTAAGAGAAAAGGTAAAAAATTTTCTTGATCAATAACTTACAGCTTAGCATGCTTTTCTGTTTTGCAAGAGATACATCGCTGGATAGTTGATTGATTAACCCCATAGATTCCGAGCCAAGTAAAAGTTCCTCCCACTGTGATTGTCCAAAAAGTGTGCCTTCGGAGAGGATCTACATCAAAACTATGAGACAGAGAGAAGGGAGTGACCAAAGATGTTCCTTTGATAACCAGATATTATTTTAGTTGATGATGACATGAAGTTAAATCTTTATAAAGCATGAAAAAGTAGCATTGGACATACTCAACTATGTCTAGTCGAGATCCATTTTTTGCTTGCTCTAATACATTGTGGAATCCACCAGCATGAATTGATCCTTGAATGAGAACTGTTAAGAAGCCCACAATCATGACAACCATCTGAAAGGCATCTGTCCACACCACTGCTTTTAATCCTCCCTGAAATGCAGAGAATGTAGTGAGTTATTGAAAATGAGGACTGCAACCCTTTCAACTCTGGAAGTTTTCCCTACTAATGTAATTATTTATTCATCATTCAGAAATAGTTACTGAGCATCTTCTGTGTGCTACATTCTGTGTTCAACATGAGAATAAATGGTAAGTGAAATGGTAATAATGAAACTATTTACTTGAAATTGTGGGAAATGCAACAAAAGAGATTGTAGGAACAAGAGTTAGACTTGGTCTTGAGGAAGTGATAGTTAAGCTAAATTCTAAAAAAAGGATAGAAACTCACCATATACAGAGGATGGGGATTGGAGCAGCATGTGTGAAGGAAGAAAAAGCATGAGTTCCTGAGGAAATGAAAAAAATTGGAAGATATAGACCAAAGGTGTGGAGAGACCAATGGGGAGGTAGATGCATTTTCTAGAGGTAAGATAGATTCTGACAAGGCCAGTGAAATGATTTCTCAAGAGCAAAGAGAGATCATTAAGAGCAGTACATGCTGAGGGATTTTGTTTGTTTGTTTTACAATAGCCCATTGGAGTTTGTACAGTTAATCAATTGTTAGAATGTGGAAGAAAAAGATCAAAGTCAAAAGATCAGCTCGGAGTTCACTTCAGTAGTCTATGTCCAAGATGATGAAAAGACTGAAGCAGGGTAGAGATGGAAAGAAGTTGATGAATTTTAAATATATACAAGAGATAAAAAATCAATACAGCTTTTGCTTCATTAAATACAGGTGATTACGGAAATAAGAAATGTAAGGATAATCATATGGGTCTGGCTTGCATAATGAGTTTCTTAGATGAAACTAGTTAACAGTGAATGCATTTTGGGAAACAGATATGATAGAATATTAATAATGAAAGAAAAACTAATATTTCTAAGTAACTCATGGCGGAAGGAGTTTTGTGTTCTACAAGGTCAAATAATGAAGTAAACCCACCAGAGTTTCTGGAAAATGAATCTTGCATTAGAACTCAGTATAGAGTGATGAGGCCAGAGGATAGAGCACTATATATCAAACCACCACCTCTTAAGAGGCACCTGAAGAACTTTAAAAAAATATACATATATATATATATATATATATATATATATATATATATATACACATATGTAAGTTCTACCCCAAGAATTCTGAATTAATTGAAGTCTGGTTTGGGGGGTTTGTCCTCATTGTCATTAAAAATGTCTACAAAGCATTTCTAGTGTGAAATTCTGCTTGAGAACATGTAGGAAAGGAAGAAAAATAGAGACTGCTACAGCATTATAGAAGCCCTTAGGACTATAGTGAAGGCTGGGTGAGCAAATAGGGAAAGATTAAATGAAGTGACATATAAAAAACATGCTTTGAAAGTGAATAAGCACTAGAAAAATGAAAGGACGTGATATTTTTGTCATTGAAAAATAGAATTATCATCCCAGAGCACTCCTCCAGAGTGTCAAGAACTTCTGTGAAAAGATGACAAGTTTATCTTTAGCTCAAGAAGAAGATATTTAGTCATTCCATCATTTATTTTATAATTAAAATTCAATTCAAAAGTAAGCATAAAAGTCTTTGTAAAGGCATTGTATTTATGTATTTTGATCAAATCATGTTTTGAGGAAAAATAACACTATCTTGATCTCCTTTAAAGATATTAAGCCTTTCTAGCCCAAATTTCAACTTCAATTTTAGTATTATGGAAATTAAATATTAAAGTCTTCAGTTTTCAGAGAATACTTAGTATTGGTTATATAAAACTCTACATAAACCTGCATGCAAGAAAACAAGTTACTTTATCAAATATCTTTCAAAAGTTAGGTTGTAGTCTTTATGAAGACTTATCTGACTCTGACTCTTTCATATGTCTCTCTCTCTCTCCCTCTCTCTCTTTCTCTCTCATCAATCTATATTGTTTGGGGTCTATTGTTCATCTCACCAAATTTCAAATCTCTAGATGGCAAGATTAAACAAAAATCTGTTCCAGTGATTATTTCCTACTTGCTATGCATCCACAAGATTTTCAGAGTAAAGAGACTGCAATATGAACTTAGGTATTAGATAAGTAAGACATCATTTTGGTGAGACACTCCTAGCCTGACCAGAAAGAGGAGAGATGGAACACAGATGAGGTAAGATGAGTCCAGATCAAGGGGATTGATGCACATATTGAAAGCTTTTCATTATTTTCATTATTTTCATTGCAAAGCTCATTATTTGTTCTGTGAACAGTAGGAAGCAAGAAGAGAATTAGGTTAGTCAAGTGACATGGAGAAATGGTTCTTTTCAGAAGGTTAATCTGACAGAGGCACACAGGGTATGCTAACAAGAAGAGACTGAAGGCACAAAACCTGTTAAAGAGTAGGAAACTTACTTCATCTTTATAATAGTTATTACAATATCCATACTTGTTTCTAAGGTATTTTTGAGTTTCTGTTTGTCCTACTTTTTTTTTAATGCTTGTTTTCCTCTTCTCTTACATAGATCAATTGAGGTTTTTTTATGTAAATTTCATGTTTCCACTTTAATTGAAGTTTAACCATGCATTTTTAAGAGTCAGAATTTAAGCAATGCAAGGATCCTTCAAATTAAAGCATTACAAAACCTCTAAATCTGCTGCTTACTTTCTGATTTATAATATTTTTATACAATTTTGGGGTCACTCTTTTTCTTAATCCCAAAACTATATGTAATAATAACTATTATTAGTGGTACCTTTTATATTATAAATAATACTAAGGAACATTTAATAATATATAAATTATATGAAATGATAATTATGGAGCATTAAAAATTGCTTGATTAGATTTACTACAGGTTGAGTGTCCCTTATCTGAAATGCTTAGCAGCAGAAGTGTTTCAGATTACAGTTTTTCACATTTTGAAATACTTGTATAGACTTTTCTCTAACCTGAAAATGCAAAATCTGAAACTTTCCAAATTTCAGAACTAATTGAATGTCATGTCCATACTCAAAAATATCAGATTTTGGAACATTTTAGATTTTGAATTTTGGGGCTTAGGGACATTCAGCCCATATTTTACTTTCTTCATAGTGCTTGTTCCATGTAAAGCTGTCATATTATGTGGTTTTGCCATTACCCCATAATACTTTGCTAGATTTATCTTAAGGTAATATTTATCAATGATAAATTCTCTTGGTTATGGACAACCAATTCCTAGAATATAGTTCGACTGAAAACACAATTATAGGTTGACACTTGTTTTATCTCAGAGCTTTGAATATACTCCTTCACTGTGTTTAGCTTCTATTTTTGTTGTAAAGAAATCTGCCAAGAATGTCCCTTGATAGATATTTTTTTATTTGTTTGTTTAAAGTTTTCTGTTTATATCTGCTGTTCTATAATTTCACAAATGTGTATAGGCAAGGACATTTTTCTTTTTATTCTTTAAGTTTGCACTGTTTAAAACTATAGATTCTTATCTTTTATCAGAAAAATTTCAAGGCACATTTTTGTAATTTTGCCTTTTCTCCATTCATAAGATTCTGTTGACACAAATCAGATTTTCTAATTTTGTCCTCTATTATCGCCATTCCTCTCATTTTCCATCTCCTTTTCTTTCTGATATACTATTATTTCTTCAGCTAGGTTTCCAATGTGCCAATTGTCTCTTCAAATATATCTGTTTTTGTCCTAGCAGTGATATTGTGTGATTGATCATGATATTCATTCATCTTTGAAACTGTACCTTTAGGTAAGCAGTTTGTGCATATTCTATATTCACTGTCTGCCAATTCCAATGAACGCTATTCCTGAGAGGCTAAGTCTTGTTTGATGGTTTGCTGGTCTGCACTCATGGGAGATTCTATTTCTAATTATATTTTACATTAGGAATTTAGCTGTATCTGCATCTGTGGGTCATTATATAGTCCTAAATTGTATTCTTCCTCCAGAGAATATTTGCATCTTTTTCCTTGCAAGGGTGAAAGCACATCACTAATCTAGAGCCACTCCAGCTTTCCTTCATTATCCAACTCTAGTCACACAGTCCCAGGCTCATTTGCTCTACTTGGCCAGTGGCCCAAGGTCCAATAACTCAACTGTAGTATTGTTATGAGCACCTACCCTCAATTAGTCCCATCCTTTCTCCCTACCCATGTCTCACACCTTCTAAATTCCAGTTCTGATAATTCGCATATTTAAATTACTTTGTAATATTATATTATTTTTAAAATTTATTTTGGGGTAAGATATCCCAGGGGAGGTATGATACCCAGTGCAATAGTAACAGAGCATTAGAAAGATCTAGGGCAAATGCAGCAATGTGGTTGGACTTGGATCATATGACAAGGGGAGGGCACATATGGGAGGTATAGAAATAGATAGGACACCCAAAACATGAAAGCATTTGATATCCCCACTGCAGAGGAATTAATACAGAAACCTTAAAGTGACAGAGGTTAACATGAGAAGGGGATCAGGAACCAGTGTAAAGATCAGTTAGAGATGAATCAACTTGGGTTGTACACATTTGTACACGAAAGATATCCTTAACTCAACTAGCAAAAACGCTTTGTCTTCTTTATTATTCGTATGTCTTCTCTTCAACAAAATTAGTGATAAGGGCAGAACAGGTTCTGCCTGGAAGTGAGGGGTGAGGGGAGCAGAGGGGAGGGGAGGGGGACAGAGAGGAGAAATGACCCATACAATGTATGCACGTGTGAATAAATGAATAATTAAAAAAAATAGAAAGTTGTTACACCTGACATCTAGTTGTCCTTCTATGGGCAGGTATCTCAGAGTATCTAATCTGTAAAGCATGACAAGGGTGAAAAAATAGGCAGCAGTCTATTTTTTAAACTGAGGTGGGAGAAAGTATGGGAGAATTATGATAATGAGAATGAAATGGAAAAAAGAAGACAAAATTTTGAATTCAGAGCAAAAAAATGGTGAGATCTGCAAGTATGTAAAAGAGATAAAGGCATTTTTAATTATATGTTCTTGCAATATATATTATAGTGGGTACATGATATGAACATAATGTCAAAATACATGTACAGTCTGCTACATGATAATATGTCAATTATAATATTTTTCTTTATAGGGAAGAAGGAGAATTCAACTGTCTGAGAACCACTATCATATTCTTAACTGATAAGTATAAGCAGCAGCTGGTGGAATGACTCAGAAGAATAAAGATTCCAACTATAAGGCATGCTGCAACAATAGGTCCCCAATGACAACTTGTTGACCTAAACTAATTATAGCAATTATATAATTACACTACCAATACCGCGTGATTAAAAATAGGGCATGCATAAAGACAATGTTAAAAGTAATGTAGGCTTATCTACAGTACGAGACAAAATAGCTGTGAAATCTCTCATTAGACATCATCTCTCATTAGACATGACTCTCTTCAATTAGCTCATAGTTCAAATTCTAATGATTGGTACTAAAAAGAATTTTTAAATAAATTAAAAAATAACCAGCACTTTCCTCAGGAAACTGTGACAGAGAAGTTGACAATTTCGATTTCTGGTATAATTAGATGACCTCTTGTTGGAAATTTTCCCTTATTCCATATTAGGAGGTAATGTTAAACACTTTTTCACATCTAGATGTACATACCAGGGTACAGTAGAATGTGCAAACGATTCCTGTTGCAAACACAGAGCCCCAGAGATCAAACCCAGTCACTATGAAAAGAGAAAAAAAAAACATTAAAAGCAGTATTTCTGAGGAAAGAAAAGTAGCAAATTTATCAGATAAAGTCACAATATTCTTGTCAGTGTTTACTCTGGCCTAAGGATATCAAATTTGTTTTCCTTCATTAAATTTTCTCACCTCTTAGCTAGATTATTTTATTACATTTTTATACATAAATTTCATGCATTTTTTTGTCAATTTTTTCCTCCTATGATTCTATATTATCCATCCTTGGTTCAAATGTTTTGTTTTTCTTGAGTAAGGTAAGTCATCTGAAATTGCTTGAGCATCACAGAAGAAATAATACTTTTCAGTATTAGTATATGGATCTATTAAGTTGAATATTGAGGATTTTCAGTATGACAGAGGCACTGTGAAAGTTAGTTGCTTTTTTTTCTTTCATTTTCATTTCTAGGACTCTATTCTCTTGAAAGGGCCAGCTATACAATTTACAGCAAATATTACAAACACCTTTTACTCTTGTTCTCAGATTATCCACTCATGAAGTCACTAAAAAAGAACCCTATGTTATAGGGGATCTTACCTAGTGGTTGTGAATATACAATGCCCATACTGCCATTATTTTGATGACTAAAAAGCAAACCAAAATATCCCCCAAAACGAGAGAAAATTGGACTGGATATACTGCTGTGAGGCAAAATTAAATACCTAATTGTATTATTTTCAATATTCAATAAACTTTTAAAGATTTATGTATGCAGTGACTTTACAGTAACGGAACACCCTAACTAGTATCTCTCCAATCACATTTTTTATGTATATTTTTTCCAAGTAGAGAATTCAGGGATAAAAGTGGTGGCATATGTCCATGGAGCATTGGTAACTCACCTTGATTGAGTGCTAGAGCAGGAGCATACACTACCACCCCAGTGTAGAGAATCTGGTGGAGAAGCAAGAATCAAGTTAACAATGAGAAAGTTAAATGAGAAGGAAAATTGCATAGGAAGTTCTTTATTGGCCTTAGACATGTATTTCCTTGAACTTGTTCAGCAAACATTTTGCTATCATCCACTATAATTTTGATGCTGTTCACCCCTGTAATTAATTTGGTTTTGATGCTGTTCACCCCTGTAATTAATTTGTAGAGGTAATGCAGTCATTAGATGGAAAAAGAGAGTTCAAATTTCAAGACTGCTGCTAGCTAGTTTGAGATGTTATGGTCAGGTTTGGTACTTTTCTAAGGCAATACATAGTAAGCCTTAAATTAAGTTCTTTATTTACCTTCCCTCTTTCCAGTTCCCTCACACACAAATCATAATGATCTCTCTGCTGACTTCATAGGAAGCTTTACTAAAGAACAGAAGTACTTTTCCACAATTTGCTGAGATATTGAATTTAGAGTAGTGATGGAAAAATCTGTGAAGGAAGACTTGCAACAAGGATGACTTACATAAAGAATGCATCTTCTAATTCATGGGACTGCCATTGCAATGTTAATGGAAATTCCTTCAGAAACCTTTTTTTTTAGATAGAATTCCACTTTTTAGAGATTCATGTGAAAGTTTCAAAAGTAAGTATCTGTGGCCAGTTCAAGATGTGTTGCTTTCCTCCTATTCTATTACTTATGTCCTTCAGGCAGTGGGGAAGAGTTTTGATTAAAAGGAAAGGTTATCTTGTGACATTTCTGCAATCTCCCTGTACAGTATCTTAAGCAAACAAAAATACCTCTTTTCAATAAAGGAGAACAGGAAGTAAAACAGGTCCTGGTTGGTTGTGGGGTTGGTAACAGTGGGAGGGAGGAAGATACAAGGAAATGGTGAAGGAGACTGAATATAATAGAAATATTATGTACTCATGTATGAAAATGGAAAAATGAGACATGTTGAAACTATTCCAGGAATTGGAGGAGGGGAAATAAAGGAGAATGATGGAGGAGGTGAATTCAACTATGACAAATTATAAGAACTTTTGTAAATGTCACAATGTACCCCAGTACAATAGAAAGAAAGAAACAGAAAAAAGGAAGGAACAAAGGAAGGAAGGAATGAAAGAATGAAGGAACGAAGCAAGGAAGGGATGAAGGAAGGAAGGAAAGAAAGAAAGATTATCTTCTAATAGAAAGTGCTTAGTGAACAATAGGAACTGCACCAATTACATAATTGTACGCAAGGTAGGGGCATCATGAAAGCATCTAAGCCTGGAGATGGAAAAGGAGTTCATAAGAAGGAAGTACTGAGTTGTAGGTATGGCTCAAGCTATAGACCACCTGCCTAGCAAGTGAGAAGCCCTGAGTTCAAAATCCAAAACCATCAAAAAAAGAATTAAAAAGAGGGAAGCAGGTGTATTGGTAGGCACAATTATCTTAAAAGGATTTATAGAAAAGCAGGCATTTCTGATTCAACTCAACTCAATTAACAGGTTATAAAAATCAAGCCAGGTATGGTGGGACATGCCTGTAATCTCAATAGTCAGTAGGTGGAGGTAGTAGGATTCAAGTTCAAAGTCATCCTGAGCTACATAGTAAGACTCTATCTCAAAGAAAAAAAAAATCAGTTATCAGACCATTCCATATTTAAAACTTTTAGAAGTTAAATATGAGTGAAATAAATCTGAAGAACGTTTCTTTGTGGATTAAAATATATACTTGTTATTTATTAGTACAGACTCATGGAATCTCTGCATTGGGGAAGCCTCTTGATATAAACACATATCTTAAAATGCCATCTCTGGAAGAAAGTAGTAGCTTTGTAGTGTTAATCATCCTTTAGTTGAGTTAAATTCCCCTTAAATAAGCAGAACTGCAACTGTGTGTATGAACTCATCTGGCTTCACATCTGCATCAGCCACTGCTCCTTACCGTCTGAACAATGTAGATGACTGTTGCTGCAAAGCGAACTGGTTTGTTGAATCGTAGTTGCAAGTACTGGAGGGAATAGAGAAAGACATGAAATTTAGGTAAAACCTGCTAAGATCCTTTTTTCCCAGTGGTATTACTCTGAGTTTAGTGCTTTGAACTTATGCTTTTATAGTATGTATTCTTGAGAACAACAGGGGGGAAAAATAAGGTTGAAAAAAAACCCAGATCTGTTGATTTTCTGTCTAGGAGTCTTCCTACAGGCCCTACCAAATTCATTGTTTTCTTTTCTATGCCTGCTGCCCAAAATTTTGCTCAGTTCTTTGTTTTATTCTTTTCAGGATTACTGCTACAACTCCCTAATTGGTCTCCCCAATACCAAGCCTTGCCATCAACTCATATCTGACACATTGTTTCTTTTAAAACAGACCTCTGATTTTTGTCACTCTTTTCTCAATAACCTCAATGATTCTCTATTTTTGACAAAACAAAGTGTACCTCAGTTTCAAACCCTCTTTTATCTGACCACACTTATCTATCACTTACAAAATTTATTCTCCATATGAAGTCATTTAGTGTTCAACTAACATATTTTGTACTTTTCCAATCTTTCTTCTATTTAGACAGAATTCTCAATGTCAGAGTCTCTCTCCTTGTATTTCAAATTTCAAATTTGTTCCCAAAGTTCTTTGTCATTTCTCAGAAAGAATGGGCCCAATTTCCATTCCTATTCTTACTCACATTCTCTTCTGTGAGCTCTTATGCTTCTTACACTAAACCTTTTTCATGGTTACTAGCCAATTTCTTAAATTTGATGCCACATTTCTTTATTAGTTATGGGTTAGTTAACTATAGCTATTGTAACAAATTATTACCAGTTTGGTGTCTTAAAACAACTGAAATTTAGAATCTTGCATTTCTGGAAAATTTTTTGTCTCTCAAATCTGTTACTACCTGTCTCCTACAAGAGTACATGTGCTTCCACTTAAGGCCCACATTAATAATCCAAGATGATCTTAATTAATTAAATTATATTTGCAAAGACCTATCTCCTCCTTTTTTTGACCATATATATCAGAGGTTCTAAGCATTAGACATGAATACACACGCACACACACACACACACGCACACACATACACACACACACACATACACACTGGAAGATACTAGTATATGTCTTCTAATGTATCATAAACATGTTGGATGAACAAAATAAATTTTAAAGGTAGAAAATGACCTAAGGATTCGATTTCCTGATTTTAGTTTTTACTTGATAGTACTTTCTTACCTAAATTTAAGAAAAATCATTTTGATTAAATCAGGGATAAACTACTGATTTGTCCTTTCCCTAGAAATGATACATAAATGTTTCATGGCTTAAAATAGACCATTCTTTGAAACAAGAAGTTCTCAGTAGAATTTGGCTGAGTTTCATAACAGCCCCATTTCATAATTTGCCCTGCTAGATGCATCAAATCCTCAGGTAAAGATCTACCTTAATTTCAGGTCTTCTTTGGTCAGGTGATATACTCAGTAGACTGGGATTCAGTCACACTCTGAGTATAACTGAGAGTAACAGATATAAAGAAATCATTCTTACAGAGATAAGGACTGTAAATGAGGAATCAAAAACTCAAATATCACAGGATAGAAAACTGTGCAAAACTTTTGTGGTGAAGACAGCTTAGGTTCAAATCACATGCCCTTGGGAAGGCAAGTTGACTGCACAAAGCCATATGTTTCTCTTCCTAAAGTAGACACTTAAAAGATCAAATGACATAGGTGGGATAATACCAAACACATAGTGATCAATATAGTAGGATCTTAGTGACTATCACTGTGGGTACAGCAGCCATAACTTATTGGCACTCACTGTTCCAGTACATGTTGATAACATACCAGTGCACTTGTGACTTCTGCTTGAAAGCATCTCTTGGCCTTTGCATAACACAGGTCAGAAGTGCTAGAGTATGTTTTCATTACCATTCAGACAATAACTGAAATGACTTGGGAAAAAACACACTGCCTTTCAGAGAGGACACCCTGAGACATATTCTAGATAGTCTCTTAAAGATCCCCAGAGGGATTGAATCCCAGTTACTCACACTGATAATCTGCTTGAAAATGCACCTTTCATTGAGTTCCTTCCTTTCCAAGACTTACTTTACCATTTATTTTCCCATGTTTATAGAAATCTAGTCCCCCAAAATTACTTTTGTTTGAACCTTTATCTCTGAGTAGTAAGGTTAAAATCTTATTTTGTGGGAAATGCAGCTTAAGATGGTTATATTTCAAAGTGACTTTAAAATTTGTCCATAGGGAGGTGTATCTGCTTGCTGATAGGAACTCTTTTCCATCACATAATGAACCTAGGATAGAATACAGAACAATGAAACCAAACACTATATAGACAAGCTGTTTCATCTGTGTTTCTATAGACTCAAGTCCCTTGCCAACTCTCTATCTGATGGTAGTCACATTGATGACCCCAAGTGAGCCAGGAAAAGAAATTTACTATCTTGTGAGACCCAATTGAGCTAGGCCAAATTGCTTCTCTATAGAATTATGAGCAAATAAAACTATTATTTTGATAAATCTAATTTATGGTTGTATGCTACATAGCAGTAGACAATTAATAGAAAAATGGTTACCAGAAGTGGGAAGATGTTATAACAAAAAAACAAAAATACATGGTATTGGCTTTGGGATCTGAAAGGTACATGAAATCCGGGAAAGCAAAGGAGAAACTGTTCCTGAAAAATGGAAGAGCTGTGAGGAAACTGCTAAAGGAATCTGGAAGTGAATGGTTTCTTTCCATCCCAGTTTAATCTCAATCAATTCAGCAACACTAGAGAGGAGGAAAGGGTAAGTGAGAAAAGAATTAGGTCAGAAGTCAGATTCCTTCAATTCTAGTTTGAAATTTGCTGACATCTCACTGTGTGATCTAAACCCCTGTTGGCTTATCAGTGAAACGGAAGGAGATCATTTCAATACCCGAAAGAATGCATTCACTTGTCCTTTCAACATATTCATTCACTCATTTCATGGTCATCGTTGATGAGTTTATAAACTATAGTAAAAAGTGAAAATGGAAGTTCAACAGAAAAAGTGCATACTTCACATTTGGTTATAAAAGTAGTAGGGGTGACATTTAGCTTTCTCATGTTGTGTTATTTTCAGGACCCCAAACTTGATCCAGCCGTACTCTTTTTTAACTCAGGAAATACAAACTCCTCTTTTCATGTTGACTCAATCCCCAGTAACAGGAAGTCAACCTTTACTCCTCTCTGCTTTTTACTCCCCACATCCAGTTCATAAAAGAATCCTGGAGACTGCACTCCACTTTCAAAAGATACTCACTTATATTATCTCCCCTATTGCTACTGTTACCATCATCTCTTGTCAAGACTATGGCAGTAATCTTTCAGTTATGAGCAGTCGAGATCCTACAATTATTCTCAATATTCAGTTAGAATAACATTCCTAAAATATTAACCCCATCATGTTGCCCCTCTACCCAAATGCTATAATGCTCATCTCCCTGTGAGAAAAAGTTAATCCCTCCAATGACCAAAAAGTCTTCATAATATTGGTTTAGACCCTATCAGACTCAAAATATCCATTTTACAACAAATATTTTATGACACCATTTACTGAAATAATATTTAATAGTATTATCTTATACCTAAACATATAATTTATCAAAATGTAAATGTTATAATAATACCACAAAATATATCTTAAGAGACAAGTAAAAGAAAAGCAATTTCCAAATGTATATACATGTATATAAAATGCATAAATGCTAGAAACCACTTTAAAAGAAGTCACAGTGAGGTAATAGCTTATTTATTATCATAATGGATTGAAAAAGTAAGTAGTTCAGAAGTCATCTAGTCTAAGAAGCTTAAAGGAAATGAGAGATCAAGCAGATACTAGCTTATAAACTTGTATTAAGGGTAAATAATAGAGGGCTGTGTTGATTAGGTCATGATAAGAAGAAGACAGAAATAACCTTAACTGAAGGGAAGATAACACGAAGAGACTAATTATAAACCATCCAAGTGGATATAATGAAAATGTATGATATTGCAAATGAGCTAAGCTTAATTTATAACAAGAAGGTGAGAATAATTCCTTTTGCTTTGATATTTGACAGGGTAGTGATACAATAACACAGATGGTATAAATCCCACTTCATATCAAGGCATTTAACCACTTGGCTATTGCTACAAATATCCACCCCAAAAATGGTGGGCTCAAAAACCAAAGAATAATTATTTCTCATAACTTTGGAGTTTGGTGGCAGTTCTTCTAGCCATTTCACAGGGCTCTCATGTGACTGCAGTCCACTGGAAGATCAAATAAGTGAGGACTACGATGACCTCACTCAAATGTCTGGCAAGTTTTTGGCTGTTAACTTATCTCCCCTCTGTTTTCACTCATGGTCCAGAAACTTCCCCAATACTCCAGCTTTCTTAAATTACAGCACCAGAGCAGCATTTCAAGATGACAAATGCTAAAGGTACAAGCCTCATGAGGCCTAAGCTTCAAACTCAGTTATATTTGTGACATTCTAGCCATCAAAGGAAATCACAAATGTGGTCCAGGTCCTAAGAATGAGGAAATATAGTCCACCAATTTCAGTCTTTTATTTCAGTTTTTAGCAACAAAAGAAAATGAATGATATAAAAATAGGGACAGTAGCAATAAAAACAACAACTATTATACAATGTCTGACATAACATCTAGCATTTGCTCAGATCTATAAAAATATTTACTTATGGCACCATATTTCCTTACAGCTGTCCTTTGAGATATATTTTATTATTATCACTATTTTACACATTTAAACACCAGATATAGAGAGTTGGGAAAATTTCCCCAAAATAATGCAGCTCTCATGAGACAGAACTAGCATACAAAGCCAAATAGTCAGAGTCTAGCGTTCATGCTTTTAACCCCTATTTCCTACTGCCAGTTCATCATGCAACCTCAGAAGAAACTCATATGTCCTTTATACAATTTTCATATCTTATCTGAGTAATATAAATTTTGAGTATGCAGAGTTTACAATAGTAAATACTTTAAAACAATTTTTGTAAATTAAATTTAGTGAAAGCCCTGTATTTCTTATATCTGCACCAACTTAATTATTTATTTATTTATTTATTGTTTTATTATTCATATGTGCATACAAGGCTTGGGTCATTTCTTCCCCCTGCCCCCACCCCCTCCCTTACCACCCACTCCACCCCCTCCCTCTTCCACTACCCCCTCAATACCCAGCAGAAACTATTTTGCCCTTATCTCTAATTGTGTTGAAGAGAGAGTATAGGCAATAATAGGAAGGAACAAGTGTTCCTGGTTGCGATAAGGATAGCTATACAGGGAGTTGACTCACATTAATTTCCTGTGCATGTGTGTTACCTTCTAGGTTAATTCTTTTTGATCTAACCTTTTCTCTAGTTCCTGGTCCCCTTTTCCTATTGGCCTCAGTTGCTTTTAAGGTGTCTGCTTTAGTTTCTCTGCATGAAGGGCAACAAATGCTAGCTAATTTTTTAGGTGTCTTACCTATCCTCACCCCTCCCTTGTGTGCTCTCGCTATTATCATGTGCTCAAAGTCCAATCCCCTTGTTGTGTTTGCCCTTGATCTAACGTCCACATATGAGAGAGAACATACGATTTTTGGTCTTTTGGGCCAGGCTAACCTCACTCAGAATGATGTTCTCCAATTCCATCCATTTACCAGCGAATGATAACATTTCGTTCTTCTTCATGGCTGCATAAAATTCCATTATGTAGAGATACCACATTTTCTTAATCCATTCATCAGTGGTGGGGCATCTTGGCTGTTTCCATAACTTGGCTATTGTGAATAGTGCCGCAATAAACACAGGTTACTCCAGAGGCACCCATGTTTATTGCGGCACTATTCACAACTTAATAATTTAAAAGGAGTCTTATACTGCTTCAGTTACATATTTACTATTGCCTCAACTTCTTCTCTTGTAACTGTGGACTATAGTTTTGCTAAAATTAGTTTCAATTAAGTATGTATTGAGCTGCATATATGGAAAAGACAAATTGCTTAGTGAATAAATTTTTTAATAATTCCAATACAATGTTTTTAATTCAGTTTACTTGAAGAATGTCTATGTGTGTATAATATTTTACAAAATTATCATGTACTAAGCACTACTAATTTATGTTTCATAAAACATGAAAGATCATGAAGCATATGGTGTAATATTTCCTTCTGTATATGTGTCCCATACATCCTAAACTTCAACAATGCTCCCAATCACTATTACAACCAAATTACTTCACAAGTATCTGTAGAGCTCTCTCTGTGTGGTACCACACCCAGAGGGGGCTGTTCAATGTAACTGGGCCCTCTCACCATTTTGATCTCTCTCTTTTTTTTTAACCATCCTTCCCTTTGCTTACTCTTCTCCAAGCACACTGATTGCTTTGTTGTCTTTCAACCTGCCAACTACACTTCCACTTTGGGGCATTTGCATTCTCACTTCTTCATCAAGAGATGTTCATCCTTCACCTGGTTCAATCCCTTGTTTTCTTCTGCTCTCCACTTAAAAATGTTCTATCACCATGGGAGTTTTCTTGACCACCCTCTAGGAACTATAGACCTTCTCTACCCAAGCTAGCATTCCACCTGTCTACTTCATCTTATTTCCTTTTTCTGCATTGTCTTTTATAGAACAAGAAAAACATAATAACTCAGCATGTGATCTCAAAAGTTAGACTACTTGGATTTAAAAAATTGCCCTTTGAAAACTGAGACATTGAGAAAATTGCTTAATTCTATGTGCCTTAGTTTTCCACTTTGTTAAGTGGGAATAATGCTAATACACCTACCTAAAATGATTTATTTTAGTGCCAAGTGAATTCGTAGATGTAAAATATTATGTCAGTACCTAGCACACAGTTAATATCATATAAATTTGTGTTGTGATTGTTTTATGCCTTTCTCTGCTGTGGCAAGGTCCATGAAGGCAAGACCTTTGGTTTAATGCTGCATTTCTAGAGCAATAACAGAAAGCCCAGAACATAGTACATGCTTAATGGGAATTTACTGATGAATGAATCACTAAAAAAATTGTATTCCATGTGTAGGTAATTTCTTATAATTTAAAAAGCCATTTTACATTAAACAAAACCTTCATGAAAAAATGGAATTGTTATATTCTACTGAAAATTAAAACTGAGATATGATTTTTTTAAAACTTGCTCACAAAGTGATCCTATTATCAATGAAAAATAGAACTTAAATTTTCTGGTTCAAGTTTTCTCTCTCGCATTCCGCATTTGTGACAGTCACTTAGGCAATCCATTTAAAATGTATTATTTCATTTAATAAATAGAAAATTCAACAATGTATTTTAAAGTTAAATCTGCATGGTTGAATGGAGAAATCTAGGAACATTAATGAGGAATGGGCTATATGTGCATTTTTAAGACTAAACGTAAATTGAGTTTTTTTCTCTTAATCCTATATCCCACATAATAGCTCTTGAGTGGCCAAATTCTGATTATCTTCTTTTGGGGGAAACAGGAGTTAATGCTGAACATTTGGGATATGATCATCTATTAAATCATATGTCTTAAGACCCTCTAAAATATTAATTTGCCTGAATGACTTATGAAGTCTTAAGTAACATTTTGTGTTCATTTAGCTTACAGAATGTTAAAAATTTGTTTTTTTATGAGCCTTCTGCTATGGCTTGTAGGGGTGATGGTGGCAATGAAAATAAATAACTTTTTCTCATAAAAGCTTACTTATGATCACACTTAAATATTAGACATGCAAATTGAATTTTGAACATAGTGCTTTACTGAGCAATGTTGCAAAGCCAAAACTCCACTGTCACATTTCTCTCTCACTAAAATAATTCCATTTTACTATTTAGTAATTCCTTCCCATTAAAATACTGTCTCATTTTCAAAAGTATTACCATTTTCCAAATAAAATTTAGAGTTTAGTAATAATTTGTATTTAAGCCTATTGTCTCACGGAAAAGCCACTAAATAGAGATACAAACAAAATAGTTTCTCAGTAGACTTTATCTACTGTTAATCATGGCTAACTTATTTATTTTTATCTCAGTTTTCCGAATAATTATAATGCTGGATATTATAATACTCATGGTCTGTGTTTTTCTTGCTTGTCAGGATAATGAGGCTAATAATAATAAAAATAACATCACCTCTCTTTTCTTAAGAACACCCACAAACTGGACAATGCATTAAGTGTTCACGTGCAGGTTTTCATTTAATCATTAAAATAGCCCTGTGGGACTGACATCATTATTTCCATTCGATGGAGTGGAAAACAGGTGTGCCTGCAGCTACAGCTTAGTCTTTTCCCCAAGAAGATATAATGTCTTTTTCATAATGTGCAATTGCCTTAAAAGTTAGTCAGTTTTCTACAACTCCCAGGTTTTATTGTCAAGATGGTAACAATACAGGAAAAAAAACTCAAAAAAAGATAAAAATCATTCAAGTAGAGAGAAAATAGCAGTGCCTATGAAAACAGAAAAGCAATCAGTTCTCTTACCTCATAAGTGCTGGTGATGCCAGATCTGTAGAACACAGGGAGAAAGAGCTCGGATGTGAAGATGACAACAAATGCATATGCAATGAAGAAAAGTACGAAGGATGCCCCAAAGCGGTAGACCTCAGAAGGGGTCCCCAGGACAGTGACAGCGGACATGAAACTGGCTGTCAGAGACAAGGCCACTGGGCCAAAACTCATTTGCCTTCCCCCTACCAGGAACTCCCTAGATGTTGCCTTCTTTCTCTCCTTAATAGCAAAGAACACACCAATACCAGAGGAAATGACAAAAAGAGCTGCAAAGACAACATAATCCCAAACTGAGAAGTTCTTCACCTCCATGCTGGGAAGTATGACAACAGAGTTGCTTTCAACCAAGTCTCAGCAAGAGGATGGTTCCCAAAGCAAAGCTTAGTACATCAGATGCTTTGTTGGGCAGTAGGACTATGATTCCCTGAGGAGAATGAGGACCATGGACTCGTGTGTAGATCTTCAGACACCAAGTTGTACTCAAGGACGCTCTCAAAAGTTGATTGCAAAAAAAAGAGTTGCTGGTAGAATTGGTACCAAGAGATGAGGACTTGAAATCTGACGCTGGACAAGAGCTGTTTGTTCCTCTCCTGAAGCATATGCCACAAAGAAGGAATTCAGATGTATTCTGAGATTAATAACTACTGGGGGTGGAATTGACTTGCCAGATAACATGCTCTTTTATCTCTTAGATTTTTTTTTTAACTTAAGGTTAAACATTACTGGAAAACATGGAAGTGATAAAAGTTGATGATCTCAGCATGTTCAGTTAGTGAAATGGAATCTGAAAATGCAAACAAAACCCTTAGAGGTGTCTCTTTCCTGATTGAGGGAGGGTGGAGGGTATGTACCTATGATTGCCTGAGACACTGGGTATGGAGGTTAAGGAGCAAAGGACTATGAATCCAGAGACCTTTGTTCAAGTCTTGGCTCAACTACACGTGAGCTATATTTGCAAATCATTTAACTTTTCTGAGCTTCCTCTGAAACACTGGGATAAGAATGTGAATCGTTGAGACTCAATCTTCCTTACACTTTTTGTTCTGAGGTAATAAAATCTACTTTATGGATTATTATTATTTGTGCTTACAATAAAGCATTCCTGAACATAATATTCTCCTTTATCTCTAAGACTGAGAGAATGGATTTAGCAATAATTAACAGATTATTTGTAGTCCTCAAATTTATCCTCTTCCCTCCTTCATTTCACCCAGGTTACTACTATACTTGTATCCAGAGGCTAAGCCACAGTTAGTGCCAAGACAAATGAGCGAATGACAGTGAAAATGTGTCACAAAATACTGCTGCTGCTCTAGTTACTCTATCAATTGTGTGCAAGAGCCTCCAGCTTTTTATGAGACAATTTGTATATTTTGTTCATGTTTTTCCTCTCTTCTGAATGTTCTTCCACATTCCCCCTTCTCTACAAAGTCAACTTACTATACAAGGTCTAGTTCATGTCTCCTCAGCTCTATACAGCCTTCCTTGCCCCTCTATCCCAATTCCTGTAGAAAACAGCCACCCCTGGTACTCACTTTGTACTGTGCAATTATCCTCAATCAGGTTAAGCTGTGTGTGTGTGTGTGTGTGTGTGTGTGTGTGTATGTGTGTGTGTGTGTGTGTATGTGTCTGTAGGTGTCAGCTGTTACAACCAACCAACTCCTTGGAGGCAGACCCACAAAGCTCCAGTCCATAGCACCCATCACACAAATCAAGAAAATAATCCAAAACCAAGAAATTATTTATAAAACCCAAATACAGAAACACTTTCAGTAAAGCAGAGAAAACTCAAATTTTGTTTTTGTCATCTGGATCACTGAATAAATCTTTGATTTTTTTTTTCACCTACATGCTATCTTCACTCCTTAATTTTTGCCAGGGATTTGTATTAGGTGTGAGAAAGTTCTGATGTCTAAAGTATCTTTTCAGTTACAAATAAGAAAGATGCAAAGAAATATTCTACCCTTAGCTTTCTGTTGTTTAAATTTCTCCTCAAGATTTGTGGAGTTGACATGACCATTATTAGGTCTTTGTTATCATAACTTTAATCTAGACTTTTAATTATTTTTATCATGATACAGGCACATCTCATTTTGTTGCCCTTTATTGTGCTTCACAGGTATTGTGTTTCTTGCAAAATGAAGATTCATAGTAATCTTGTGTCAGGTAAGTCTTTGATGTTATTGTAATTATTTTGATGTGTTATGAATTGTGCCTGCTAGACAATGTAATAAATGTGTGTGTTCTAACTGCTCCACTGACAGTCAATCCCCCATATCTCTCCTTATCTTTCAGGCCTTCCTGTTCCTTCACACATCACAATACTGAAATGAGACCAATCAATAAGCCTGCAATGGCTTATAAGTATTCAAGTGAGAGGAAGAGTCACATATATCTCACTTTAAATCAAAAGCTAGAAATTATTTATCTTAGTTGAAAACAAGATAGGCCAGAAGCTAAGCCTCCTGTACACATTAGCCAAGTCATGAATGCAAAGGAAAAGTTCTTAAAAGCAATTAAAATGTTACTACAATGAAAATTACAAGTTAAAATATCCTACTGCTGATATGGAGAAAGTTTTAGTTGTCAAACCAGTCACAACATCCCTTAAACCAACACCTAATATAGAGCAAGGTCCTAACTCGCTTGAATTCTATGAGGACTGAGGTAAATGAGTAATCTGCAGAGAACATGTTTGAAGCTAGAAGGTTGGCGCATGAGGTTTAAGAAAGGAAGGCATCTCCCCAACATAGAAGTGTAAGTGATGCTGCAAGTGCTGAGGTAGAAGTTCTACCACATTATCCAGAAGAACCAGCTAAGGTAATTGATGAGACTGGCTATGCTGAACAACAAATTTTCAATGTAGATGGATCAGCCTATTATTAGAAGAAGAAATTGTCTAGGACAAAGGAGACAATTCTTGGTTTCAAAGCTTCAAAGGACAGGCTAATTCTTTATTAGAGGGCTAATACAGCTGATGACTTTAAGTTCAAGCCTATGCATATTTACCACTCTGAATATTTACAGAGAATTTCATAATTATATCAAATCTACTCTTTCTGTGCTCTGTATTTCATACAACAAAGCTTTAATGACAACACATCTAGTTAGTATATGATTTGCTAAAATTTTAAGTCAACTGTTGAAAACTACTGCTCAGAAAAATATTCCTTAGGGGATGAACTTGTTTACAGTACACTGAATGCATGCATGGAATTATCACAATGAACCACCTTATATTATTAATGTATTATAAATCAAAAATAAAAATTGAAAGAAAAAAATATTCTTTTCAAGCTATTTTTGCTCATCGATAATGTACTTGGTCACTCAAACATCTGATGGAGATATACAAGTTTATTGTCACTTTCAGCCTCTTAACACAACATTCATACTGTAGCCCATAGCTCAATGGATAATTCAAACTTTCAAGTCTTATTATTTAATAAATATATTTAGCAAGACTAGAGCTGCCACAGATAGTGATTCATCTGATAGATATGGGTGAAGTAAATTGAAAACCTTCTGAAATATATTCATGATTCTAGATGCTATTAAGATATTCTTAACTAATGGAAGAAGGTCAAAATATCAACATTATCAGAAATTTGAGAGAAAATGATCCCAACTTTGGATTATTCCAACCTTAGATGATTCTGAGGGGTTAAGGATTTCAGCAGAGGATATCATTTTGATATGGTGGCAATAGCAAGAGAGAGCAAATTCAAAGCAGATCCTGGAGATGTAATTGAATTATTACAATCTCATGACAAAATTGGAATAGAGAAGGTGTTTTCTTCATGGTTGGTGTAAATTGTGGTTCCTTCAGATGGAATCTACTGCATTGAAGATGCTGTGAACATTGTTGAAATGAAAATAAAGGACTTACAATAAATATACATAACCGTTTTTGCTAAATTAGTAGTACCAGAGTGAGAGGATTGACTTCACTTTTGAAAGAATTTCCATTATGGGTAAAATGCTTTCAAACACAATGGAGTGTTACAGAGAAATCTTTCATGAAAGAAAAAGTCAATCTACGTGGTAAAATTCATTGCTCTTTTAAGATATTTACACAATCACCCCAAACTTCAGCAACCACCCCTGTTCAATAGCCACTGACATTGAGGCAATACCCTCCACCAAAACCTGAAGGCTTACATGATCATTAGAACTTTTATCAACACAGTATTGTTAATTAAATATGTGCATTTAAATATATTGTTAACACAAGTTATAGATGACAGTGTCATATAAAGATAACTTTTATATAGACTGGGAAACCAAAAAAATTTTATTTGACTCCCTGTATTTCTGTATCACTTTATTGCAATGGTCTGGAACTGAAGCTACAATATCTCTGAGGTACGTCTGTGTTCTGATTATATAACAGGTTTTTGCTATAGTGAGCTCAGCAGAAAACTGGAACCTTATTCAGTGACCTGACTGCTTTATATTTAATATTAACACAACCTATGAGTTAATATTCCATCCAAAAGACATGTAAACAACTTGTCAGATTCATGTGAATACTGCTCAAAACACTATCATTACATCAATGAGACCCCGAGGTTAAGTACTAGAAGCTTGTAGATGAAGACTCAATAAATACCGCTACTTTTAATTAAATTTCATGCGCAAACAGTATTATCTACATGACTCCATCAGTTTTAAATTGCAAAGCAGTGGGGAGCAGAGTGATTGCTGGAGATATGAATAGTGCTTCAGACCTCTCAGGGAAAAGAATGTCTTCCTTTTCATATTTTTCTGATTATAAAGCACATTAATTTATTAATCTAATTTTCTGCTATTTTCACATCTTTACCCTTTCCTATCTTTGGTAGCATTCAGTGTCTTCAAACTCTTATCCCCTTCACATTAAGACTCATTCCATGCAAGGTTCATGCTGATTATAAGCCAGGGCATCTATTTGCTAATAATTTTTCAGAGAAAACAAAACAACTGCAGAATTCAATGGCTACCTCCATTCGAATGCATAGTCCTATATCAGAAATGTGAATGTGGTCAAAGGGGAAAAGGAATGTGCCTCCATGACCTGAAGAAACCCCAATGTCTTCTTCACTTCCCAACAGGTCCCCCAGATTCCAGCATTCACATTCTGTAAAAACAGATATTGACTTAAATCTTTAAGAGGTAAATTTCAGCATTCACTTATTAAGGTCAGCAGAAAACATTAACATTCAAACAGACTAATGGCAGCAGAAATCTTCAGTAAATAAGTAGAACATTTGAAAAGAATATCCAATTGAGAGAGCAACTGACACGAGGATCAAGGTCCTTTGCCAATCAACTCCAAGATCCTAAGCTAACCCTCCACTATAAAATGGCAAGGGGTAAACTATTGGTATGATCTGCTGTGGGCTTTATTGGATAAATAAGCAAAAAGGGAAATAATTTCTTATCAGGTTCAGGCTTACAGGCACTAACTTAGAACTTTTGAATGAAC